TTAAACAGTTGAAATAATACAATACAATACATAATTATTTCAATTTAAAAGAATAATATTACAAATGAATCACTTTCCTGTCTCAAAATTTGTATATTTGAATAAAGATATAGACCGAGATTGTGTTCTGCTATTTTACGATCCAAGAATCTAGTTCTCCAAAATAGTTTTGGTAAGTAACCTATAAATGGAAAATTGTACTGAATTAGAGTAACCAACTTAGTCACATTCTTACTTGGTATTTGAAAGAATTCTGCCCCTGTATTAAAGGCACAGACAGTTTATTTTTTTGTTGGGGGAGGGGTCCCAGAAACACATGTTTTGTTCTTTATAAAAAAAAATGTAATTGCAAGATTCAAAGTCTTTAATGTATTTTTTCTCCACAACTTTAGAAAGAAAACAATTTATTTTTTTTTTCATTTACCTTCTGGAACAAACATGTTAAGATTTAGAATCCAACAATGTTTCTTTAAAAAATAAGAATGATGAGTGTTAAATGATTTTTTGTGAAATACTTTTTCACAAATGAAAATTTCAGGCTCCTCGATGCAAATATCTACTCATGTAATTTGCGACGATCTCAGTACTCACACACCATATAAATAAAGCTTTGACTGTAACACTAAATCCACTTTTCACTATGGTTACTAATCGGATGTGTACTTATTTATATTTTAGTCAGTGCCAACAATATTTATTCATCAACTGTAATTACTAAGCTTTGAACTAGCTATGAGACCTCAGTGTCTTTTTGTTAATTGATTATATACTCCGTGCTAGTTTTTTTTAGTTGAGCCCTTTCCAACTGGGTTTTACAATGTGTTCTTACGTTGTTTGCTATCTAAAAAAAATGAGAATGGAAATGGGGAATACTGTATGTCAAAGAGACAACAACCCGACCAGATCAAGAACAGATAACAGCCGAAGGCCACCAATGGGTCTTCAACGCAAAGTGAAAATCCCGCACCAGGAGGTGGTCCTCAGCCGGCCCCTCAATAAAAACTGTTCCTGATTGTTGGAGGGTTGAGTGCTCGCAAACAGGGTTAACCCTGCACACTATGAATATGATTATCACAAGTCAGTGGCCCTTTATTACTTGGTTGTTATTGTTTGCTGTCTGTCATATTTATTTTTCCGTTTATTGTTTTAACATTACTCAGGCCTTTGAGTTTCTCGTTTGACTCGTTTTATATTTTGACAATGAACTATAGTTGTTTACATCCACACCCACATCATTGATATCTCTTGTGGAAAGTTTTCTCATTGGCAATCATACAACATCTTCTTATGTTTTTAAAGTGGGGAGATTTTATAATAAGAGATGGTTTCATTGGCAAGCGATCAAACTTACTACCAAGAGATCACTGATAGAGTTTAGTGGACCTTAAAAGCTAAACATTTATATTCTTTTGGCATGAGGTGTATTTTTTTAAATATTTTTATAGTTTCGTTCAAATGAGTTTAACATTGATATATCTGTAATAGAGTATATTTATGAACAATGAGAGATTTGAGGTTTTTAAAGTCAATGAGAAAGCAACCCAAACGATCAACAAAAACCAACAGACATACTTTCAGTTTGACACGACTATAAAAACGCTATCTTTGGCCATCAAAGTCGCCCACAGACAAATTTTAATTCATACACAGATGATGCATGATCATTTTTTTTACAGTTCTTAGGCTAAAGCTGTTTACCTTTTATTAAATTAATTCAATGAGATATATTAAATAAAGAACTTGGTAATGCTTTTCTTTATATACTAGTAAGTATATATATATATATCTTTAACCATAATATTTTATATAGCAGGCAACCCATGTTAGTTTTTTGTCATTACCATTTGGTTGATGTTTCAGACAACCATACACATGCAGGTTTATATGGTACACACATAAGGCGCTGTTGCTATTAACACTTCCTCCAGGAAGTGATCCCATTAATTCATTCAACAGTGCTTATCTCATTTTCAACACCCAAAATTGGACCACGTTAGTACAATTACAATTTAAATTCAAGCTCTTGAGGTAAACTTATAATCGTATTGACAAAGCTGCTCTTGATATTGCCTTAAACAATATCAGATCTACATTTAATTTTCGATCTATGAGTTTGACTGTCCCTCTGGTATCTTTTGCCCCTCTTTTAATGCTAATTCAATGAAAAAGTATATGTTCCTAAATTTAAAAAGCTTATATATCTGAAATTAAACGTGGATATTGATAGAGCTTGCTATAAATAAAATTAGCAACACATTAAGAGAAATCTGAAATCACATCGTCTGTGTTTAACTGTTACTTTATACAATTCAAATATTGTAAAAGTAGCTAATGAAAAAATACACAAAAAGGACTACAGTCAATGACGATGCAAGTACACTAGAAAAATGACTTTTCCAGCAATTAACATGACAAAATCAAAGTCAGTAACCAAACTGATTTAGAGCTATTTTTGAACACAATTATTTTTTTTTATTATACCTAAACGTATAATTACTATATATACATAACCGAAACATAAGATAAAATTTCAAACTTCCACAAAATGCACATATTTAAAACTGAGTTTTACTGTGTGTTTGTTTATTCTATATTGTCTAGAGAAACTAGGGGAGGGTTGAGTTCTCACACAACATGTTTTACCCCTGCCACATTATTGCACCTATCCCAAGTCAGGAACCTCTAGCCTTTGTTTGTCTTGTGTGTGTTTTTATTTGGTGATAATTTTGGTTCATTTGTATGTAATGGACTTTAGGGTGGTGTCCATTTTGCTGAACTAGTGTACAAAATAATTAAGGGATCAGCTGAAGCCCACCTCCGTGTGCCGGATTTACTTGCTATGTTAAAGACCCATTAGTGGCCTTGTTTTCTCTTTGACACATTCCCTGTTTCCATTCTCCATTTTTTCGTGTTTAGAAATCAAACTAGAAATAACCATGATTTTAAAATTTTCATTTTATATGCCCCTCACTTAGGCGCATTATGTTTTTCTGTCTGTGCGTCTGTTCGTTCGTCCGTCTGTCCTGCTTCAGATTAAAGTTTTTTGTTAAAGTTTTTGGTCAAGGTATTTTTTGATGAAGTTGAAGTCCAATCACATTGAAACTTAGTACAAATGTTCCCTATGATAAGATCTTTCTAATTTTAATGCCAAATTAGAGTTTTGACCCAATTTCACAGTCCACTGAACATAGAAAATGATAGTGCGGGTGGGGCATCCGTGTACTATGGATATATTCTTGTTTTATAGTTAGTGTGTAAAACAAAATATTTCACACAACAAATTGATTATTATTGATATCGATAACAAGAGGAATACATATGCGATATCCTATGTTAAAAGTTTTAACCATGAATAATCGAGTTTTTTATTTCCATTTTTCACAATTTTTCTCTACAAATCACATTTTACACAAGAATTACAATTTTTGAATACTAATATCTATAGGACTTCTTAAGATAAACATCAGATAGTATTCTCTATTTTCTGTTAAGATCCCAATTTGAAAGTTTTAACAATCAATAACCGAGATATTTTCAATTCCAGTTTTCCGGGTTTTCGGTCTTAAAACATATATTCAACCAAAACTACCCAAATATTACTATTAATAACTAAAGGACTTCACAAATAAAACATAAAATAGTATGTTCTTTTTTCTATATAGATCAAATTCCAAAAATATTAACCATTAACAACGGAGATTTTCGACGTTTCCATTTTTTCAGCGTTTTTTCACTAAAAATCACTCATTTCACCTCAAAATTACTTCAACATGAATAATAATAACTAGAGGACTACATAATACTCTATTAAGATAAGTTTTCCTGTCTTCAACAAGCTCTAGGTCTAAAAACGTAACCATAAATAACAATTTTTCTTCTTTTCCAGTTTTCAGTATTTTTTCTCTAAAAAACACATATTTCACCCCAAAATAACCTTTTCCGCAAATTATAGCAATGTATAGTTTTAGTATGTTGTTAGTACAAGTCTATATTATAATTTGCACTAAAAAAACCTTGTGTTGCAATTAGTTGCAGGTTGAGCGATTTTAGAGCTAAATTGACTAGGCTATTAGTACTAACGTTAGTATAGAATGTCCCTGGTACAAGTTAAAACAAAATAGAAATACGATAGATTGGCATATTGTTAAACTGTTAAAGATGACAGTTGTTAAAATATGCACTGGGAATGATCCAGTTCTAGACCGTATAAAATAGATGCTGTTCTAGACTGTATCTTTTAAACAGTTAAATAAGCGATCCTGTTCTAGACAAATACTTTGTTTAAAAAAAGACCCTGTTCTCATCAGCAGGGCATGAAAAAGCTACCCTGTTCTAACCAGCAGGACATGAAAAAGGGACCCTGTTCTAACCATGCAGCAGGGCATGAAAAAGCGACCCTGTACCACTAAAAATATAGGAAGTAACCCCCCCCCCCCCCCCTGGGGGGTTCCATGTGGTGAAGTTGAAATCGTCCCTTCGTAATTTTTACGGATGTCATCACTGACGAGTTGGTTGACCGTTATGGAATATCTGTTTCACAGATGACGACGTATTATGTTCCAATTGTCGTAACGTTAACTACAATCCCCTTTCCCCCGAATGTGACCTACCGAATTAGACATATACTCTGAGACTACTGTAACCTGGGACATAATATATAGACGTTAGTATAATAATCCCAGCTGTAACACATAGTGTTATAGTCATCACGGATAGTAGTCGCGGAGTCGCATAATATAATAATGATTAGAATTTCTAGTTATAAAAAATCGGAGGTTGTTGTGCAAAATTTCGAACAAGAGTGGTTCAAATATCACAGACAAATTAAAAATGTATGAAGGAAACTTCCTGAATAAGGCATTTGATGAAAAAGACGTCTTTCAAATACCACCGCTACTAAAAACTTTAAATCACGTGATGCAAATGCGTACGAATATCAACAAGTGCCCAGAAATTATAGATTTTTATTTATATCTGCAGACTGGCAAGATATTTTATGCAAAACTGTTAATATTTATAGAAGCTAAACAAACAGTAATATCTAGATACAGTACTATATTATCTAAAATTGTAACACTAGTTTCAATTTAAACTATATTATGTGGATAGTTATCCGGTAGACGTGAATCGAATGATATGTCAAAATAAGTAAACGACAACAAAGTGGAAGTGAAAATAGAATTTAGTGAATATTTTTGTTAAAATGACTTAAACAGTATATCAGGATGGTGCAGAAGTATCAGTCACCAGTCAGGGTATATAAACACCCGTTTGAACTGGTCGTGGCGGTAAGTTTTTTAGTAATAGTACAACTTATTTACTTTTGACGTTTTGTAGGCCAACTCACCGAACAGCTGAACGTAATCTGTACTTCATTTTATTTTCGGTTTGTGCAATGTTTTCTTATACATGGTGGGTCTTCTTAAAATATACAAAATATGCTGAACCCATGAAAGTAACTAGAAAAACTTTTTTTTTAGTTTTTGATTTATCTTGTATGATTGTACATAATATTAATGCATCATGGACTGAACAGCTGAAATTTATCTATGCCAGCAGGGTTTATTTCCCTAGTACTACCATGGAATCTGGTTTAGTTCAACCCCTATGAATGATAAACAAATGGACCCTTTTGTCACATTCAAAGACAACAACATTTTGCCTTGGAAGTGAGGCTATAGTGATGCTACATTCTGGCGGCATCAACATTTAGGTTCAGTCTCAATGGTTACAGATTTTTATTTGAACATATAAAACTTTGTCGAACTTTACTTTCAGGGAATTGGACAGTTTAAATTTAGATTCAGTCTGGGATTCAATTTTTTAGACATCAATAACTTCAAACCTTCATGAAATGTAACTTGGTGGGATGCTTTTTCAATATCAAGAAATCACATCTTATGAAATTTATTTTATATATTTTTATATTTTTTCTGTATTTTACTTATAAATGAACTACGTTGTTGGCAGTCAATATGTTCATAATTTACACTTTTAATTTGACAGCAGCAATAGCAAGTTTAAGACACCTTGTTCCGAAAAGCCCTTTGCAAATTTGTCTTATTCTTTTATCTTAAACAGAAAAAATATGTTTCATGCTAATTTTTTTGTTGTTATGAGTTGCTTTAATAAGTGTATATGTGTTGAAACCTCAACAGACCACTATCATCCCAAAAAATATGAATAGTTCCTGAACAGAGTAACTTACCTTCAATTATGGTCGTATATATATATATTTATATAGTGTGAAAAATGAAAAACAATAAGTTGAGGATTGTTTCTTAAATTTGCACTTATGTTCATGTATAGGTTGCACTTCAGTAAATATAAACAATGCAATTTCCCATAGGAACTCCTTTTTTTGCTAAAACTCTGTCACTTTTACTATGAAGTTTTGTAAAAAAAATGTGTTCTAGAATGGAAAGTTCATCTGCACTATAATTTTTTAAAAGGTCAAAACTTTCAACTGTGTAGCATATTTTCAGCATTTACATGCCTGGTATTTCTAAGAGTTTAAACTTATACTAAAATTCCGTTCACTTTGGGTCTTCCTCAAAATTCAATTTGACCGCTATTCATGTGTATTTATAATGGTAACATTCCCAAGTTGTGTCACTATGATATGAAACATAAAGATCGTATCTGGGAACCAGTAGGTAAACAAAACAAAATATCTATGAATATATATATCTCTCCAAAAGAGGCATGGTTTGTGAAACAACTGTATTTAAAAGTAGAACCTATAGAGATTGGAATAATTTTTCCTATAAACATGATAAAAGAATCATATACAATTATTTGTTTTCTCAGTTTTATAAAATTTGTAAGATTGGCGTAGGAAACTGTCAATTTTTTATTAGCTTCTGGCCATGGCTTCCTAGTAAATTTACTTACTTAATTGGTATTCAGTTTTAAAAGACACTGATCTGGTCTATTGGTGATCATAAAGACCTTATGTTTGTCTCAAGACATCTTTTGATTTTTAACTTTGTGTCATTTGGATACTGTCTCATTGATATGTCCCCCTTCCACATCTGATCATACACATCACCTTTATTATATACTTATATTTTATAGTCTTGTCAGTTTGTAAAAAAACATATGTATAAATTGGTATTAAAAAATTATAAGAAAATCATAATTTATTTTGCATCTCCAGATGGAACTAGAATTAAAAATATCTTCTTGAGACAGTGTTCTTCCAAAACTCCAAACTGCATCCTGGTATACATTTACATGTAGTAATATACATGTATACGTACTTGTATGTAATGTGGGAATTCTAAAGTCCAGGGTTAAAAAACTTTAGAGAATTCTGATTTGAAACAGTTGTTCAACAGCTTTAGAAACCAGATCTTGCCTGTTTTTTGTGAAAAATATTCCACAAACCTGTCACACATATCTTTGTCAAAACAGAATTATGTCAGAATTGTGGCTCCAATTGATGGGACATTTTTTAATTGGCAGCTACATGTATCATTGTGTTGATAGGAGTTTGATTCACCCAAAACAGAATTATGTCAGAATTGTGGCTCCAATTGATGGGACATTTTTTAATTGGCAGCTACATGTATCATTGTGTTGATAGGAGTTTGATTCAGCAACATACATGTACATTTTGTACAGTGTACCTACAGATTTGAAAAAATAAAAAAAGAAAGAAAAGAAATAAAAGAAATAAAAGACTAATTGAGGAGGCCAGTGAGATTTTCATTACACATTTTTCATTGATGTTAATTATATATTGTATAACATTAAACAGTGTTGTTGTTATTAAGGTTATTGTTGGGAGCTTGGATTGGCATGTTTTTTTCATTTTAATATATATCTGTCAAAACTTAAAAAAGAAATAATATATTTGATGTTTTGCAAGAAATTTTCCGCAAACTAATTTACTATTTAAAAACTTCAGAATTTAGACCTCCTCTGAGGGAATTCTTCCTTTCCTGAACTTCAGATCAATCTAATATTACTATTATAATATGAGTTGTGCAAATAAATCGATTCATGTAAATGTATTTCAGGGACTAGACATTTAAATGTATGGAAAAAAACCTCATGAAAATTGTTATTAGATGTTAACTCAGAATGATTAATGGGAAATCAAATATTTTTTACAATTTAATTATTAAAAAGAAGTCATGTTGTTGAAAATTCTACAAGCAAAAAATTGAACTACATTGTATTCTGAATTAAAAAAAAAATATCAGCAATTGATTATTCTGTATAACAACAAACTTAACACGAATTTATTGAATTGGCAGATATGGATATAACTTAATTAAAAGTAGGTCAAATATTAAATGAAACAGAATTAAGACTTTGTTTATAAACATTCAGAAATAAATGATTTAAAAGAGATTAAAATTGAGCGACTAAATCTTTTAATTAGTTTCTCGTTGGCCTCAAATAAAGTCTTATAGACATATGAAAAAATATCGGTAGATATCAGGCACCTGCGTCCTTAAAAGGAAACATGTAATCACTATTAAAATAAAGACCTTTTATCCTTTTATTCAAATGATGGGATGGTTGACCTACAAAAGAAAATCAAAAGTTATAACAATGAGTTCTGAAGTTTACTGTTGTCAGCACCTTTGTCTTTGAAGTTCTTTTGATCTGAATATTTGAAGGGTGTACCATGCAGTAGGATGTTCATGTTGTCATCTTAATGGTCATCAATTTTGAAGTCTTTAAAAAACATTTTGTATAACTTGTTAACTTTCTTAAATGTTTGAAGAAACTACTAGTTCTTAATTATTCAATAGAAACTTGGTATGATAGTGTGTTTTATTCTCAACTTTTACTTTAGAGCTTGACATGATGTAAAGATACCTAGGCCACCCTTAAATAATTCTTTGTTATATGTTGCCTTCCCATGCCTTGTAGGGTTGGGTAGGTAGGTGGGATTTTTCTTTTGGCTGACAACACAAGTTACATGTTTTAGACAAGAAAACAAAGTGAGAGCAGGAAAAATCTTTTGAAAAAAAAATTAGAAACGATTTGTGTCATAAAATATTTTGAGTAGGCTGCTTTTTAGGTGGGTAGGTAATCCACATTAAACAATTTAAATTTTGTTTTTGGCCTTTAATAATTCTTTTGTTGAACTGAAGACTTAGAGTTGATCTCTTGATGTCTTGTGGTTATTTGTGTTGCTGGATTGCTGTTTCATTGAAGTTTTTATCCATATCCTTTATATGCCCTCACCATCACCAGAGGGCAGTAAGTGTTACCCTTATCCAACCGTACGTACATCCTGAAATTGGTTTCCGTTCTCTAACTTAAGTTTGCCTCAACCAAATGTTATGAAACTTATACACAATGCTTATTTCCACAAAACACAGATTTGGGTGGTGCACTTTTACCGTTCTCGAGTTATGTCCCTTTATAATGTTATATGCAAAAGGGGGCATCATCTGTGTCCCATGGACACATTCTCATTTTATTTATTTTGTCGCCACATAAGGTTTAGGTGCAGCAACTCATGTCATCTTATGTTATCATAGTCTGTGTCACACTGTAAATGCTAATCAATGTTATCATACATTGTAGTCTGTGTCACACTGTAAATGTTAATCAATGTTAACATAGTCTGTGACGCACTGTAAATGTTAATCAATGTTATAGTCTGTGTCACACTGTAAATGTTAATCAATGTTATCATTGTCTGTTTCACACTGTAAATGTTAATCAATGTTATCATTGTCTGTTTCACACTGTAAATGTTAATCAATATTATCATAGTCTGTGTCACACTGTAAATGTTAATCACAACTGATTGAAAATGGCTTGACAGAATTCAACTTGCACAGATTCTTATACAAGACATAGCTAGAGTTGTGCACCTGCTATTTTCTATCTGCTACATGTATCTGAGTGATTTTAGGGAATTTTGATTCCAAAACATGGACTTAATCATTGCTGCTCATATCAGTTTGTTAAACTTGAGAATAGCTTAACAGAATTCCACCAAACTTACTCTGTATATTCTTCTTCAGGATATGAATTTGTGCACCGTCTATTTTAAATTTTTTGGGTTTCTATACCAAACATTAATGTCACCATTTTTGCTTAAATTATTTGGATACAACAGACGGAACACATCTTCCTATGTTCATGATGCTTAAGAATCAAACAATTTTCATATTCATATGAATTTATTCATATAAGGTAATTGATTTGTGCCATTTATATTACTTGCGGCAGGAATATTAATTTTGGATGCATATACAACAAATTGATATTGACATAATGTCAAAAAATATTAATTCGTATTAAGTGAACCATCAATATTGATGTTTGAATTGACAATAAGGGTGTATAAAAATGACATCTTAATTAATCCACTGTAATATAAATACATCATTTAGGTAAAAAATAGATATCACAAAATTTCTTTTTAATTAGGGAATATCAGTAGTAAACATTAATTGAACATGCATGTGTAGGAGTGTTATTACATGTACAATCGTAAATTTATTGTCTTCATTTAAGGTTGGGAGATAATTATCTTTATGTGCCTATATATAAGATTCATGTTTTTAACCTCCTACATAAACTCTGTTGATACTGTATCTGTCCTTATAAATGATTTTTTTGCTTTTTGTATACATAACATATATGATATGTATAAAATGTATATTTACATGTATATATATATATATATATATATATATATATCATTACTTTTTCCATCGAGGTCCATATTTATATTGTAAATAAGTTTTAGAAAATGTTGAATAATTTCTATACTAACAAATACAAATTTTTAAGTAAATTGATTTTATTATGCATACATTTTGTGCAGCTGGTTACAGTTACATGTGCATTTATATGTATATATTCTACATGAACTATAACCTTGATTTTAAAAAGTTTAATCCAAATTGCATTGTTGTTCTTTGAATTTTTCTGCCAAAGCTATATGTAGCGACGATTGATGTAAATCTAGTTGGGTCCCTACCTGATTCAAATACAGATATGTGTTCACCCATCAATTACAGGAATCTGATATTAATGCACCATTCTATTTTTTGCTTATGATAGTTATTACGTCAACCAATTCGCCGTTTCAGAATCTAATGCATTCTGGTTAATATTTTCAAAAGCGTACACCAAAACATTGTGATTGGTTTAAAACATTCTAAACAATGGTAACTGAACCAATAACTTTATGTTATTTTTATTTTGGTGTACGAACAATGAGATTACCCACAGTCCTTTAGATTCTGGAAAGGCGAATTAAATTTCTGCCTTCATAATTTTGGAGGTATGTACAACAAATCAAAATTTTTTGCAAGTACATGTATCTTGAAAACATTTTCAGAATTGAAAGTAAAACAAAGCAAATGTCAGATCTAAACTAATTAATTTAGGATGGACATAGCTGTATTACATTTAAATCAAATTGATTTTATTTGTTCTCTAAAGTTTTACACCATCTCTTTATATTTTGTCATATATTTGAATTTCTACAATTTTTTTTTTATTCTCTAGGCATATGAGAAGAGATTTCCGACATGTAAGATGATTCCAGTGTTTCTTGGATCAGATACAATATCGGAATGGACAAGTGAAGATGAATCTCAACATGATATTGAGAGGAGATGTCGCCTGAATGTTGATGCACCTTACCTTCTCAAAAAGGTACGAATATTTAATTCTCTTTCAAAACCTTTTTTTTTTTTGACTAACCATTATAAGCCTAAATTTTCCTCATTTTTACATGCATACGACTAGTACTGGATTAACCCTAGATCTGATAACATAGAAAAAATAGAACTTAAAAAAAAAATAAGAACAATACACAATTCTTAAAAAAGGACATAATATAATAACTCAGTGTAATTGTAAAATTTAAACAATTTGAATTGTAATTATTGTATCTCTATATATAAAACGCATCAATGCACTAAAGTTGGTGCAGTTTTTCTTTTGTTTTAAGTGAATAACCCTCAAACAGAGTGATTGTTAAATTGTTAATGAGTGCATTGTACATGTATAAAGAAATATCATACAAAGTCTAGTGAATCACAATTGTATCAATGTTTACCGAGACTCATAAGTTAGATTGATTTTACCAGAATCATTCACCTTGAGTGTCCACGCAGTGTGCATACATGTGCATGTACATTGTATTGTACATAGGACAAAACTTTCTAGCTTTATGAACTTTCTCCAACTTTTGATGACTGCCAAATTTTCTCTAGCTTTTATATAATTTATATACTTGAGACACTTGTGCACTAAAATTAAAAGCCAAAAGAAACTGTTGTATCTGGGTTGAAAATTTAAAAAAAGACTGAAAACAGCTGTGTGTTATACTGACTATTTGTTATTTTTTCTTCTCAAAATTAGAATTGAAATCAAAATATTTAGGTGTTGAAAGAGATTATTTCCATGCTTGTCTTTTATCTAAGTATTTACACCTGTTTGATTAGTTTTGGAAATGTGTTTTTAAAACTAATTGAATTATAAGTGCCTTTGTTTAAATTCTTTTCCAGAAATAGTGTTTGAATTGTAAACAAATATGTTTTTATTTGTTTGCAGATTGTTGGAGTAGACCATGTGGTATTCATCCAAAAGAACGCACTGGACCGTAAAGCTCGTACCTTAACCATAGATGCCCATAATGAAAGTTTCTCTTCAAGAATTATAATTAACGAGCATTGTTTTTACTCTGTAAGTTATAGATAATTAAAAAAAGTTTAATTATGTGGTATAGATAATTATAATAATTCTGAATGAATTAATTTTTGCTGAATTAAGCATCCCCAAAGGTTAAGAAAGATCAAATAATTTTATCTCAGATGTTGATTCGTGCTAATATACTAATTCTTACCTATTAACAGAGGATTCAATATTTTCTAAGAATTCTTTTACCTTACAAATAATTAATGGTAACAGTACCTATTTTATAACTAGTAATACCCGTAATTAAGAATGGCAAATGTACAGGGTACTTCCTCTTTATCAAAGAAAGGCCTGTCTATAGGTTATCAGGTCGATCAATTAAAGCACCAAAAATGTTTGAATTTCGTTTTAAAATGAACATTCACTGTTTTGGTCTGATGTTAACTCAATATGTATTGATGTTAAATCAATATGGGGCAAAAGCATCGCTAGATATGCAAGTGATGGATTTACCATTAATGCTTATTTTGAAGTACTACAAGTATTGTTCCTCAATATGAAGCTAATTGTTTTTAAGTACAAAAATGTACTTCTTAGAAATTTTGTATTTGACACATATTACAATACAATGCTAATACAATGTGCATGTACTTGTGGATATAAAGTACATCATTATCTATGAACTTTGTGCAAGTATGTTTCACAAGTAGTGATTTCAATCATTATGAAATTTGGAGGTAAAAACCTAATTTAGTGGAAGAAATTGATTAAAACATATCAATATGTGTATACTTATTTGGCTGGGAGAGTTTTTATTTTGGATATTGGAGAAAGACCTTTTTCAATGTAGTCAGCGTTTGTTATTTTATCGAAATTTCTGTGAATTCTAGGTTAAGGTGGTACCAAACACCTTGACTAAAATTAATTTGGCTGGTTTAATTTTCATAAAATTTTGACAAAATATTTACTTTGAGCCTTTGACAAAAATATAAAAATTTCAAAAAACTTGAACCACACACTTAATCGGAAAAATTTCATTGGATATATAGCAGTTTGACAAACACTAATTTTGATTATTGAGAAGCTTATATTTCCTTAACAATAGAACGTGATTAAAATGTTCAGCTGATTTTCAAAGAGTTATCTCCCTGTGGTGTTTGGTACCACCTTAAGCCTGTGATAAGAGGCATCAGTAAAAAGTATATTTAAGAAAAACTGGATTGTCAAGAATGTGTATCAGAAATTTTTTTTTATATAATATTTGAAAGGAGATGAGTATAATACGTCAGTAAGACAGCAAACCAACTAAATAAAAAACTGAAAGACTGCTTAAGTAAAAAAGGAGATGAGACTTGCTATTGATCAATTTAAGTGAGAAATTATGTTGCCTGACAGCAAAACTGTAGTGACACACAAAGATAACTTCTGTCGTGTTATGTCTTTACCGGCTTTATAATTATATTCTGTTAGATGAAAAACTAATACATTTTTTCAGTCTATTTTAATTTCTAGGACATATTTTACCATTATGGGCAATATTTTTTGACTTGTGCAATCAGTACTAATATTAATCAATTTTTAAATCCCAAGATAAATTTAATTTGGTAATGTTTGTCAACATGACATGCAAAAATAGGCCTGTTTTATGTCGATTTATATCAATTCATTATATTTGGTCCAAAGTTCTGCATTGTCAGCATCATTGATTAATGTATAAATGTTCACCTTGGGGAGTAATTGTACCAACAATATTGGGTAATTATTGATAGGAGCACTTATAAATAGATACTTCGTCCCATTTTGTTTGTTTTTTATAATACGTGACAAACACCATATTTTAATATTTAAAATATTTGTTATATTGGTATTGTTTTCCCTGAAGCTTGCATATCTGTTACATAAATTTGAAAATAGAAAGTTTAGGATGTAGTCTTAAGTAAACTTAACTACAAAATTACGATATATTAGTAGTTTCAAACATATGTTGCATCTTACGTATGCAGGTGTAAGATATTTTTAAGTAAAAATCAATTTTCTGTCTGTACTTCGAACATTTGAAGTTTGGAATAATCAATAAATATAAATACTGCAAAAAATGATTTGATTATTGATATGATAAGAACCTCTTAACAAGAAAAGAGATTTAGTCTTATAATGAAATGATTGAAATCTTTTTTATACCAAATATAGAACATGAACTGGTTAAATTGAACTTATTCATGCTTTTATACTCAACATATTTCTTATACTTCCATAGGAGGTCTTAGAGACATACATATTTTCCCTAAACAGACATCATGCTGGTTGAAATAGATTTAAAATTACTGTTTGGGATTGTTCCAAATGCTGCAGAATTTGAGAATGACATTGACTCAAACTTCTAACTTTCTTTCTGATAAGTTATATACAATCGTTCCCAAAGATACTTTATATTAATATATCAGTATTTGATTGACTAGTTTTGAGTGCTTTACGTCAGCAGCAAATATTACATGCATATTGAGGATGGATAACATGTTAAATTCTGCTTCATACAAAGCTGACACAAAAAACTAATTTAAAGGTTTTCCAGAAGAATTCATGCCCCCCTACTGACACAGTTATACTGACTTCAAGCTTAATGTTCACTTATGTTACTACTAGATATTGCTGAAGGTGGCGATGCACCAAAAACCAATTTGCTTATTTACTTTTGAACTTAAAATTGAGAATGGAAATGTCAAAGAGACAACAACCCGACCATAGAGCAGACAACAGCCGAAGGCCACCAATGGGTCTTCAATGCAGCGAGAAACTCCCGCACCCGGAGGCGTCCTTCAGCTGGCCCCTAAACAAATAAGTATACTAGTTCAGTGATAATGGATGTCATACTAAATTCCAAATAATACACAGGAAACTAAAATTAAAAATGATACAAGACGAACAAAGGCCAGAGGCTCCTGACTTGGGACAGGCGCAAAAATGCGGCAGGGTTAAACATGTTTTTTGAGATCTCAACCCTCCCCCTATACCTCTAGCCAATGTAGAAAAAACAAACGCACAACAGTACGCACAGTAAAACTCAGTATAAGAGAAGTCCGAGTCCGATGTCTGAATAGGAAACAAAAGAAAATAAACAAAATGACAATAATACATAAATAACAACAGACTACTAGCAGTTACTGACATGCCAGCTCCAGACCTCAATTAAACTGATTGAAAGATTATGTCTTCATCATATGAATATCAGGCACAATCCCTCCTGTTAGGGGTTTAGTATTATACAGTCATAAAATATATGAGAAGAACATAACCCGTGTCATGCCAACAACTGGTTTTAGAATAAATGTGTTTATTCTGATGCAAAGACCCTATAAATGAATCAATATTAAAGCCAAAATATGCAATCTTTTGTTTGTTTGTTTGACCTGGCTGGGAATCAAGCTTTTTAATGCATTTAAACTAGAAAGAGACTGCTGATCAGATGATTTGAAAATATTCTTAGAATAAATAGAAACCTTTCCTTAACCAATACTGGGAAATCTAGATTACCGGTAGATAGAAACCTTTTCTTTACCAGTTGTGAGAAATCATGAGAGTAAGGTGCCTTAATTGTACTGAAAAGCTATGTTTACTAGTACATGTATCTTATTGCCTGAAGCCTAGGACATTTGTATTTTTAAAAGATGAACTATTAGAAATTAAGATAACCCTAAATTGGTCCATTGTAATGGTACATAAGTATGACCTGTGTCTGACACCAATTTATACATCTTGTTGTAGAACAAATGAATGTATTTGTATAAGAAATGGATTACAAGTACTTATACTTTTATCCTTTTTCTTGCCATAAGCATTTTTGTATGGATTTGTCAGCAATACTATTTCTTACACTGTCCTTGATTTTGTTTTCTTTTTTCTACTAACAGTACAAAGGATTAAAAACAAGAAAATAGAAAACAACAATGGTGGAAAAATCTTTCAGATAAATTGAAAAATTTGCAATTACTTATGCATACAAAAATATGCATATTATCTATTGGTATTCCTTCAAAACTTTTTCAGCTTTCATTGACTGATTCTTTATTGATGTACTCTCAGATTTCTTTCCTTATTGGTGTACTATCAGATTTTTTTTCCTTATTGGTGTACTCTCAGATTTTTTTTCCTTATTGGTGTACTCTCAGATTTTTTTTCCTTATTGGTGTACTCTCAGATTTTTTTCCTTATTGATGTACTCTCAGATTGTTTTCCTTATTGGTGTACACTCAGATTTTTTTCCCTTAATGTTGAATTTTCAGATTTATTTCCCTTATTGATGTACTCTCAGAATTTTCCTTATTGGTGTAACCTAATTGGTGTACTCTCAGATTTTTTTCCTTGTAGATTTACTGTTAATTATATTAAGGTTTCTTCAGGTACAATTTGATTGAAATACAGATCCTTTGTATGTCCACCCTTTGCTTACAAGGATCTGACAACACTCTGTTCTACTTTTGTTTTTAAAGACCTTTCAGGATTCTTGGGTTTTATCATAATGATGCCCATCAAAAAAAGTTGAAGTGGACATTTTGGTTTTTGTAAATCAGTAATATACCCGTTGTTAATGATATCAATTACTGTTTCCATAGGAGGTCATACAGACATACATACTTCCCCTAAAACAGACATCATGCTGGTTGAAATAAATCTAAATTTATTGGTGGAGTTTCAAATTTCTTCTCTGTCGGAGGCTAATTCTTTGGTCACCCTTATATCTTGTTCTATAAGCCAATCCCAACAAAAAAAACAACCTTTTCATTTTATGAAATTATGTACTTGATAAAACCTTTTTATGATGCAACAATCAATCAATTATTTATGACCATGTGATGACTTGTACAGTAAATGTTTTACTTTTATTTGGTGGATATTTGTCTCATTGAAGCAACCATACATCTTTATATTGTTGTTATGATACAGAACTGTTCTGCAAGCTCTAGGTTTTTTTTTCAGATTGTGAAATTAGAAAGACTTATATTTCGCTTTGATGTTATCATTTTTTTATAAGCCCATTTATGGGACGTATTATGGTATACCGTTGACCGTCTGTCCGTCCGTCTGTCGTCAACATGTCGGGCATTAATTCAAAAACACTTTAACCAATATGCATGAAACTTTGGTGGATTGTTTATATCTATTGACTTGAGCTCCCTTTCGCTTTTTATAAATTTCAGATTAACCATTTCCAAGTTTTGGGGTTTTATTCATTAAAAAAGGGGGGGATTTTCCAGTTTTAGGACAATAACTCAAAAACAATTTCACCAATTTGCATGAAACTTTTGTAAATTGTTCATATCTATTGACGTGAGCTCCCTTTCCTTATTTATAAATTTCGGATTTACCGTTTCTGAGTTTTGGGGTTCTATTCATTAAAAAAGGGGGGATTTTCCAGTTTCGGACAATTACTCAAAAAAAATTTCACCAATTTGCATGAAACTTTTGTGAATTGTTCATACCTATTGACGTGAGCTGCCTTTCGTTTTTTATAAATTTCGGATGTACTGTTTCCGAGTTTTGGGGTTTTATTCATTTAAAAAGGGGGGATTTTCCAGTTTTCAGACAAAAACAATTTCACAAATTTGCAAGAAACTTTGGTGAATTGTTTATTTCTATCGACATGAGCTCCCTCTTTGATTTTTTATAAATTTCAGACTAAATGTTTCCGATTTATGAGTTTTATTCATTACAAAAAGGGGGATTTTCCAGTTTTCGGACAATAACTGAAACTTTGGTAAATTGTTTATATCTATTTTTGTAAGCTCCCTTTTGATTTTTATAAAATAGTTCTTGTACATAATACACTCTAAGTTAGTCCCATGAGAAATGAGAATAAATTGAAATAGCTTTTCGGTAAAGACAAGATATTTAAAATAATTTACTAAACAATAAATGTTTATAAAGTATATAGATCTGTAATTAATAATTGAACATGTATCATAATTGATAAGGTTTTCAGAATCAAACTTTCAACAATATTGTTTTATATGCCCCCAGTTTAATAGTCCCATGAGAAATAAGAAATAAATTGATATTGCTTTTGGACAGAGACAAGATATTTAAAACTATTAACGAAACAATAAATGTTTATAAAGTATATAGATCTGTTATTAATAATTGAACATGTATCATAATTGATATGGTTTTCAAAATCCAACTTTCAACAATATTGTTTTATACACCCCCAGTTTAATAGTCCCATGAGAAATAAGAAATAAATTGATATTGCTTTTGGACAGAGACAAGATATTTAAAACTATTAATGAAACAATACATGTTAATAATGTTTATAGATCTGTAATTAATTAACCTTTTATGAACTAAATTCTATAAGGAAGTAGTTGTACATTTGTAGGTGTATGCATATGACTATGACTGATTAAAAACAATAAACCATTATTATTTGGCAATGTATTTTAATATATTGACGTCACATGTCTATCATATGAAAATGTTTCAAATAAATTCTGAAATATAATTGCAGCATATTTAATCAAATGGAATCTTAGGATCTAATTTCAATCAAAATGCAATAAAATACACTGTGTTATGCATGTAACATCATAAAAATATGGGTAGTCTTCTGATTAAACAATATCAGATTCAGTTCAAATCTTGTAAATAAGATATAAATGTTTTATATATCTCATCTGAGACTGATAAGGTATTAAAGCAGGAACTGATTATATGTCGTCTGCTACAGTTAAATACGAAATGCAAGAATTAACTTTATTTTAAGCTGAGTTGAGAGACAGTCAAACTTTGCTTGCAGTATGTTGAATGTTTTCCAGGCATTGATATTTCATTTTTGGCATGACAATAAATTTTGAGCAAGCTACATCGACAATTGACAAACTGATATATATTAGAGCAAAATTTTGGTTTCTGGATTATGTATTTGAACCATACATACATGTTCAAACTTCACCACACCATTGAGGTTGTATTTTATAACCTTCTTGACCAAACTTGATTTGAAAATAAACCTTGAATTGAACAAGACCCTTATTGATATTTTTGTCAGTCTGTCAGATGATAAAAGTTACAGTACCTATGAATCATCTGCAATTTTGGGAAAAGGTTTCATTTCAGGACAATATTTTTTATCCATAAATCAAACATCAAGGTGGAGAGTTATCTCATTGGCAATAATACCACATCTTTTTATATCAAAACCAAATGGAGAAACACATTAGTAAAAAATACCAATCCTTAGACAGATAAAATATGTGGAATGTGGGGGAAATTAGACATCTGTTATTTAGTATTGTAACTTTGACACCTTGTGAACGCAAATCCTCTGAGTCCATTTTACAGAAAGTTAGGATTGTTTGCCATCATGTGTAATAACTTTTTTTTGTTTATTTTTAAGGTTCACCCTGAAAATCCATCATGGACATGTTTTGAACAAAGTGCTAGTCTGGACATAAAACATTTCTTCAACTTCGAGAGTACTGTTGAAAAAATTGCTATGAAACAGTATGCTGCTAATATCAAAAAGGTAAGTCATTCTCCCTATGTCAAAGAGAGGCGAAAAATACCAAAGGAACATTCAAACTCATAATAAGTTGAAAATAAACTGATAACGCCATGGCTAAAAAAGAAAAAGACAAAACAAACAACAGTACACAAAACACAACATAGAAAACTAAAGACTGAGCAACATAACCCACCAAAAACCAGGGGCAATCTCAGGTGCTCCGGAAGGGTAAGCAGATCCTGCTTCACATGTTTAATGAATGTTGTAAGCATTAAACAGGTAAAACAAACAGTCAATATTAGAAAGTACATACATGTATGATAACAGGCTAGTTTGAGAGCTTGCAAACATGTTAACCCTGCGATTTTCTGTATGTGACTGTCCCAAGTCATTGAAACATTAATTTAACTGGCCAGTGGCCCCTACTCCAAAAATGGGTTACCTGCATATTTCTTAGCAACTTACTACAAATCATAGCGTCTTGTCATTTGGTTCCAAGTTTGATATTGGTAAGCAAAACTGTGCTTAACAATATTTTGTTTTCTGCTTCTCCATTGTTTGGTGTATGTAATTCCTTTAACCAAGAGCAGAAGTATACATAATGAGCATTAGTTTCACAAAACATTTTGTTTACATTATATTTTATAATACCAAGAGGGAATTCGAAGTCCTCAAAAACAAATTGGTGGTAATTTGATTTCCTATAATTGAGATTTTTTTTGAAATTTCAGCATTATACTCATATACTGCAAGTTGAATTTTTTACGATTTCTTATATTAAAAATTTATTAATTCTGGATTGTGCCATTTTAAATGGTTTTGATATATAGAGACAGTTTACATCATTAGCACATTACTTCCATAAGAATGAATCAATTAGGATTTTTGTATAGTATATTAGAAAGTTATGACATTTGACATTTTAACAGTAAATCAGCCATACTTCATGATTTATTTGTAAGAATATATACCACTTACATGTATTCTTAAGGTTTCTATATGTATGAGTAGCATTTATTGATAAGGCTCTCAATGTATATGAGACTTAAGCTTTGAAGACATCAAGAGTAAAAGCACATCATTTCCTTGCGATATTTTTATGGGACCTAAACACTTTTAAGATCCTCTTCCTTTATTTGACCACTGAATTTCTTCCTCTTGACTTTGTATGAAGAGGAAATTGATTAGAGCTTTGGAAACCTGTTAAAGAAATGGAACGGAGATTGATTTTCTTGGGAAGTTTTGCACATTAGGTGTCATCAATAGAAGTTTGATTTTTGGCGTTTTAACGCCACTTTTAAGCACCGCTTTTGGGCTATTTCGTGGCTTCCAGTTTTTATTGGTGGAGGAAGCTGGAGTGCCTTGAGAAAACCACGACCTTCGATAGGAAAACTGACAATCCTAGTCAATTAAGATTGGCACCTGCACGAGCGGGGTTCGAACTCACAACCTCAGTGTTGACTGGCTAGTGATTACAGTAGTAACTACTTAAACCACTCGGCCACCGAGGCCCCTTTTTAAAGTAGATACCCCATTGATGATTGTGGCCAAGTTTGGTAAAATTTGCCCCTGAGTTTCAGAGGAAATGATCTTTGTAAAAGTTAACAGAAGACAGACACCAAGTGATGGCAAAAGCTCAAGCTAAAGTATTTCACCAAGAGTAAAAGCACACCATTTCCTTGTGATTTGGTGATAGGAATCTTAACATCTTTAATACCCTCTTTCTTTATTTGACCACTGAATTACAATGTCTTGACCTTGTTTTGAAGAGGAAATTGATTAGAGCTTTGGAAACCTGTTAAAGAAATTGAACGGAGATTGATTTTCTTGCGAAGTTTTGCACATTAGCTGTCATCAATAGAAGTTTGATAACCAGGACAGTTAATTGTTTACGTATCTCGATAACTAAGATTCATACTTTTGTATTGCTTTAATGCCTGCTTTAGTGTCCAATATCAATTTGTGTATTGATCTTACAAGTTTAACACGATCAAGGTTCTTATGTTTATAAAACAGAAAGAAGATTAAATGAATTTGTATGATTTTGAGTAGATTTTAATTAGTTTTTGAATTTGAATACGGTTTGTGTTCTAAAAATACATTGTTATGTTTTAATTGGTCATTTTGATCAAGGAATCGTCATGCAATGCTAAAAAAGATACAAGATAATTGGTAAACACATTAGTGGGTCTATTTTTGATTAATGTGAAGTTAGATAGATTGTTGTAGGAAATTATGTTTATTGATTCAAGAATTGATCAAAAGACAGAAATATAAAAATTATCCATCCGTTATTTGATCAGCAAAGTTTGAAATTACTTTGTATAATGGAGAATTGGGTCATCTGTAGAATCAAGAACTATTTCCTTATACTGCTATATTGCGAAAACAAATTATGATAAGGCCACATGAAAATAATTTTTAGATTCCTGTCTCCTATCTCTCTTCAATAGATTTTTTTTCTTCAATTTAATAGAAAATTTCACATTGTTAAATGTTTCTTTCAATTATTTTATTATATGAGTCAACGAAAATTATCTGTCATCTTGATATTGGAATAAACTAAAGAGGCTCCTTGAAATTAAATTTGTATGGCTTTATCATTTGAGATATTGCTCGTAATCTTCAGGGCTCACACTACTTCAGAATCATAGGGAGAAGTGACTTCTCTTTTTGAAATTGAGAGGGAGAAGTGGTGAGATTTGAAAGAGAAGTGCTTTTTGCTCGCTGGGCTACAATGTTTGGATTTTACTATAATACATTAAGGGCCATATGCATCTTATCTTTTTTATATTGTTCAATTTGTACCTGGGTATACAATTAACATGATTAAAGTAACTGCTCAAATTTAAAGTTGTTTAACTTTATCATATCTAGTTGCACAATCAAATGAGTTCTCTTGTCACAAAAAAAAAATTAAATATCTGGCAATAAAAAAAATTAAAATTCAATTAAAAAAACTACTCTGTTATCATGTTCATGAAATTAATTATTTCTCATTAAAAAGATATAACAGTTAAGCTTGGACCAGGAACATATATATTGACTGTTAGATATACTGTTCCCAGCTTGGACATAATATAATTTTATTAGTGCAATAGTCCCAGAGTTGAGCAACTTTAACTTATCAATTGAAACAATGCATATACATGGTAATATATACATTAATCAAGAAGATCTAACAAAAAGTATGTTGATGTGTGTGGAATGCGTAATTTTTCCTTTTGGGATCGATTTTTGTCTGTCAGTAGTGCCATTCATGCGTCCGTAGTCATTATCGCAAGAATCCGGATTTCGGTCATAGTGGGTCCGTTTCCGATGAAATCCCAACTCCGATCCGTAGTTGTTCAATAATATACCCAATAATTTAAATGTCGGACGAAGAAAAATTTACAAAAATAAAGATGTTTGACACACTATTTGGAAAGGAATATGACGTTTTTAATGCAATACATGGATAACAAGTTTACTTCAGGCAAATTTCATCAAGTTCTAATGAAGTAATAACTTATTTTGCCGAAAAGTTAGAATGATTTGATGTACGCTCTTGTATTTAAGTTGTAACAAGTACCGAAAGTGATAACAAATTGTTTTTATGAAATAACATGCCACCAGCTTAAAAATCAATGCTTTAACCCCTTTTTTGAAGAAAATAAATCGTTTATGCCTTGAATTTCCTTACTTTAGAATGAACATTGCTGTTTCGTCGACTTGGTAAAAATTGAATACTGGCGATGACGAAAGTGACTGAAACTTTGAAAGCGAGTATCGTAAACAACAGGGCGACTTGTTTTCGCTTTTGGGGATCGGGCAAAGCGAAGTGACGGACGGGAAAGCGACTTCTTTGCCCTAGTCGCCTGGTAGCGTGAGCCCTGAATATTTATGGTCTTGCATGAGAAGATTTTTTTTTATGAAATGTTTTAGAATAATATCTGAGTATTATCTCTAATGCCCATCATGTAAATATGACCATGCACATATATTGGAGGCTACCATAGTTCCTGCTCAAATTATATAACTATGATAGATTTTAATTTGCATACACAGGAAGCTGTATTTTTTTTAAGGATAATTCTACAAAAAAATGGTTAACCCTGAGACACAGAAACAGTTATATTGAAAAAGATAATTAAAGTAAAAGAATGCATGAACTGTCATAATAATTTGGATAAAAATGCAAAGAGTTGTGTTACACAACTATTTGAACCGCTGAATTTCCAGAGCTGTCTTTTTTCTTCTTCCCTTTTCGTTTTCCGTTATGTAATAACATTTCTATAAATAAATGATGTTTGTAATGAGAATATTTCCTGAATTTTAAAAACCAAGATATTTTTTTACCAAAGATGTAGTGTTAGTGTTTTAATGATGAGACGAGGTCATGAAGATATATATCTTCATAATTGGAATACAGTATACATGTTACAAAACTCAGGAAATTGCATTTAGAAGTTGTCTGAAGAAGGTATCAGACTAAACATTACCGTATATTAAATGCTATTTTATTAAAAAGCCATTACCGTAGCTTCAAAAACCGGAAGATTGTTGTTCTACTTCATTATCTTATTTTGGCATATATGACCGTGTCTAGCTAATTTTACGCACATTAATGCTACGGTGTCATTCGTGATCACATCGTCGTTTGATTTGTTATCCATTATAAAATCTCAGAGTGCCTCAGGATTGTTGTTACCATCACCGTCTTTATTACAATGATTATCATTGTCAACCTATGACCTTCAAATTGATTGTTTACAATTAAAAAAAACTTAACCTTGGCAGCTCAAATTAACCAAAGGCTAATTTGGTATTGATATCAGATCAATCCTAGTAAAGCTATACAATAATAAAGTTGACTTTTTTCAAGGACAAAATGAATCGTGTTTGAAATGAAAGTTTAAAAGAAGCTGGGGTTTGAAACTAAAATTGAAATTCAATTTTGATTTTTTTTCTTCAAGTACTTAACCATGTAACTTATACTTTAGTCATCAAAATTATCAAGTTGAGGAATTGTCTACTTGTCTACCTGTCTGTATGTCTGTGTGTATGTAATGTAGAATTTTATTATTTCATTGACTCTTGGGTATGCAGCCTTATACCGCTTACATATAGAAATTGACAATGAGTTTGGCTAAAACTTAACTTTACTTCAAAAGAGATGATAAATTTTCCCTATTGTGAGCTTTCCATTTCTGTCATGCCATCTTCCAGTAGTGCCTATATACTGAATATATATATCTCTCAGTTGATACAATATTAAGGGCTTTTGTTTCCTATCATGATTTCCTTGATGGAGGGTTGCTACTTACAAGAAAGCGTTTGAAGCAAGGGTTCCTAATATAAAAGTTCAACATTTCCTCAAAACTTTATTTCGGAGTATCTGTGTCACAGATGACTATGGTAAGGATATGTTCCATTTGTTGTAGCTAAAACCCTGTCCTCTTTCCCTTGACTTTGACATCAGGGAATGTAACTTATAATCTAATTTTACTTGTGATGAACTACATGACAGGTGCAACTAGTGGAGAAGGAAATGCTTACCCTTCCAGAGCACACAACCACTTCTTATTCAAAGTTGATATGTATTGGTTCCATTGAATATTATCAGATCAAATCTCCACCAGATGAATATTAAGGATGAGCCGAGTTAATGATAAGATTATATAGAGGTCAAAGGTCTGGTTAGACTGCAGATGAAGGATTTAAACTTTTTTTCAAAATTCAAGCTCATTTTGATAGTTGATATGCTTAATTCAGTAATTTGATTATACGAATGTATATCATTATAAACTTCCTTATAAAATTCTTTCCTAATGAAAATGTACTTGTTTTCAACAGTTTTAAATGCACACTTAAAGAGAACATAAATTACTAAATTCACTTTGAAAACAAAATCCAACAAAAGCCTTTAATGCACCCTCTAAGAATTTTGTCATACTTATTGTTAAAAACATTATGTAATTCTTTCTTTGATATTGTTGAAGTATGTTTAAATTGTTTACAGAATTACGATTTTACACAAGTTTCTATGTGACTAGAAATCTTTTAACAATCTTTGATAGATCTTGGGTTGTAGGTGCAGTAATGAACGTGATAATTTCTCTGTTTACAGATTATTTACTGTTAAAACAGTTTTTGAAAGTGTTAACTCTGAAGTAAAGTTTAAAATATTGAGATTTTATTGTTGTTTGAAAATCCTGATTATGTGCTACATATTATGATACATGAATTGATTATTGAAATGCACCAATTAAAGGTCTTTTCAATATCGTATATTTAATACATATTTAAAGTTTTAAAATATCAAAATGTTTTTTGACATAAATACCTCATAAATATCACGTTTGTCGTGATGTCTCTATGTAAACTAATATGTTGGATTAAAGTACAGTTATAAATATTTTTACAGAATAAATGATATGCCTGTGATGTTTAAAACAATTTAAAAGGATTTTGAGATCAGTGCATTAGAATAATTGTATGTTTTCATAAATATTTGTAATGAAGTTTTAAAAGATTTCTTATTAAAGTTTATGTGTGTATTTTGTTCAAATTAAAGGTGACGTGTCATAAACTATAATACTATATTTAAAAATATTGAGACCTTTATTTTTGAAAACATCAAGAATTTTGTCAATTTCTGCTGATAATTCGTGTTTTGTTACCACAAACACCTCCAGAATAGGGAAAAGTGTTGCTAAATGGCAGTTTTCAAATGTTTTTTCTGCTTTTTAGCTTACCTTTATGATCCTATATTGAATGGTCATATTGATACCTTTGGAAATAAAACATTCCCCTATGATTTCAAACAAGTTCTGTTTTTATTTTTCAAAGAAGTTATCAATTGAATGATTTAAAATTGTTACTGAATAAGAGCTGAAGTTGCCAAAGTTTGATGTTTCTTTGGTAAAAATTTCATTTTGGTCTGAATCATGATTATAGTCTTATTTAGCACAAATGCCTTAAAGATTTTATATACTATGTATATCATCCAATATTATGGCTGCAGTAGTTTAATTAGATATTCCTATTTATTAGTCTTCACAGTCACTTATGGTTGCAGTCTTGTAATTGACTGCTCCATAGGCTTACATGCTAAACAGCTGATCTTTGAAAATAAAAAAATTAAAAATGCTACATAGAAAAATTTTTCCATGTTCATATCATGTATGTACTAATGTGAAATTGTGATTTAATTGAAAAAAAAGTGGGTCATGCCACGAAGAATAAAAAGTTATGTAACCCTGAAGTCAAAACAATTTTTTTCTACTTTCTGTTTGCTGTTTTTACAAGGCCGCACCACTTTCAGTAAACATGATATCCTTCCACTTACCTGGATTGATATCCCCAAAAAGATGCAAGACTTTTTTTCAAATCTATATATATGTTTCAATTCAGTATAAACTTTTAATCAAACAGAAAAACTTGAGTCCAGAAAAAAATTCTGAAAAAAATGGACTATTTTATTTCCCTCCATGTTTTGACATGCACCGGAAACTGGAGTTGTAATACAAGACTGGTACCTTATGCCTGTATCACTCTGTTCAGTTCTTCATGAAATGGCATATCACGGCTTTGTCTTAATAACTTTGACAAAAGGTATCACTTATACCACGGTGTTTGACTGACACAGATAAGTTTGACCCGAACTTATCAAGTCATCTTCCAGTTTGCTTTTAAAACAAATAGGAAAATAATATTGCTAATGCTATAATAAAAACAAACAAATATTACTATCGAATCATTTATCATAAAAAAAATCATGTTTTGGCAATTAAACCAGAAAAAGACAAGATAAAACAGCGATCCATATTGCCATACAAAAGCAGTGTTAACTCAATTCAATGACAGAAAAATAGAAGCTATAAAAGATTACATTCCAAAATCCATAACTATAAAACATTCTCTGAAAGTGTAACTTTTCCTGTTTTCTCACAACAAATTGCTCTTTTTAAAATAAGAGAAGAGATTAAATAATTATTTATTACTTCTATGTAAATCAGATCCATGCATAGTTGTCTCATAATGTCTCAATCTTCGTGGCTGAGACCACTTGGACATGAGAACTGAGAAAACTATATCTAGTACAAAAAGTACTAGTTAGTTTTGCATTGAATTCATCGATAGATAAAGCTGGCTATATATAATGAAGTGAATTTATAGATAACAACTATTGTTTATTGTTGTTATAATTGATATCTTTTATCTGTGTTTTATATGTGATTAAGATAGTAGGACATTTTACAAAGTGAACATATAATTTTAAAAGGGTTTATATGGCTAAAGTAATGCTTCCTAGTTATGATTTTTCTTCTTGATTTATATTTTAACAGCCTGAAGCAATATTTCTTAAAAAAGGCATAAATCTGTTTCTTTAAGGGCAAAGAAGTAATAGAGTACTACATTCAGGAACTAATAACAGAAGGTACATCTTTTATAAAACCCTGGACCCCTAAAATTGAGGACACACCCTCACAGGACAGTGGTCTAAGGAGTCGGTCTAACAGTCAACACAGCAATAGCAGCCAATCTAGTCTAGTCTTAGGAGCCACTGCTGCCACCATGCATGAGAAGTCTCCTGTTTCTGAAGGTAAGAAAATAGTATATTGTGGATTCATCTATTTTTGTTGGTAAAAACTTTTATGGATTGAGGAATAATTGTATTTCTGTGCATACATGATTTTGTAGTTTTAACAAATCTGCACACAAGCCTATAGAAAATTTGTATGTTATTGAAGTCGTTATTTTAACTCAAGAAATCCATGAATATGTACATCAGTATAAATATGAATCCTCTGCACTAATGTATAAAAAAACATTTCATTCCCACATTTTACACTATGTCTATGGTAGCATGCATGCATTGAAGTGTTGGAGGTCAGATCCCCAGACTGGGCACTCCAAAAAATTTGAAATTGGCATTTGCTGCTTCTCTGTCAAGCAAGCATTATACAGCATTCAGCAATAAGATCAAAGGTTGGAAATAATGTTCTGAGGGAGGGTGACATGTAAACCTGCTGTCTTTTAGCTTGTAATGAGGCACATTAAAAATTAACTAGACATGTTAGACCTTATACAAAAGAGTTCAAAAATCATATTAGAAGAATGTATTTGTCTTGAATGTACGAAAAATATTGTCCTCTAAACATTAAACATCTACATATCTTTTGTTTTCCTGCTTTATGCTTTCTGCAGAGGTATGCTTATTAGGACAACCTTAGCTTCTAAAGTTTCCCTAATATTTTCACCATCAAATTTAATTAGTCTCTGTCAAGCAAGTATTATACAGCATTCAGCAATAAGATCAAAGGTTGGAAATAATGTTCTGAGGGAGGGTGACATGTAAACCTGCTGTCTTTTAGCTTGTAATCAGGCACATTAAAAATTAACTAGACATGTTAGATTTTATACAAAAGAGTTCAAAAATCATAATAGAAGAATGTATTTCTCTTGAATGTACGAAAAATAGTGTCCTCTAAACATTAAACATCTACACATCTTTTGTTTTCCTGCTGTAAGCATTCTGTAGAGGTATGCTTATTAGGACAACCTTAGCCTCTAAAGTTTCCCTAATATTTTCACCATCAAATTTAATTAGTCTGTGGGGAAGTGGTGCTGTATTCAGGTGTTAATTTAATATTCTATCCAGCACATTTGCAAAACTAATATCTTTCATTATAAAACTTTGATAAGAAGTAAATTTGATGTATCATATAAACAATATTTAATTAACTCCAGTCAGATATATTCCAGACAGTAACATGAAATCTATTGACTCTTTCGTAACTTGGACATCTGAAGAAGCCTCTTTATATGAAATCAGAACAATATCAGTAATTAATTTTGTCAATAGAGAATTTGATTATTTGAAATCTGATGACTTTAGAACTCGTTATGACATTTTCAGAATACCTGGTGTTAAATAACAGTAAATGTCAATAATTAAAGTAGTGATTATTTGGCATTCTGTTTCATTAACGACATCTGTAATGGATTTTTTGCACATTTAGGTGTTGAAAAATCTTTAACGTGTTAATGATATTATACAATCTTACTTAAGTACATTTTGTTATGAAAGATGGATATAGTACATGTCATTTGTCAAGCTTTTTTTAAAAGCTTAAGCTTTGTGTATCATGATTAGTTGGTATTACATGTACTATGATAAATCAAAGATATATACCTTCTTGTCAAGATGAAACCACAGATTGACAAAGTCTGAAATCTGAATCCTTTGTGAAAGTTCAATCAAGTTCAATGTCCAGTGGGACTAGTAAAAAGCATTTAAAGCATTTATGGATGGTGGGCCCATCATGAATTAATTTGTACCCATCATTCTGCAAATAATAAAATAAAACAATTTCTACATAGAATTAATTGTACCACCATGCTTTGAATTTAAAGAACACCATTCTTGAAATCACTTTAATCATCCCTCAAAAATTGACTTGGGGAAAACATGAACGCAACTAACCATAAAGGAAATCTTTGGTAAAAATTTTTTTTTACTGTGGAGTCATTATTATTTGTTGGATACCTTTTTTTTTTTGGATTCCGCTGGTACAAGTGAACTACTAATTTAAATGTTCAATCAAGTTCAAAATTTTCTTTAAGCTTGAATGCAGACTTTTGGAAACCCACAAAAACAAATATTCACAAAAAGGCATTTTTTCCTTGATCCATGGAAATTGGTATCAACGAAAATAAACGAATTCACAATACCTTAATAATTTTAATGACTTTTATGAAACTTCATTGCACTGAACTACCATTTAATCCAAATCAGATGTTAATGAATAGGTTGCTTTCGACAAGTGCCATTTTATATTTTGTTGACCAAACCTGTGTAATACTGGAAACTGCTTATACAAGATATGAGAAACACTTTTTTATGTGATTAACTTGAAGTATTATTTTCTTTACAGGTGCTCATTCTCCAGATCTTGCTGGTGGGAAACTGGAAGATGTTTACATTGAACGTTTTCTTGGTAACCTAACTCCAGTACAAGAGAATAGTCTTGTTCAACTACGCCAACTCCTGCAGACTACTCATAAAGGAAAGGTAAGCATGATAAAAAAAAGCAAACCCTGAATTTAAAAGTTCAACGAAGTACATATTTTCAATAGCCTTGCATACAGACTTTGCCAAAGCCACTAAATCAAATACTGTGGATTCATTATTATTCGTTGGATACCAATTTTCGTGGGTTTCGTGGGTACAGATGAACCACGAATTTAAATGTTCAACGAAATACAAATTTCTATAAAGTTGTATCCAGACTGTGTCAGAACCACGAAATCACATATCCAAGAAAATTCAAGGTTTCAGCAATCCACGAAAATTGGTACCCACGAAAATAAATGATTCCACAGTATTAATGAAAATACAACTTTTTCTCAACGAAAATTGGTAATGAATCTTCAGTATGATAAGACTTAACTTTAAATTTTCCTTTTTTGAATGTATGTTGAGTTAGGTAAATCTAGCTGCCTATATTAAATATACTATTCTAATTCCTATATGAAATGTACTAAGACATCATCTGAAATGGCGGAAAATATGTGTTTGAAATTAAAATGTTTATCTGCATGCAGTCAGATGTATGCTTCCATCACTATGTCTTGTTTTTCAGATTCCAAAGGATGCCCATATTTTACGTTTCCTACGTGCTAGAGATTTCCACAGAGAAAGGGCAAGGGAGATGCTTGTTCATTCCATGGCTTGGAGAAAGCTCCACAATGTTGACGGTTTATTAGAATCATATCAAGCTAGTGAAGTTATAGACCAGTACTATACTGGAGGCTGGCATTACTGTGATAAAGGTATGGGAATTTTTAATTACTGTGAACTCATTATTATTCGTGTCATACCAATTTTTGTGGGTACTGGTGAACCACAATTCAAATGTTCATTGATATACAATGTTTATATAGGCTCTTTATAATGCAGACTAAAAACCACAAAATCAAATAGCCATGTAAAAAATAGTTTTTCTTTAATCCAAGAAAAAATTGATATACATAAAAAAAGTACAAGACAGAATGCTCTGAGATAATATAAAAAATAAGATGTGGTAGGATTGCCAATGAGACAACTATCGTCCAGAGACCAAATGACATAGAAGTTCGAATAAAAGGACTGTCACATGGCCTTTACAATTCAGCTCTAATATTTTGATATAAAACATTTACAGCTATGATCAAGTGTTCAACTCTTCTTGATTATAGTTATTTTTATCAGCTTTAATACCAATCTGATTGAAATATAGTTCTTTGTCCATGCTTGGCTTACAAGGATATGACTGAGCTTTGTTCTATTTTCTGTTTTAAAGACCTTTCTGGACCCTCTGGTTTTGTTGTAATGATACACACCTTGAAAAATATGGAGGCTAAAATTTCATTGGCTGATGTAATAATTACAGGAACATGAAGTCGAATGGAGTGATTTTAGATCCTTGAAATTGAAGCCTGGATACAAAATCAGTATTTTAATCAGATTTTATTACAATAATTACAGTTTGTGAACATTGATGGGTTTTTTTTGTAGATTTTTTTACTGATATTAATTGAATGAGAGATAAAAGACATGCAGGAACCACTGAGACTTAATTCCTTTATTTTTTCTTTTAACCAATCTTCCTTGTTTAAAAAAAAAGGTTACCATTACTCTCATACATGTATATAAGGTATTTACTTTTATGATTTGAGAGCAACAGTTTTTGAATACTGCCTGAAATTTTATGAAACAGAAAGTCACAAAAATTTACATCACATGACTATAAGTAAACATTCAGTTGCATGTATCAGGTTATCCTAGCACAGTATACATGGTATACAATGCAAAGGAATATACATTGCAAATATTGAAATCTATTTCCTATCTTTACCATAATCTAAATTTAGATGGCAGACCATTGTATGTATTGAAGTTAGGACAGATGGATGTTAAGGGTCTGATTAGGAGTGTTGGAGAGGAAGCAATACTAAAACATGTAAGTACAATGTCAACATCAGTAGAAAATTAGTCTGATTATTAATGTTAAACAGATAGATTACTCATCCACCCAGGCCCATGAAGATAGTTTTAATTCCTGTGATATGATATATTTTAATAAGGGATAATCTAATTTTAAATCAACTTTATAATTTCTGTTTCTTGTAAGGATTAAACATATTATATTTTAGTGATTTTTTCAAACCAACTGCATACATGCATTAGTTATAATACAGTCTTTTTGTACATTGTCAATTGCAACAGTTTCTTATTAGCCCCCTACCAACCAAGTCGAAGGGGACTTTAGGTTTGCACTCCATCTGTCTGTCTGTCTGACTGTCTGTCTGTTTGTCTGTCTGTCTGTCCATCCGTCAGTCCGGCAAATCAGTTTTCCACACTTTTTTCTTCATGCATTAAGATATTGATTTGATATTTGGTGTATTGTTTTATCATGACAAGTTACAGATTAATTTCGCATTTTGTTTCGGTCTGATGATTTTGTGCAGAGTTATGGTCCTTTGACTTAGAAAATTCACTAAAATAATCAGTTTTCCGCACTTTTTTTTGTCATTCTTGAAGATATTGATTTGATAATTGGTATATAGTTTTATCATGACAAGTTACAGATCAAGTTCGAATTTTGTTCTGGTCTGATGATTTTGTGCAGAGTTGTGGTCCATGGACTCAGAAAATTCACTTAAATAATCAGTTTTCAACACTTTTTTTCGTCATGCTTGAAGATATTGACTTGGTATTTGTTATATAGTTTACACCATGACAAGTTATAGATCAAGTTAGCATTTTGTTCCAATACAATGAATTTTTAACCTGTAGAGGACTATGTATTACCATGCAATACTCACAAAATGCTTGTTGATAAATGTTTTACAACATGTACAGACGAATCAGATATTTTTAAATTATGTGTATGTTTTATTCAAGTTTATTTTTATGGAAATTGTGAAGTGTCAAATTGTTCATAGTAACTTGAAAGCTCATAATCATAGTAATTTATAGTAATGGGATATCAAGAATTTTACATAAACAGTATTTTTATCAATTTTCCATGAACAAGATCATTAAAGCAGTAAATGAACAGGAAAATTGATGGATTATGTCAGTGAAAAATACTCAGTTTAAAATTTCAATACACAATACAAACTCATGAATTGTTATAATATTTTATTAGATTAAATATCTCCTTACTATTGAATGTAGGTACAGCGTTATGCAATAAGTATTTGTCATCTACAATTTTTTGCGATATATTTCATATCAAACCACATTTTTTTCAAAAAAATTATTGTGGGATCATTTCCTGTTGGATTTTCATCAACTTGGTGTCAATACAATAGAAGTAGAATTGTCACTGATTTATGTGTTATTAAGTCATAAGTTTATTGGGAAATGTTCTCTTTTTCTGATGATTTAATCACAAGTATTTATATTTGTCTCTAAATTTGCTTTATATTTCAGCCAAATTATATTATCATACATATTCACATCAGGAGAAAACAAAAACAACTTATTGCATAACACTGCACTTGCTCTTAAAGTACTTGTATATTACAAGAGTTAGTGCAAAGGGTTGTTCTCGGTGCACATGATTCTTACATAATACGTTATTGATATTAAATAGATATGAAAAGATTTAGTATAAGATATTATTTGTAGGTTTTGAGTGTGAATGAAGAGGGTTTGAGGAGATGTGATCAGGCAACACAAATCACAGGATATCCAGTGTCGTAAGTATTGGCATGTACCGCGTACATGTTTTAAACACCATCTGTTTGACGTTATAAAAATTTTGGTGGATAATGCTTGGATGTATTCTAGACTTGTAGATTCACATCTATAGGGATGAATATGCAGATAACAAATTTTGACCCTGTTCAGAAATACGCCTTGTTATTGAAACTCTTACTACATTGTTATTGCAAAAGAAAGAAACTTTTCCACGAAATCATTTCCTTTTGGTTAAGGTATTTAAACTTTTATCAGTTCACTTGTCCCATTGAATAAATACAATAGCTATTGTTCTCTGTGTAGTTTATTCACTGGGAATTTTTTCTAAGAGAAATCCATCACTAATTGATTAATTTACCTGTAGAAAAAATTGTCTTCTATGTAGATGAAAATACATATATCAATTCACAAAACTGCATGTGATGTTGTATTATTAAATATCAATGATTTAATCATAAAAAGTTTATTTTTGACAAAATTTTTAGGATTGTTCCTATTGAAATTTGCATTTTTTTTTGTGTTTGCTTAGTTATAGCATACATTTAAGAAGGCCTTAATTTAAACATCGTCATTTTCCAGTTTGTAGTTGTCAAATACACACAAAAAAAACTTTTGTCAGAAATCAACTTTTAATGTTTTTTGTCGAGCCTTCGACTTTTGTCGAAAAAGCGAGACATAGCGATCCTCCTTTCCGTCGGCGGCGGCGTCCACAAATATTCACTCTGTGGTTAAAGTTTTTGAAATTTTAATATCTTTCTTAAACTATCCTGGATTTCTACCAAACTTGGACAGCAGCTTGTTTATGATCATAAGATAATATCCAAAAGTAAATTTTGTAAAAAAAAAATTCCATTTTTTCCGTATTTTACTTATAAATGGACTTAGTTTTTCTGCCAGGAAACATTACATTCACTCTGTGGTTAAAGTTTTTGAAATTTTAATAACTTTCTTAAACTATCCTGGATTTCTACCAAACTTGGAAAGAAGCTTGTTTATGATCATAAGATAGTATACAGAAGTAAATTTTGTAAAAAAAAAATCATTTTTTCAGTATTTTACTTATAAATGGACTTAGTTTTTCTGTCAGTTAACATTACATTCACTCTGTGGTGTAAGTTTTTAAAATTTTAACAACTTTCTTAAACTATCTTGGATTTGTACCAAACTTGGACATAAACTTGTTTATGATTAAAAGCTAGTATCTAGAAGGAAATTTTGTTAAAATTTTGTTAAAATTTTGTTCCATTTTTTCCGTATTTTACTTATAAATGGACTTAGTTTTTCTTCCAGTTAACATTACATACAGTGTGCAGTTTAAGTTTTTAAAACATTTATTAGATTCATAAACTATCCTGGATTTTTACCAAACTTGGACAGAAGCTACTTACAATCAAAAGATAGTATAGAGAGGAATATTTTTATTAATTTTTTTCCTCATTTTTGTTGAGCCTGCGATTAACAGCAAAAGTAGGCGAGACACTGGGTTCCGCGGAACCCTTACGAATTTTTTTATATATATATATATATTTGGAACATTGAACAGTAATTATATAATTAAATTTATCTATCGATTCAAAATATTGTTTTCAGAGGATGTACCTGTATTGTTGATTTGGAAGGTTTGAGCATGCGACATCTTTGGCGACCAGGAGTCAGAACATTGCTACGCATTATTGAAGTTGTAGAAGCTAATTATCCAGAGACAATGAACAAATTATTGATAGTTAGAGCTCCAAGAGTGTTTCCTGTATTATGGACATTAATAAGTCCATTCATTGATGAAAATACGAGGCAAAAATTCATGATATATGGTGGGAAAGATTATCAAGGAGCAGGAGGATTGATAGAATTCATTGATAAAAAATATATACCAGATTTTCTGGATGGAGATTGCTATGTAAGTCAAAATAGGGATTGGCATTCACATGTACGGTCAATAGGGGATTTCCGAGATGGTTGCTGATTTGCCATTTCAGAATTTTAAGAAATTCTGTGAAAAGTTTTTGAAAGCTTACACCAAAACGTTGTGATTGGCTTACACAATTCTGAACAATGGGAATTCATCCAATGACATGACATCATTTTCATTTTGGGGTACGAACAATGAAATTATCCACAATCCTTTAGATTCTGAAACAGTCAATCAACATGGAGGTTGCAAATGTCTTTATCATGTGACATTTTTCTAGGCATCTGTCATGCCTGTCTAGTCTTTATTGCAGTTGAATTAAGCAAACAGAATGATTATACCCCCGCTTTAAAAAAGAGGGGGAGGGGGGGGGTAAACTGTTTTACCTCTGTCTGTCCTTCCGTCAGTCTGTCCGTCAGTCCATCCGTCCGTCCCATAAATGTTTTCGTCGCATTTTTCTCAGGAACTACTTTACAAGGATTTCTGAAATTTGGTTTCAGGGTTTATATAAGTAAGTTACACCGTGTGATGTGTTTTCAGATTCATCACTCAACAACTTCCTGTTTACCGAACACTTGTATTATTTTACGCATGATAGCCAAGTTGAAAATTTTCGTCACATTTTTCTCAGGAACTACTTGACAAGGATTTCTGAAATTTGGTTTCAGGGTTTATATAAGTAAGTTACACCGTGTGATGCGTTTTCAGATTCATCACTCAACAACTTCCTGTTTACCGAAATATTTCGGCGGGGGTATCATCAGTGAGCAGTAGCTCACAGTTTTACTTGTTTTATCAGATTTCTATTTGAAATATTCATCCCCTTTTCTTTTTTGCCCCCTGTTGTAAATATATTACCCAATATTGATATTTCATGCAGACAAGATGTTTTTTTTTTATCCACACTACACCTAACTTTCTGAAATAATCACAGACTGGTGTTTATTATAAGAATGAAATCAGATTCTGAGTAAAAGACTATCTCTGAAGTGGTATATTCTTTTATAAATAAATATTCCATTCCTGTAAGAAGGACCTCTTAAATTTAAAACTTGTGTTGAATATGTATGATATATTTGCCACTGGACATAAATTGAGATAAAAAATTTTATTTTTTTTGTGTCACCTCAACAGCACCTTGATGCTTGCGAGATACCATTCTAGTTTCAATGATGGTTTGCTCATTTCGAAACTTTGACTGAGTTTAAGAAAGTGTTTCATTAGAAGACGGAGTTTTCAAATATCCTAAAACCTTATAATTGATTGATTATAAAAAAGAAGATGTGGTATGATTGCCAATGAGACAACTCTTCACAAGAGACCAAATGACACAGAAATTAAACAACTATAGGTCACCATACAGCCTTCAACAATGAGCAAAGCCCATACTGCACAGTCAGCTATAAAAGGCCCTAAAATGACAATGTAAAACAATTCAAACGAGAAAACTAACGGCCTAATGTATGTACAAAAAATGAAAATGATTGTTTACTTTATGTCCAGTGACAAATATTTCCTGCATGTTCAGGATGTGAACAAATTAACAATAAAACAATAAACAATAGGTAAGTCCTGCAATAGGTGGAGGACCGGGATGATAGCTGGGAAATTTGGAATGCCACTGGAAAAGGAGGGTATATTGGATATGGACAGAAATTTAGCCTTGCATGACATCTTACAGATTAGGGATTTGATTAAGCCTTAGCAACTGTGACTGATATCGATATCATCCTGGATGCCTGATACAGCATGTTGGCCATTGATTGTTACACATACAACCTAATTATATTTGTTACTAAGTATATAATAATATAATTTATATAATTTTTCAGTGTGATGTACCTGAAGGAGGATTAGTGCCAAAAGCTTTATATAAAGAAGAATACTCAGATAAATCTCCCGAGGGTCCCCCACTTAGTATTGACAGCCTTTATCAAACAAGTTATGTTGTAAAGGATTTTTGTCATGAAGTAAGTACTTCCTGTTTTGAACAAGTTATCCAGCTCCAGGATTTTCACTTTGTGTTATAAGCTTATGTGTATCAATCAATGTAAAAGTAAGGAGATATGATATGATTGCTAATGACATCATTATCCACTAGAGTCCATTGTGATTATGAGTAACTATAGGTCACCGTACGGTCTTCAACAATGCCAAAAACTCATACTGCACAGTCAGATCTGTTATGAAGTAAAATGCAACCTATATTGACCTCAACAGAACTTTATTGACTGCTCACTATTGAGAGTAAATGATATAAGTTTAATTAAAGTAAAACTTCTTGAAGAAAGTTCACACTGGTTGCAACTTCAAAGAATTTAAGGGCAGCAACTCTGACAGCTAACATCAGACACTTGACATGATGAAACAAATTTTTTTGAGAAATAACACAGTCAAACTGAACATGACTTTCTTACAAGTGTACAGTTTAATTGCTTATGTTGCATGATTTAAAGATTTTTGGGGAAAGACGGCTTCAAGCTGTCAATTCCCTATTTGGTTGGCCAGACTTCCAAGCCTCTCACGTCAGTCATTTTGTTTTTATAGTTGGGAAAACACCTCAAAATTTCATACGGAAATTGAAGAGAAGGAGACACACAAATGAACAGATTGACTTTAAACACTTTTTTATACATTTCCCTTCTGTTTATCATGAAATTATCGTATCTTGAGCTCTCTCGTACACTATTTACGTTTCATTTATAATCTGGGAAAATCAGTATTATGAAATATTCTAAACATATCCAACCTAGTGACGTCATGGTTGGAATGCCACACTAGGTAGAAGCAGGGATATACTTTACTCATTATTAAAATCATTCACAGAAATCGTGTACAAATTTAAAATCGGTATTTGTTTATTTAAACATAATTATGTTTGCTGTAGATGATCCAAACATCAATTGTTTAATTTTTAGGTCAACTTTCGCGGTAAACAATGGGGATACACGAGATTGGGGAGAGAAACATCAGTTTTCATTCTTTCTGTAACTGTAACTGTATTGAGAATCTTCCTCCAATACAGGAGCACCTCAATTGATGAGTAATTATCCACCTAAATAAAAGTTAATGTATCTGAACACTTAAAATGTGACATTTATTATATGATAAGTAGTCTCCTATTAAAAAATTTTGTGTACCAACATAATCATTGTAATGGCAAAAAAATTCTAAAATTTTCCAATGTTGCTTTTTGTAGTTTAAACATATTTATTCATGAAATTTACAAATATATCAAAATGTAGGATCTGGAAACAAGCTGCACACAGCTTATATCAATCTGATTGATTTTTGTAAGTACATGTATCCCTGTGCTGAGAGTTGTAACTGGGAACTTTATCAATGGAAATTTAAAACTGAATAGACTTTTCAGTCCTCACTTTCTTGAGAAAAAAAATTAAAATCTTGTAGCACTGTCACAAAAAATGGAGAATGGCCCTAGCCTGCAGTGTAGTGGTACACAATTAAAATTTGAAAATATATTGTAGTAGTTATTAAATGATAGAATTCAATTGAATTTTAGATAATTAACTTTCAGTTTTAATCAAATGTTTTGATTTAGAAGGTGCAGATCTCTTCCATTGGTCCAAATTGACTCCATGATGAATTCTTGACTAAGCAAATGAAATTACATTAAACAACAATTAATTTTAATATTGTCAACCTTTCTACATGTTCAAGCTGTTCTTTTGCTAATTCTTTGTATTAAGACTATCAAAAGTTCCCAAAAAACAAAAATAGAAACAATGGCCGTCTTTTCCCTTAGAGCTCTTAAGCTCTTTGATTGTAATTTATGAATTAAATAAAATTGAGAATGGAAATGAGGAATGTGTCAAAGAGACAACAACCCAACCAAAAAGCAGAAAACAGCCCAAGGCCATGAATGGGTCTTTAACACAGTGTGAAAATCCCTCACCCAGAGGCAAGCTTCAGCTGGCCCCTAAACAATAAAACCTGTCATGAACTTTATACGCCTTGCTGCTATAGGGACCTCACCTCAGTACCAAAAGCTTTTATCAAACAATTATTTTTATTACAAAAGACTTTAAGGAAGATCACTCCTATTGTTTTTGAATTTTTGTCAGATATTCTGAATCCTCTAGTTTTATCATGTAGTGCCAATAAAAATTTTGATCGCAAACCCCTACTTTGTCTTTTTATAATTTTATTACATATAGTTTAAAAAGCCATATTTGAAAATCTTTTAAAATCTTTGTTATTTTTTATACAACCACAAAAAAAATTTTGTGGTCATATATTGGTATGACGCTGGCATCGTCGTCGTCGTCTTCGTCTGAATACACATTATTTTTTTGCGCTCTAACTTTAGTTTAAGTGAATGGATCTCAATGAAATTTTACCATAAGGTTCAATACCACAGAAGGAAGGTGGGGATTGATTTTGGGGGTTGTGGTACCAACAGTTAAGGAATTAGGGGTCAAAAAGGGGCCAAAAATTAGCATTTTTGTGACTTCCAGACATAACTTGTGTGTAAGTGTATGGATATCTCTGACATTGTACCACAAGGTTACATATCACAAAGGGAATGCTGGGATTGATTTTGGTGGTAATTGCCTCCAAATTTTAGGAATTAGGGGCCAAAAAGGGGCAAAAAACAAGCATTTTTCTAGTTTCATGACAATAACATGTGTGTAAGTCTATGGATCTCTCTGACATTGTATCACAAGGTTCCATATCTCAAAGGGAATGCTGGGATTGATTTTGGGGGTAATTGCCTCCAAATTTTAGGAATTAGGGGCCAAAAAGGGGCAAAAAACGAGCATTTTTCTAGTTTCATGACAATAACTTGTGTGTAAGTGTATGGATCTTTATGAAATTGTACTACAAGGTTCCATATCACAAAGGGAAAGCTGGAATTGAGTTTGGGGGTAATTGCCCAAAAAGTTTGGGAATAAGGGGCCAAAAAGGGGCCAAAAAACAAGAATTTTTCTAGTTTCCAGACAATAACTTGTGTTCAAGTGTATGGATCTCTCTGAAATTGTACTGCAAGGTACCATACCACAAAGGGAAGGCTGGGATTGATTTTGGGGGTAATTCCCTCAAAATTTTAGTAATTAGGGGCCATAAAAGGGCAAAAAAACAAGCATTTTTCTAGTTTCAGGACAATAACTTGTGTGTAAGTGTATGGATCTTTATGAAATTGTACTGCAAGGTTCCATATCACAAAGGGAAAGCTGGGTTTGAGTTTGGGGGTAATTGCCCTAAACGTTTCGGAATTTGGGGCCAAAAAACAAGAATTTTTCAAGTTTCCAGACAATAACGTGTGTTCAAGTTTATGGATCTCTCTGAAATTGTACTGCAAGGTACCATACCACAAAGGGAAGGCTGGGATTGAGTTTGGGGGTGATCAATCATAAGGGGGTTCAAAAAATTTGGGGGGGGGGATTTTTTTTTCCTTTTTTTTTCTTTAAAATTTTCCATTTTAAATTGGTTATTTCTGATTTATATATAAAAGCAAATAATAATGATATGGTTTGAATAGGTAAATTAAAAATTTTTAAGTTCTTAGACCACTTTCATTCTGTGTCAGAAACCTATGCTGTGTCAAATATTTAATTACAATCCAAATTCAGTGCTGTATCAAGCTTGGATGTTGTGTCCATACTTGCCCCAACTGTTCAGGGTTCGACCTCTGCGGTCGTATCAAGCTGCACCCCAGCGGAGCATTTTATTCACAGTTTTTGAAAGAAAAAAAGTGCTAATGTTAAATGTATGAAAAATCTAGAGAGAATCACTTTCCGGCAAATTTTCAATGGCTTATCGAAAACAAGCACACAGACCTTTCAATTTTTTCAGCTTTTTTAGTTCCTTTGTTCATATACTTTCAGTTTATAACAGTCTTGTAAGCGGGTGTTTTTTTTTAACAGAGTTGCGAACATCCTTAATCCAAAAGTAAAAACACATGTAAAAAACCTCATGAAACATCTATCCCCTTGTGCAGCTACTACACATCAACAAATAATGAAAGATTTACTGTTAAAGGAGATAAACCCTGTTGGAACCTTTTTGTACAGTTAGTCCTTTTAGTGACTGTAATAGAATATTGACAGTATAAATTATTTGATAACAAGGGTTAATTCAGCAGAACATTATCAATTTGATCTTGTTGTACACAGGTTATTTTTTTGCTCTTAACACAAACTAAATGTAAACTGTACAGCTAAAATCTTTCAATGTGTAAATGAATACATTCAGAAAATGTTACATGTGTTCTGCAAAGTATTTAATCCATCTAAAGATTATACACACTGCAGATGCATATATATTTTCATCGATACCAATTTTCGTGGATTGGGGAAAACTTTTTGATTTCATGGTTTTGCCAAAGTCTGCTTACAAGCCTATAGAAAATTTGTACTTTGTTAAACATTTAAATTCTTGGTATACTTTTACCTTAGAAATCCACGAAAATTGGTATCCCACGAATAGTAATGAATCCACAGTAGGTCCTTTTGCCATTATTTTACTAATTATGCCCCCCCATAGATGACAGGTCATTAAGTGTTACCCTTGACCTTCCACCTTTCCATCTTTCTGTCCTTTTGTCTTTGCGTACATCCATTCCATTTTTTCATTTGTTTGAAGCTTGATTGGGGGCGTTTGTGTCCTCAGATAATAATTTTGATAATATTTTGGTGTTTAATATTACAGGTATTAATAAATGTACCACAGCGAGGATCTGTTATCACGTGGGACTTTGACATTCTTAAAGGGGACGTAACTTTTACTGTGATTCGTTATAAATATGGAACACTTCCCGCAGAACCATATCATCAACATCATGTCCAAAGTGCAATGGGTGGAATAGGATCTGTACAGTATATAGACAAAACTATGCAGGTTGGAAAAGATCTGACAATTGTTGAAGCTCCACATATATGCAGGGATGGAGATAGTGTTCAGGTTAGACAACTCTTGTTACTTGAGGATTTTGAAATAAGAATTTAAAACAATATATTATTTGGGAAAAATTCATTATTTTCAAATGAGTTCTAGAACATTTTTTATACGACCGCAAAAAATTTTTTTTGCGGTCGTATATTGGTATGACATTGGCGTCGTCGTAGTCCTAAGACCCATTGGTTTTCGCACAATAACTTTAGTTTAAGTGAATGGATCTCTATGAGAATTAAACATAAGGTTTATAACCACAAAAGGAAGGTTGGGATTGATTTTGGGGGTTATGGTCCCAACAGTTTAGGAATTAGGGGCCAAAAAGGGGCCCAAATAAGCATTTTTCTAGTTTCATGACAATAACTTGTGAAACAGTGTATGGATCTCTCTGAAATCATACCACAAGTTTCCATACCACAAAGGGATGGTAAGGATTAGATTTTGGGGGGTAATGGCTCAAACCGTTTAGGAATTAGGGGCAAAAAAGTGAGAAAAAACAAGGGTGTCCTGGTTAATGGACAATTACTTAAATACAAATGACAGTGTAAGGGAGGTAATTCAAAAACTACTTTGAATTACCTCCCTTACACTGCTTTTAAGTTATGTATAAAGAATTTTTGTATTGTCACGAGGTGATTAGCTGTCAATTCATTTTTAGAAGTTACTATTTTAATAATTTTAAAAATGCTGATTAAGGTAAATTAATTTTAGCTATGATTATGTATGTCATTTTCTATTTCAAGACTTTTATGATGTATTTAAATGATGTATTTAAATGAGTTATTATGGTTGCAAATTCCATTGGAAATTTGAATTGAAATTATGACCATGACTGAGGTGGGGGGAGGTTAAAAAAAAATTGGGGGGGGGGGGGGGGGGGGGGGAATGGACAATTTTTTCTCCTCAAGATTTCAGAAATCAAAAAGAAAATCCTTCAAATTTTATTTTTTTTAACAATAACGGGGGGAGGGGAGGTCAATTCGCAACAGCATAGTGTATTGCACAAAAGCAAAAAATTGAATATAGATTCAAATCATATAACCAATTCTAAGTTCTTTGACTACAGTTATTCTGTGTCAGAAACCTATTATGTGTCAAATATTGAATTACAATCCAAATTCAAACCTGTATCAAGCGCGAATATTGTGTCCATTTTTGCCCCAACTGTTCAAGGTTGGACCTCTGCGGTCGTATCCAGCTGCTCTCAGTGAAGCAATTTATTCATAATGGGGTAAAGGTTTTCTTATGGAATATTTACAAAATAAAAAAGTACATCCTATATACTAGGTAATTTTATATACATTTTAAGTCAAAACTTCATGAGACATTGATGAAAGGAAAAATATTAAAGATAAAGTTAATTGTCTTTGAATACTGTAAACTAATGCTTTTCTTGATGTGTTATTTTTCATGATTTATAAAGTTTTTTTCTCTTCGTTATTCTATGTTGGTATTATTTCCACTGAAACTTGTTACTTATGATGTTTATAATCTTATTTGGATAACTTATCTTTAAACAGGGTTCGATCGTAACAAATCAAGCTGGTAGTTATATACTGCAATGGAAGTACTTTGACTCCAGTAAAGCTGCTTTTGATTTTCCATTAGCTTCACACAAGTCCAAAGTTATGTACCATACAGATGTACTCAAGTCGGAAGCATTTAGGTATAGTGTATGAATTAATATCTATATGTTTAACTCATTTACATGTCTGAATTTAGGCCACAAAAACCTGCAGTCTTATTGAGATTTTTATGTCCCTGAGTATAGTGTTACATAAGGCCATCATTCTGTCATTCCATCTTTCTGTCCTTCTTAAATCAAACACTCATCTAGTCTTTGTTTAATTATGCTTGCAGATACTGATTTGATTTTAGGTAAACTAGTGCTTAAGACTAAGAGTTTGCATTTCTTTCTGGTTGACAGACTTTTGGTGGAATTATGGCTCCTCTACTTGGAAAATTTTATGAAAATTGTAATTGTCCAAATTTTTTTAATGTAATTATAAAAAAGAAGATGCGGTATGATTACCAATGAGACAACTCTCCACAAGAGACCAAATGACACAGAAATTAACAATAATAGGTCACTGTACGGCCTTCAACAATGAGCAAAGCCCATACCGCATAGTCAGCTATAAAAGGCCATGAAATGACAAATGTAAAACTATTCAAACGTGAAAACTAACGGCCTAATTTATGTACAAAATAATGAACGAAAAACAATTAGGTAACACAGCAACAAACGACAACCACTGAATTACAGGCTCCTGACTTGGGACAGGCACATACAGAATGTGGCGGGGTTAAACATGTTAGCAGGTGCCCAACCCTTCCCTAACCTGGGACAGTGGTGTAACAGTACAATATAAGAACAAACTATAAAAATCAGTTGAAAAAGGCTTAACTCATCAGATGGATACAAATAGAAATACTTCTAACAAAAACACACAGTAGACGTGGACGGGTACTTGTACATCCCAACAACAAAAAGACACTAAGTACAGATCTGAGAGTACTCGCAGTTACTGACAGCTTGTTCAAAGCCAATAACAATTAAAAAAAAAAAAAATCATGCATCTAAGACTAAATTATCAATCAGTACACATCCAACATCCAATGGATTTAGTATAAAGACGTCATAAACAGTCAGTTATGTGAACATCATTGATAATTTAAATTTATGGTTCACCTATCTCCATGAAATCCAAGAAAATTGATATACCAAGAATAATAATGAATCAACAGTACATTGTCAAAGATAAATAATACTTTATACATTTTGTTTCCACAGAGGATCAATGAGCAGTCTACAGTCATGTCATAGTGGATTTTCCTCCTTGAGTTTAAGTACTTCACAGAGTACAGGGAGCTTAAACGCCAATAATCCTAACAGGTAAATTATGTCAGAGTACTATGACTTTAATGGCAATATTTTGAATCGGCAAATAATATTTTAGGATACTGGAATCTTTTAAAAATGGCAATGATCTTTACATACGAAATATTACACAGTATTGTCAGAATTGAAACAGCATTAAACATAACAGGTTAAATAGGACAAAACACAAGTATCTGAAATGGATATACATATACACAGAGCACTTGGAGTTCAGTTGGCAATAATTCTTAAGAAAATATATTACAAAGAACTTGGGAGTTTAAATTGTGATAACCATAACATATAAAATATCACAATTTACTGGGAGCTAATACAGAATACAGAGTTTTGATTCCCATAGAAACCAGGAGTACTGGGAGCTTACATGGCTTTAATCCTATCTGGTAAAATATTACCTCTGATTTGGATTACTGTAAATTTAGAAGTTATTGCGTGGATTTATTATTGCGATTCTAGTGGCCACAGAAATGAGGGGCTTAGCAAAACATAAAGTGTAGTTTGGATTCATTTATTTTCATGGATTGGGGAAAAATTGTATTTTTTGGGGATATTTGATTTCGTGGTTTTGCCAAAGTCTGCATACAAGCCGATAGAAAATGTGTACTTTGTTAAAATTTTAACTGTGTGGTTGACCTATACCCAAGAGGTCAACGAATATTGGTATCCCAAGAATGATAATGAACCCACAGTATACAAATGAAAACACTGAATCATTATATCATTCACTTTTTGTCTAATTATAGAAACATTTTATTTCTAATTGGTTATTGAAAGATACCAATTGAATCGTTATAGTGAAGCTTTAAGAATACTTCACTAAATATTGTAAATCCTTTATCATATTAATCACGGCATTAAGGAGTAAGAGAAATGACTGGTCGGCTCGGAGTCTTAGTATTGTGTGCTGGTATGGTTACATGTAGCGTCCGGACTGTTACATTGTGACCTAGCACTTTAAAATTATGTTTCGGCGTGTCGGTCTAGTACAAAGCAGGTTTCATATTCATATGGCACTGTTATGTTCTCGCCCTGAATATGCATTTGAGTTGCCACTGGACATTAAACAGTCGGCCATCCATCCATCATATTTTCATTAACGTTTGATAATTTTTCAGAGATCATAATACATCATAAAGGTAATGACACTAAATTCTTCCAGCAATGTTAGATACAAGAATTAACCTTTAACTACACAACCCTATTTGCACACATTTGAGAAAGAAAAAAAAAAGTTTTCATTTGCATGCACTTAAATTTCATTGTTTACTCCTCGACAGATTTTGAAAATACAATATAAACACACCTTAATTGTATTTCAAATTTTTAACCTGCTGTACTCTGATAGAATTTGCATAAAAGTAGGATAAAGTTTTTACGACTTTAAAGTATGTATGCATAATATATATACCATTTTTACAGCTGAAGCATTGAATATTTAAAGCGCATTTTTTTTGCATTTATTGAAATAGCCCTTGCTGTTTCTTGTACTATATTACCATCCAGACACTTATAAAATTGTAGCTTTTTTGCTGCTATGTTTTCCTTAAAAATACTATACTTGCTTTTAGCATACAGTGTTCTCCCCAGGATTTTTTTAAGGCGCAACATTCAAGGGCGCGTAACTCTTTTTTTAGAGTGAACGTTTGTGATCTGAAGCAATAAGTCATAAGTCATGACATGCAATATGAATTATAATGCTTTGTGTTTATATGTGTTTAATAATGCAGAGTATTAATGAATTACAAGAATATATATATGAAATAAATTGATTTTAAACACAAAAGTTATATTCAGTCAATTAAAGAAGTCAAAATATAAATATTCATCTCTACTCTCTGCTTCTTCTAGGGATATTGTTTCAAGATAGTGTTATTTTGTTGGACATTCTGTTCCTCAACTTTGTATTTATCCTCTTCAGGGTTAAAAATTAAACCCCCACTCACAATAACTTTTGCTTATACCCCCTTTAACATTTCTAAGCCATGAAAGCTCAGTCAGCCACTTGTCATTGAAACCAGAAACATGGTGCTTGCTTTTATCAATTGCTAAAACTTGAGCTTGGTTGGGATTAGGAGAAGCAATGAAATCTGCTTATACTGACAGTGTAGACGGAGGTGTATTCCCCTTTTCATTAGAAGTCATTGGTCTGAACTTCTACTTCCATCATCTACCTTTTGCTTATAATTCACCACTTTGTTATTTGCAGAGAACATGTTCATTCAGAATTAATTAAATCGAATATGGTTAAGATATTTGGTATACAACTTTTTAAAACAATTTTTTTTTATAAATGAACAGCTGACCAGTTTCCGTAGTTTCACATTACGCTTCCATGCGTATTATTGTTTAATCCTATCTTTGGCAGATAGATATAAACGAAACTTTACAAATTCGTTAAAGTTAAAACCATTGAAATTATTTACCAGTGACATTATACAGAAGCTGCGGCGATTCTGTACCCGTGTTGATTGTCACATATTTCCCGACGCACGGATTCACGATCGATGTTCAATGATCATTTTATTTCTAAAAATATGACAGTTTCAGACGAATTTAACTTGCAAGCAACATTTTTTCACTTTCTATTAAAGTAAATCACTCCTCGTTATCTTTTAATTTTTTCAACTACTAATACTTTCATTCATAGTTTTCATCGTAAATATCTTTGGCAATGTGTATTCAAATTTATCATGTGTATTCAACACGTTCATTGGTCGTGTTTAAATAGATTCTTCTTCTCGACCAATGAAAAAATTCGTTATATAAATGGTCAAGTGATCACACACACGATGCGTAAATACAATGTATTTGCGATCTATTTCTTCAATTTCTGCACTGAAGTTTTTAAAATTTTTAATTTTCTTCAAAAAATATCTATCTTCTTGATGATCATTTAAGCTTTTACCTGATAACATAGTCCGATAAGGCTGAGATAAGCGTGGCTCAGGTAAAACTAATTATCAGTTATTGCGTAACACTGACCGACCCATCAGCGGTGATCAGTAACTTGACAATTTTAACCAACATTTATAATGAAAATGTGAAAATTAACACGCTGCGGGATCAAGTATTAAGGGACAGCGGCCAATTAAGACGCTGCGGGATCTACAAAAATATTATGAAGGCGCTGCGGCACCGCAGCGTCATATCGGCCTGGGGAGAACACTGGCATATAAATTACTTTATATTGCAAATTGTTTCATCATTTTACTATTTCAGAGGGTTATATCATGGGGTTATAAAAGGTTTGATATTCTTAGTATGATTTATGATGATTTTTTAAATATTAAAGTACATGTTAAAGGTCAGATCATTGAAGTTTTATAGTGGTGTGGACAATTTTTGTTTTTGTATATTTTAGTCATTGTTATTTTGTTGGTTTCAACAGTTCTGAAAGGAAAAAAATACCCACAAACACCATTTGTTTATTTAAATAAGAAATTTGAATTTATTACAATACTATATTTTTGAAAAATTTTGAAAATTACATATCAGAACTTGTTAAGGATGTTCGCTACTCTGTTTCAAAATAACAAGCTTTTTACAAGACTGTTATAAATTGATAGTATATAAATGTTGGAACTAAAAAAGCGCAAAAAAACTAAGGATTTGTGTGCCTGTTTTCAAGATATAAGCCATTGAAAATTTGGTGGGAAATGATTCTCTCTTGATTTTCATACATTTAACATTGGCACCTTTTTTCTTTTAAAAACAATGGAAAAATAACAAGGATTTTTTAAGATTTTCAAATATGGCTTTTTAAACTATATGTATATAAATTATGAAAAGAAAAGTAGGAGTTAGCGGGCAAAATGTTTAATGTAACTGCATGGATAAAACCAGAGGATTCCGAATATCTGGCAAAAAAATTTAAAATAAGAGGAGCGAACACCCTTAATTTGATTTGTCCTGTTGAAGGTTGTGGTTCTCTCTGGGCACTGGCTCCCTCAACCTCTGTCTGAATAAGAGAATAGAAAAACAAGTTCAGTTTACATGTCAGTTTTCAAACATTTCTGTTGCTGTAAAATTAGTGCTCTACTGACAATTCACTTGCAGACAATTGAGATCTGTTAAGTGTGTTCAGGTGCTGTTATTTACTTGCGCTACAAATTAAAAACAAGCTTGTAATCATAGACTGAATTTTTTTATTTTGTGGCATTTCAGATAAAGTTGGTTGATTGTTTCAAATTCAATTTAGAAATGCATGTATTATAATTCCTATTGTTTATCAGTCAGAAATTTTAAACTTAAGTCATAGACAGTAGATTAATTACATTAAATGAATATTTATTAAATTTTTTGTTTGCACTTTTTTTTCCAGACTAAGAAGATAACGAAGACTAAATATAACTTTCAAGAGGAACTCTGAATCAAACACCCAGATAACTGTGATCATTCCTTTGGAACAACAGAGCTTCCATAACAGCCAGGATAAAAAGATTTGCAATTTGTTTTATTGATTGAGAACAAATTTTTCTACTAACAGTTTGAAAAAAAAATAGTGATTTTTTTTGGTGTGATGAAAAATATTGTGTGCAGTTACAAGACATTTAAAATTGGTTTATCAATTCACTGTTTCTGAATCTAATGGACTATGGGTAATTTCATTATGTGTACACCAAAACAAAAATAACATCACATTACTGGTTGAATTTCCATTGTTTAAGATGTTGTTAGCCAATCACAACATTTTGGTGTACACTTTTGAAAATATTACCCAGAATGCATTTGAAACTGTAACAGCAAATTCAAAACGAAGAAAAGGGGTTACATTGATATTTTTTATTGATCTTAATATTCTGAGAGAATTAGATAAAAAAAGATTTTTTTTTAGGACAATTGGAGTGGAGTTACAGAAAGTTTAATTTTAATTATCTTACATATTTATCATATTATTTGATGAAGATACATTTGAATCATTCTTTTGCAAAAACAATTAGGAATCATTTCATCACTTTAGTTAGAAATATTTTAGCTTTAAAAAGTGTGAAATAAGTTGTTTTACAGTGCATATGTAATTGTTAATACATATGTAATTGTTAATACATGTGGTACGGAAAACTGCATATGATGACAGAATAGCACATATGAAAATAGTCACTTGATTTGTTGATTTTAAATTGTTTTAATTTTTAAACCATATAAAGATACATATGTAGTTGTTATCACATGTAAAGATACATATGTAGCTGTTATTGCATGTAAAGATACATATGTAGATGTTATCACATGTAAAGATACATATGTAGTTGTTATCACATGTAAAGATACATATGTAGCTGTTATTGCATGTGAAGATACATACTTAATGTTAAGATACAGATACAGATGTAGCTGTTAACACATGTAAAGATACAGATGTAGCTGTAAACACATGTTAAGATACATATGTAGCTGTTAACACAGTAATAATGCACACACTTTGTTAATCTAACTCAGTAATAACATGTTCCTTTATGATTGTTAATTTATACCTAGTCGTTTTATCTCTACAATACAATAGAGAATAAAGGTGCTGATGATACACATTTGTTTTGGTGTGGTCCAAATATTGTTGTTGTGTGAGTGAATGTGTATGTAAGTGATCAGTTTGTGTTTAAATGTGTATATGTTTCATTGATTGGTCAGAACTGAGATACTTTGAACATATTTTTATCAATATAAAAACAGTTTTTAGAAATTGAAATCATTAGTGTATGGGTTTTTATTTTGAAATTGAACAAGCATTAGTGTATGGGTTTTTATTTCGAAATTGAACAAGCATTAGTGTATGGGTTTTTATTTTGAAATTAAACAAGCATTAGTGTATGGGTTTTTATTTTGTGGTTCATCAATAATTTTCTAAATAGTTCTGATAGTAAATAAAGTACACATGGCTAGTTGCAAGGAAAAATATATATTGTGGAGCATTTGAATTATAAAAGTGCTAGTCGTTTAAAGAACCATTCAGTGCTTAACAAGAATGATGAATTGACTTGAGTATGATGAGAAACGTGCATTGGTAAAGGTATCATTAGAATATCTTATAATATAAATGCCAAATAGTAGAATTAATTTCCATTAACTTATCAAATCACTTCATTTTACAGTAAATGTAATTAATTATCTCCCTTTTTAAAATTTTACAAATTATCTCCCTTTTTAATATTTTACAAACTACTTCCTACTGGTTCTTTATAAATATTACTTCATTAATTTTACCTGATTATGCATGTTTAATACAGCTACATTATTGCAGATTATAGGAAAAGTTTTGTAGATTGTGACGGATTTCTAATCTGTGAAATGATATTTAATGTTCAAATATCCTGAAATTTAACACAATGCATGTAAGTAGTAATAAATTTAATTTAGTTTAATTAGGTTGATGATTAGACAGTCTCGTGCAGCCAGGGGAAATTCAGTAAGTAATTCTCCCACTCATAAAGATGTGGATTTTTTATTTCATGTTTCCAAGGCCTTATAAGGAAGGATTGTTGTAAAAGTTATTAACATGAATAAAATGAAGAAATAATTGGTTCATTTTATTTTGAAAAAAATTGGAAAATGAATATTGTAATTTTATCACATTTGCCAGACAAAGTCTATCTGTGTTCATGTGAATCAAACTACGGTTTTCAATACAGTTCCCATTATTCATACTGAACAGTTTGAAAACTTTCTATATTATTAGCTGGTTTTTTTTCTCGTCATATGTTACATTTGTCAATACAATGGTGCCATGTAAAGGTTTCAATGCAAATAAGTTGTCAGTTTTCCTGATTTTGTTATTTTGATTTATAATTATGTGAAGTAATGTCATGTTTATTTTTATTTTTTTTAATTTCATGGTAATTTTGTTATGAATAAATCTCTGATAAACTGTAACCATAACATACTGCTAAACTTGATTTGAATTTCATTGGTTTAGGCATTATTTTTAAGAATTCTGCTCCATTGAATTTAGGAGGAATTTGTAATAGGCAATAGTTTTAAGAATTCTGCTCCATTGAATTTAGGAGGAATTTGTAGTAGGCAATAATTTTAAGAATTCTGCTCCATGTCAGAATTGAGGTGGAATTTGAAGTAGGCAATAGTTTTATGAAACGTGCTCCATTGAATTTAGGAGAAATTTGAAGTAGGCAATAGTTTTATGAAATCTTCTCCATTGAATTTAGGAGGAATTTGAACAGATTGAAACTCGTGCTGCAGGCCAGATGAATGGAGGAACTAGTAACTTTAAACAATAGTTCACACTTTCCTGTAATTCAATGGAATGTATATTATCAATTTATCATTTCTAGATTAGTCACAGAAAATTTACACAAATCAAAATATAGTTAATAAAATATCATTATATAAAAGTACCATGTTACACATATCAATGCAAATTTAAATTATTTATCATTGGACAGTCGGGTTAGTTATGGTATGCGTAGTAAATAAAATATTCATTTATTGTTATGCTTAAAATAATGTTTAATAAGGGTTAAATTTTGTCTAGGCAGAACTAATTATATATTATAGAGGAGGATGAATGACACAGTGTTAAGGGTTGTAGCTGTTATAATGTATTATTTAGGAAGAAGCAAAATTCTTTTAATTAGGAGATAACTGTATTGTATTTTAAGCTCCGACGGCATCAATTGGTGATTTGAAGGTCACAAATTAAGTTTACTGGTGACACGTTAGCAGAGCCAGTAAACGAGTATTTGCGACCATCAAATCACCAATTGAAGCTGTCAGAGCTTTAAATACAATATATTTATCTCCATCCTAATGAAACTGACAGAAAACAACGTCAAATCATACATTTAAAATCTGGCATATTGTCATCTGCGCTTGCGCGTACGTTTTCATAGTATCAATTGTGAATTGATGCCATGAAAATTGGTGATGTATCCAATCAAAATGAACTTTACAAACGATGTTGCATTAGAATGTTAGTTTGTACGACTGAAATATAAGTAGGGTATATGAGGTTATTTTCCCTTCGGTTTTGTTCACAGCTATTGTCTTTAAAGGGTCAGTTAAATTTTCGCTATGTTCATTGTTCGTAATCAATTGCCTTGTACAATGCATTTTTAAATGGACAGGGAATTGTTTGTGTAGGGTAAATGTGGCATTACGGTGGTACCAAACACATTGACCAAAATTAATTTGGTTCGTTTAATTTTCATAAAATTTTGACAAAATATTTACTTTGACCCTTTGACAAAAATATAAAAATTTCAAAATAATTGAACCACACACTTTATTGGAAAAATTTCATTGGATATATAGTAGTTTGACAAACACTAATTTTAATCATTGAGAAGCTTAATATTTCCTTAACAATAAACTTGATTAATACATTCAGATGATTTTTACAGAGTTATCTCCTTGTAGTGTTATGTACCACCTTAAATGGACAGTGAAATGTTTTTGTAGGGTAATTGTGGCATTAAAATGAATACTGAGAACATAGCTAAATTTTCTGATCTATGGTTTTGAAGGAACAATAATTGTCTTCAAAGATTTAAAGCAATAAAAAATGAGAAGTATAAAGATTAATAATATAGTTTAGTCAAAGTTTAATTACAATACATTGTGCCATACTAAATACAGAAATAGCAATATTCATGTGAATTAACAAAATATAAATATTGGCACCAGATATAATTTAATCAAATCACTAAAATTAGGATTTGTGCCAGTTTGCTATGCGATAATATAAATTTTCCAACATCATTTTTTCTAAATATTCAATATTTTTTTTACTTTGGAAGAATTGTGTGTATAATATTTAGACAATAGAATAATATTTACGCAATTAGGAATGAATAAAAATATTGGTTGCAGTATAATTTTTAAGCAGTATTTTACAGATATATAAATCTGTGTAAGCTTTGCTGAAAGGAGAAATTGTCAACAACCAGAACAATATCAACTATTCTTATTTGACAATTTAAAACATTTACCATGTTGAAACTGTTGTAGATAAAGTCAGTATAATTTGCCACAGGTCTCTGATAAATAGATAAGTGGACATTTTTTAAATGAATGGGGAAAAAAAGTAAGGAGAGCAAAAAGGTTTTTTTTATTCAGAAAGTGCTAAATTACCCTAGATATATATATCTATATAACGCTATGTTTTAGACTAGGAGACTGTTTAAAAGTTTACTGATAGAAAAGAATTCTTATACATAGATATGAAATACGATACTTGGGAGCATTTAATTCATGCAAAAAATTTCTTGCAAGACAATGATTTTTGTTGTTTAATTTAAAGAAGTGTGTACTATATTGTATATTTGAAAGTAATAAAAGTGGATAATAAAAATTTAGTGCTTTAAATATTGTGGATTCATTTCTATTTTAGGAAGAAGTAAAAGTTATATTTTAGTGGATATTTGATTTTATTGTCTTGACAAAGACTGCATACAAATGTATAGAAAATTTGTACTTAGTTGAAATAATTCGTGGTTTATCTTTACCAATAAAATCCGTGAAAAATTAGGATCCCACCAAAGATAATTTAGCCACAATATATGAGTTCGTAGTTTTTGTTTTTCAAAAATGAAGAACTGGATTTTACTGTTATTAAGTTTTAGAACAATCAGTTTTATATTTGTGTAAGTTCATGTCTTAGACAGAGAGGGAGAGAGAGTAATTGATGTATGTTTCAGATAGAGAAGTTTGCAGTGTACTAATTGTAAAATTTTTAAATCTATTTTTAAATTGTATTTATGATATTTTATAATGAGGTATGAGGATGAACTTTAACAGGGTGAATATTATATAGTTAACCTTTATATTTATTTCTATGTCAGGACACATATATATCACTGTATATAATGTGAGAATCTTGAAAATGGTTGACTTATTTTTTTCAATGTCAGGACACATAAATGTCACTGTGTAAAAAGTGAGAATCTAGAAAATGCTTGACTCCTTTTTATTTATTTCTATGTCAGGACTCAATAAATATCACTGTGTAAAAAAGTGAGAATCTAGAAATGCTTGACTCCTTTTTATTTATTTTTATGTCAGGACTCAATAAATATCACTGTGTAAAAAAGTGAGAATCAAGAGAATGTTGACTCCTATTTATTTATTTCTATGTCAGGACACATAAATATCACTGTGTAAAAAAAGTGAGATTCTAGAGAATGCTTGACTCCTATTTATTTATTTCTATGTCAGGACACATAAGTATCACTGTGTAAAAAAGTGAGATTCTAGAGAATGCTTGACTCCTATTTATTTATTTCTATGTCAGGACACATAAATATCACTGTGTAAAAAGTGAGATTCTAGAGAATGTTTGACTCCTATTTATTTATTTCTATGTCAGGACACGTAAATATCATCGTTTAAAAAGTGAGAATCTAGAGAATGCTTGACTCCAATTTATTTATTTCTATGCCAGGACACATAAATGTCACTGTGTAAAAAAGTGAGAATCTAGAGGACGCTTGACTCCTATTTATTTATTTCTATGTCAGGACACATAAATATCACTGTGTAAAAAGTGAGATTCTAGAGAATGCTTGACTCCTATTTATTTATTTCTATGTCAGGACACGTAAATATCATCGTTTAAAAAGTGAGAATCTAGAGAATGCTTGACTCCTATTTATTTATTTCTATGCCAGGACACATAAATATCACTGTGTAAAAAGTGAGAATCTAGAGGATGCTTGACTCCTATTTATTTATTTCTATGTCAGGACACATAAATATCACTGTGTAGAAAGTGAGAATCTAGAAAATGGTTGACTAGTGTTACCTGCCACAGAGTTGTGCTTAAAGCACTAGTAAAAATAACATTAACTAGTGTTTTTTGGTTGAGTACAATAGTGCTATATTTGTGAGTGCTATTGTCAAAATCTAGGATGAGAAACATAAATCAACAATTTTCTTTTTTTTCACATTCCTAAGAGAGAGGACACATAAATATCACTGTGTAAAAAGTGAGAATCTAGAGGATGCTTGACTCCTATTTATTTATTTCTATGTCAGGACACATAAATATCAGTGTAGAAAGTGAGAATCTAGAAAATGGTTGACTAGTGTTACCTGCCATAGAGTTGTGCTTAAAGCACTAGTAAAAATAACATTAACTAGTGTTTTTTGGTTGAGTACAATAGTGCTATATTTGTGAGTGCTATTGTCAAAATCTAGGATGAGAAACATAAATCAACAATTTTCTTTATTTTCACATTCCTAAGAGAGAGTATATTCATTGTTATCCATTATAAAACATTTATTCATATAAAGAAATAACTTGTTTGCTGATAAAAAAAACTAACACAAACATTGATGAGGGTCTGGATGGGGTTTACAGAATAGCGAATTATAGGCCAATACTACAGAAAAAGGGCCAAATAAATAAAGATAGAGAATAATGAGGTGCTATAATATAAAGAATAGACAAAATTGAGCAAAATGTATAAAGAATATAGAAAAATGGCTCAAACAAAAGAAGGATATAGAATCTAAGACCCCCTCCCATCTAAACCCTCATTGATCCATATTTATTTAATGATGGTGTATAATTAATGTAATGTAGTCACATTTAAGTCATAAAATTTACCATTGTTATATTTAGCATATTTTTAATAATCGAACAAACTTTTTGGTTATTACCAGTACATATCATCAATTTTAAACATACTATTTATACATATTTACAAGGAAAAAAGTGCTGTCAGCTGTTATGATTTATTTATATAAATCAGAACAAAGATGAGTAAAAATAAGAAATTTCCCTGACTCTTTGTCACTGCAAACCATAAAGATACTGATGTTTACTTTCCGGCATGTGCCAGGTATAAAATTTTCAAATAATTAATTTAGATGACAAAAACAAAAATGAAATAACTTCTGTTTCATACATGTTCTGATCATAGATGAAACTTTTTTTATAAGTCAGATGTTGGTTAAATTGTTGTGAGTAATCTTACGCTAAATTTACTAGGAAATATCATTCTCCAACTACTGAATGAAATAATTTGACAAAGATATTTTACCACTATATTAAATACTTATTATATATTTTAGGAAATTTTATGAAATATTGGAATTATTTGGGGGTTTGTGTTTCTACACCACTTCTATAAAACTTGCATTTTCGTGGATATTTGATTTCATGGTTTTGCAAAAGTCTGCATACAAGCCGAAGAAAATTTCAATTCGTTGGAATATTTAGATTTATGGTTCACCTATACCCACGAAAATTGGTATCTCATAAATAATAATGAAAATTGGTATCTCATGAATAATAATGAAAATTGGTATCTCGTGAATAATAATGAAATTTAATCCACCGTACATTTTGATTCTTTGTTGCAAAATTAAACATGCATGAACAAATTAAATTGTCATATAGGGTGTTGTTATGAAGTTGTTTATAATTTTATCATGAATTTCATCACATATATCAGTTCAATCAATACACATCAGATGATATATCCTCTGTGTTACGTTTTAAGATATTTTGTTAAGAATTGTACTCATGTTAAATTATGAATAATTAATGTAAATAAAATTACATTTAAAATGATAAAATTGTGTTTTTTATTTCTTTTAGAATTCTTATTTGATCATAATACTATATAACGTTGCTGTTGAAATTTTTTTTTTTATGCCTGTTCATTTCTCTTTTATTTTTAATTTTTTCAACATACATATTTAGAAGATCAATTCTAGGTCCTACTCTTTAATGAAGTAAGATTTTTGTCTCACCTGAATGCAAGACAAAGGAATGACTGTCCAGCGGCAGTGTGAACTATTTGTATAAAGTTTAATATTTCAGAAGATAGAAGACCTGGATGCTTCATACCTTGTATGCAGATGCCCTATGTTAGGAAGTATCCATGGGTCATATGTCCATTGTCCTTGTTTACATGGTTCAGTGACTGCTCAAAAAATAATTAAATTTTTTACTTCATGTGAATTTCTCCCTTTTCATGATTTATAGGATAACTATATTTGGTATATGGGTCCCTTTCAAGGTCTACCTGGCCATCACACAGGATTCACCTGAACTCAACCTCATTTCATGGATCAGAGATCAAGGTTAAGTTTTTGTGGTCAAGTCCCGATCTCAGATACAATGAGCAATAGGTCAACTATATTTGGAATGATTTCATGGTGTTTATGTGTGGTAGTGATCATTTGACATTGACATCATTTTTATGGTTCATTGTTTAATGTTCAAGTTTCGTAATTAGGTCTGTTTCTCAGATACTGTAAGCAATGGGCTATCTATATTTGGTGTATGTATGATTGTAAGGTCAACATGTCTGTCTATCAGGGTTCCTGTTTGATGAAATTTTATATTTTCCTCTGCATGGAAGTTTTTGTTGCATATTACTAAGCTTCTATATTTAGAATTGATTTGATATTTGTTCTGGATTCATGTGATGTCTTGATGTATGTTCAGATTTGCCAGGCTATCACTTTGGTTTGACGGTACTTTGAATTGTTATTTTACCCAGTGAGCACAGAATGTTTTTATACAACCACAAAAAATTTGCATTCGTATAATGCTATCACAATTCGTCGTCTTCATCTGAAGACATTTGGTTTCCAGACAATAACTTTTAGTTTAAGTGTATGGATCTCTATGAAATTTAACCAAAAGGTTCAATACCACAAAAAGAAGGTTGGGATTGTTTTTGGGGGTGATGGTCCCAAACGTTTAGAAATTAGGGGCCAAAAAGGGGCCCAAAACAAGCATTTTTCTAGTTTCAGGACAATAACCTGTGTATAAGTATTTTGATTGCTCTGAAATTGTACCACAAGGTTCAATACCACAAGTAGAAGGTTGGAATTCATTTTGGGGGTAATTGTCCAAACCGTACAGGAATTAGAGACCAAAAAGGGGCTAAAACAAGCAATTTTCTAGTTTTCAGACAATAACTTGTGTTTAAGTGTATGGATGTCTCTTAAATTGTACCACATTTTGCAAAAAGAAAATTTCTTCAAATACGGAAAAAGGGGGAGGGATATAAAAAAAATTTGGGGGGAGGGGTCAATTTTTTCCCTCCAGATTCAAGAAATTATCAATTTTCCCAAAAAAAAATTGGTGGTCACAATTTATTTTGCTAATTCGTTGTATATAGTTTAAAAACAGATTTTCTAAGTTGCGCAACAGCACAGTGTATTGCACAAAAGCAAGAAATCTTCAATTGAATATAAATTCAAAACTTATAACCAATTTCAAGTTCTTTGACTACATTTATTCTGTGTCCGAGACCTATAATGTGTCAAATATTTAATTACAATCCAAATTCAGACCTGTAGCAAGCTTGAATATTGTGTACATTTTTGCAGCAACTGTTCAGGGTTGGACGTCTGCGGTCGTATCCAGATGCGCTCAGCGAAGCAGTTTATTGTGCAATGTCAAATAACAAGTAGGTGTAAACTATGCACAACATGGTATGCAATGTATTGTTTTGTAATGGCTTTTATTCAATGAAGGACAGGTGTTTGTAGTTTGTGTTATGACATTCTGAATAATGTATCATGGATCTTTACAAAAATGGCTAGAGAAACAAATTAAAATCAGATTGTTTTGTTATGTTGTAGTATTGGCCCTGTTGGGTCTCTATATAACATTATCTTTATTTACTCAGCAGAGGATATGTTGTTGATATATTAGGCTTCTGCTGTGCTAGCATCAGCCATGTTAAAAACATACAATTTTTTTTTGGTTTTGAGTGGTCTATTACAATGATGGGTTTAATTTTATTGCATACAACAGTATGATCAGTATTATCTGGTCTGTTGCCCAATGTGAGCTCACAAAGGTCTTACTATTCTAAGCAATGCAATGACAGAAGCATTAACACATTGTATAAAGTTTTATACTTCAGAAGGATGAATAGCTAGTCAATTTGTATATATGTAGATGCCTAATTCTCTCAAGTTTTATGTCTGACATGTTTGTTGTCCCTGGCTTTATTTTTTATGATTCAATGACTCAACAAAATCTATATAAAGTTCTCAAAACATAAGGATTATTGGGTTTAGGCCATCTTTATTGGATTAATAATCAATTTGTTTTTGGTCCTAAATATGCATCAAATTAATAGATAGACATTACAAATATAGACCTCATGAGAAAAAACTCATCATATGAGTGGTCATTTCATGAATAAGTATGAAATTCCTGCAGAAACAAGTCCAGGTATGGGGGAGCACATTTTGTACCAATTGGAATGTCAACAGCAACATCAACTGATCTCAGCAAATACATGTATTTGGCAAATAAAAAGCTTTGTTTGTAGTTGTAAAACCTCAAAACTGGAAAGAACAATGTAATATTAAGTTATAGGTGATAATGATGATGGATTGAAGTTTGTCCAGTGGCAAATATTACATGCATATCACGACAAGAACATCTTCATTTGTGATGAATATGAATCCTGCTTTATACTAGACACCACACCAAGCAAGCTTACATGCTAGTTCATAAGATGACAGTCTTTTCTCTTACTCCTGAATGCCAGGTGTTAGTCGAGAAGCAGCAAATACTCACTTTCAAATCTTTGGTTTGACCTAGCCGAGAAAAGCTGCTATCCATCCTTTGACCTATTTTCTTGCAATTGGATATCTATACTGTTAAAACTTGTCTTTTTTTAAAATCAAAATGTCTAGTGAAACATCTTGATGCAGGTAGCTTTACCTTTGACTGACATGTTTGTCCTGAGCACTTATGATTTAAACAAATGCCTGTTCTCTACTAAAACTACACGTTGTTTTCATTTTTACAGCACTGGTTTGAAACCTCTGGTGGCAGACTATCAGTCCCCAAGTTCATCAGCTCAGCCATGTCAAAAACATACTTTTTTTTTGTCTTGAGTGGTCTATCACAATGACGGGTTTAATTTGATTGCATACAACCATGATATGAACAGTATTATCTGGTCTGTTGTCCAATGTTAGATAGGTCTTACTATTCTAAGCAATGCAATGACAGAAGCATTAACACATTGTATAAAGTTTTATACTTCAGAAGGATGAATAGCTAGTCAGTTTGTATATATGTAGATGCCTAATTCTCTCAAGTTTATGTCCGACATGTTTGTTGTCCTCTGCTTTATTTTTTTATGATTCAATGACTCAACAAAATCTATATAAAGTTCTCAAAACATAAGGATTAACTGGGTTTATGCAATAGAAATATTGTGACTAAGATGTTCCCTTTCCAGCAGTAAAAGCCTTGCTGAGGAAGGAGTCTGCCAGTTCGACAGTTCACAATGGATAAATACACACCAATATCTGGTAAGAATGGGAAAGTTAAATCAGTCACCTCATATAGGGAGAGTTCAAAGCTTTCTGCACAATATACAACCCTTGCAACAACTCACCAAAAGCTTTGTTGTTTGCCTGTTGCAGGACCAATTTCAGCCTTTTTCAAACAAGACCTTTTTTCCAGTAGAAAAATTATTACAATTCATCTTAGGTAAACTCCCTTTACATAACCTCTTTATTGGATTAATAATCAATTTGCTTTTGATCCTGAATATGCATCAACTTAATAGACAGACATTACAAATATAGACCTCATGAGAAAAAACTCATCGTATGAGTGGTCATTTCATGAATAAGTATGAAATTCCTGCAGAAACAAGTCCAGGTATTGGGGAGCACATTTTGTACCAATTGGAATGTCAACAGTAACATCAACTGATCTCAGCAAATACATGTATTTGGCAAATAAAAAGCTTTGTTTGCAGTTGTAAAACCTCACTTTTGGAATGAACAATGTCATATTAAGTTACAGGATGATGGTGGATTGAAGTTTGTCCAGTGGCAAATATTACATGCATATCACGACAAGAACATCTTCATTTGTGATGAATATGAATCCTGCTTTATACTAGACACCATACCAAGCAAGCTTACATGCTAGTTCATAAGATGACAGTCTTTTCTCTTACTCCTGAATGCCAGGTGTTAGTCGAGAAGTAGCAAATACTCATTTTTAAATCTTTGGTTTGACCTAGCGAAGAAAAGCTGCTATCCATCCTTTGACCTATTTTCTTGCAATTGGATATCTATACTGTTAAAACTTGTCATTTTTTAAAATCAAAATGTCTAGTGAAACATCTTGATGCAGGTAGCTTTACCTTTGACTGACATGTTTGTCCTGAGCACTTATGATTTAAACAAATGTCTGTTCTCTACTAAAACTACACGTTGTTTTCATTTTTTACAGCACTGGTTTGAAACCTCTGGTGGTAGACTATCAGTCCCCAAGTTCATCAGCTCAGTAGTCAGTAATTCGGTACTGACATTATTTATAAAAAACCTTCCTAAAATTGTCTGTTTTTGAAATTTATAAACAGACAAAGGTTTCAACTACCTCAGGGATTTGGCTATTATTTTAGGTCCTTTTTGGTTATATAGCTCCTTAAATGTTTCGTTTTTTATACATCCTTGGCTTTCAAATATTTGGCTTTGAGCGTTCCTGTTGGCGGTAAATCCAGAAAAGCGCTACCGAACACACAAAATTTATAACATGTTGTTTTCATACATTTTTGCAAGAAAAAAGGGTAAATAAAAGAAGAAGGTGTCTGAGGACACAAATGCCCCCACTCGAGCTTCAAACAAACAAAAATGAGATGGACGGATGGATGGACGGAAAGATGGACGGTCAAAGGTAACACTTAATGCCCCCGTCACCTTCGGCGGGGACATAAAAACATAAGACAAAACAAAACACCAGAAGAACTATAGATAAATTAGTGCTTTTTAATATACAATGTGGATAATATAACAATGAAAAAATTCTGATGTAAGAAAAAAATTGTCTATTTAACGATTGCAGTAAAATTTATATGCATTCACACATACAATTCTAACATGATTCATACATAAAATGCATAATTTATAGAATGAACAAATCACAGTTTTTCACATGTTCAAAACAATAGACTCGTAATAAGAAAATAAATAAATTAATAATGCAATACAAAAAAAAACAAGAAAAATTTCCAATAGATATGTATAATTAATTGATATAATTAAAAAAATAACTCATTTCAGATTTCAAATAAACAAATTTGAATAAGTAAACAGAAGTTAGCGACATTCGTAATCTTTAATCTGTTTGTTCTATTTTTAAAGACTTTAGACAATGAATACATATGGTAAGATAGGTTTACAATTGAAGCACAGATGTAATTAAAGAAACACAGAAAAAAAGATTTTTGAGGTTCACCAATGGAAAAGTGCAAACTCTCACTGCATTCTGTTTACTTTTTTTTGTTTGAAACATCTTTCAAATTTCACCTTTTAAATCTCTCAAAATTTATGCAGATTTTCCGGAACATTCCTTCAAAATTTAAGAAATCAGATATCAAAACAACAATTGGGTTCTTATTCTTCGATTTTTTCTTTACATCAAAATAATGCTTTATATGTAATAACAATGTTTATAAGTGATAAAGAATGTATTCTAGCGTAAAAAATAAATACAAATCAAAAACACATTACCTACAATAGTAATTCCATACATGACCATTAAATGGTTGATAAGTAAAAATATCACAAAGTGTAAACACAAAAGGTATTCCAATACCCAGAAGACAACAGGACAGAAAGTCTATTCCACAATACCTCAATTTCAAGTTCCAAAACTTTCGTCTGACTAACCTTCATTTTGGGCCAGTTGACCAAATGACATTTGCAAAGCAATCACTTTTTGTCTCACGATATCAAAAACTTTCTGTCCAAAAGAAAAAAATAAACGAAAAAAATTCTGCATTGGCAAACTGCATACATAATCTCACTTACAACAGAAATGATTTTTCCATCAGATTCCCAAATAAACCCTTTAACTATAAACTTTACAAAGAAGGTTTCACTTGTGAGGTTATATTACTTATATTTGTGGGGACATTATCATAAACAAATAAAGTAAAAATAGAAGAAAAGGATTACAAATTTTTATACTAGTAAGTTAAGAAATGGAATGTTCATTGCTGTTTTTGTTTGAAATTTTATTTAGCAAACAAATTGTATATACACAAAAACTATCTGGAATCTCTGGTCAGATAGCAAATTTATTGTAAATGAGTTGTTCTAACCCCAGACTGTGATTTGCAGAGTTCTAAAATAAATTTCTTATTTCAGATTGACAGATTTTAAAAACTCATACTTGATCAATACCAGTACAAAAGTCTATAGCCAAAATGAAGTGTGAATCTATTGACTTTTTTTAAAAGGAGTTGCAGGTTAAATGACCTGTTAAACTACGGACTTATTTCTCATGAATCACAAGAGTCTTTTTCTGAAATTCACATGTCTGGCACAATGTATTGGTTGCATCATGCCACTGTAAGGGGTAATGGTGAAAAATAGATATACATGTATAGTTTTTACAAATCATACAAATATTTTAGTATTATGATTAAATTTGACTAGATGTATGAAAGTTAAAAGATTTTTTTTAATAAAAGTTGAAAAATTAGTGGACAGCAAATTCATTACATGAACATTAACAAATAATTTGCTTTTCATTGTTGTAAGGAACCAGCGTTTCTTACCAAGATGGACAAGGTACCTGTGTCTCTTACCAAGAAGGGCAAAGAACCAGAGCTTCTTACCAAGAAGGGAAATAACTCATCTTAAATCATAATTACAATTTTAGAATTAAATTCTATCTTTATAAGACCTTCTAGAATGGGTTATAAGAATGTTCATATACAAAAAAACATTTTGAAGGGATTTCACAGTGCCTGGTGACACCCTGTAAAGAAATTGTATTTATTTCAAGATTCCTTTATGTTCAGTTGTACTTTTGGGTATCTTAATACCAAGCATATCACAAGAAAATTCACAATGCTACCAATTAAAACATTCAACCATTTTTTCACAAAAGAACTAATCACTTTTTAAAATCACATTTAGCTATTCTATCACATCGTTCACACAGAAGTTTTGTTCAACCCAAAAGAATAATCTTGTCTGGAGAGGATCAAATTTAACATCTAATCATGTACTGTAATGTGCATTTATAAGGGAATGACCATTTAACTTCAAGGGGGAGATGTGTTATGGTTTTTTTCTAAAAAAATATTCTGATCCCCAATTTGATGAAAATAAATATTGTGGTCAAGCAGATGACAAAAAAAAATTGTTCTGAATCCAGATTTTCCCAATACCTTATAGTGTTAAATTTTGAAAAAAATAATTTGATTGATAGTGTCGAAAAACTGGAAAAAAAAATGTAACCCCCCTTGAAGTTGAATAGTTGCTCCCTAACTGTTTTGTGTATTGGATCTGTGAATTATGTATGATTAATGACTGGATAATGGTTTTTACATTTTACAGAGAAAGACGATATAAACTGTTCAGCAATGTAAATTTGTATGTATTAAACTGTAAATGTGTATGTTTTTAAAGTAAATAATTTAAACATTAAATAATTTGTTCCCTATATTATCTATTTTTTTATTGATTGTTTTTTGGTGTTTAACGCCAATTTCAGCACTATTGGCCCTATCACAGTGGTCAGTTTTATTTGGTAAAGAAAGCCGGAGTAACTCAAAAGAGAACTACCAATCTAACAGTGGCAGGAAACTGGTAATCCTAGTCAATTAAGATTGGAGCACCTGGCACATTCAAACTCTGAACCTCAGTGTTGACAGGCTCAAGTGATACAATAGTTTGACCACTCTGCAACCAAGGCCCCTATGATCTATTGTATACCTATCATAATTTAACTTTCCTTCTTTAAAAACTTCCCCAAAAATACTCTTGGATTCATTTGGGTTGAACAAACAAACTCATAAAATCAAGTATATATAATTTTCATTTTAGTTACCCTGCACTGAAAATTCTGATTGCATGAACAATTTGTACAAATGTGTCAATAATAATTTGAAAAAAATGTATCACAAGAAATAGTAAAATAATGAATATTCTAATAAAAATATAATGTAACTATGTTTATGGGAACTGCATGGTCTTAGTGGGAAAAAAATATAGCACTAAATGGTGAAGATAAATTGTATAAAAGTAGACCTATTTATGCTGTACAGAACTTACTGTCTGAAATACAAATACCTTATTTGCATTGAGCTATCCAATTTCAGAATTTTCTTTTTGAAAGTGTAATCTTACAACAGATTTCATGTAAGACATAGTAATTGACTTCAAAGTATAAAAGTATGCATTTTTTAAGTTTCATCTTGAGAGTCAGCTGAATGTAAACGTCTTCTTAAAGTCAGGTGACCTTGTGACAGTTTTATCACAGTTTTGCTCTGATCTGAGTCTTCCAAACATATATCACAATGTCCGTCTGCTCCTGAGGGACTAATGGAATTATGGGAAACACTGTTGTCACTACTTCTAGAAGGCACTGGGGTATTAACTCGGGGTACAGAAAGGGAAGATTGATCTATGCCATCTTCACTCGATGGACATTCTACGACAGGAATGGAAAGAAACAACGGTGACAGTCTTGGTGGTTTTGGTGATCTAGGAATAGTCAATGATGAATTTGGTAACAATAATTTGTCTGGTGAATTTTTCTTAGAATTTGATGATAAACATGATGAGGACGACGGATGTGACGAATGTTCTGGAATTTCTATAGACAAGTGTGATGGTGGTAATGGTGAACGACACATTGGTATTGAGTGACAAGGATGTATATTGTTTGTTGGCGTGGATACCAAATTCATAGGTGGATTTATTCTATCACTGTTTGCAGATGTTGCTTCCGACTGAACCACTGTGGAACAAACAGAACTTTCATTATTGGCAGTACCCTCCCTTGTCCATGGGGGAGTTACCTGCTCATCCTCAGTCTCTGGAGGTGTGCCAGTAATCAAACGCACCTCTTCATCACATGCAGCTTCATCTGCTGACCAGTCAAAAGAACCAGAATCTAATGTATTATCACGAGTATGAGGATGGTTTCTACATGGACTTTTCAATGGTGCAGACTCACCAGAATTGTCGGGAGACAAAGTTACATTTTTATCAGATTGCGAGACACTATTGTCCCTTGTCAGTGAGCTAGCATTGGATGCATCAGATATATTCCTAATATAAATGCGTGAACGTCTTTCCCGTCCACCTCTTCGCTGAGCCAACATATGCTTGTCTCTAATTTTAACTTTTTCTGCCCCACTAGATTGACTCCTGTGTAGTGGATTGTGTTTGGCAGTACTCCGACAGCTAATGTTAGACATTTTACATCTACAAATTTCACAGCCTTTGTGGCCGCTGCCACCATCTTTGTTTTGTACAAGCAATGTCGGATGAGACTGAGAAACTGATCCAATTTTCTTTTTTGTTTCTGACAATTCATATAAATTCAATAAAATACATTTATCCACAGCAGGTGGACTTTCACTAACTACTTTTTGGCGGACAAGTCTCCGACGTTGTCTTTGCGATGGGGCAGCAGACTTTTTCAGTTCATCTGCTATTTTTGGAATGACATTTTCACTACTGTTATCAATGTTTGTCTCTGTGTAACTTGAGGAATCGGAATAATATGAGGGTGTTAATGGAACTTCGAGACTGGATCCAGAAGCATCCAGACTCACATCTAAATTACTGTTGTAGCTTGATACCATGATATCTATTGGCACTAATAAAGTACCTGCAATTAGAATCAATCAATTAGTATAATAAATCAATACATTAATATAAAGTACTAAATAAAAGATGAAATAAAAAAAAAAAATCACTTAAATTTTACGGATCGCTTTTGGACAAAAAAAAACACCAAAATTAGTTTGATTTCAATTAGTTTAATACTTTGTTGTGAACTGCCACTAAGAAAATGAAACTGCTATGAATATTTAACAGTATACAATAGGCACTAGCTATTAGCACTCATAAAGTACCTGCAATTAGAATCAAGCAACTATAGTATTGTAAAATAATACACTAATCAAAAGTACCAAATAAAAGAAAGAATCAACAAAATTCAGTTTGAAAAATTTTCGATATCGTAAATACAGAAATTATTGCAAGGTTTTTATCAATGGGAACAATGCAAACTGGGCGAGTATCACAATAATTTGTATTCTGGTATCTGATACATATATATGCAGCTTTTTCAGAATCATAATAATTAATCTCGAAATTTTGGTTGGTGATGTCAAAATCACAATATGAAATGCTCGCAATAATTTCTGAATTTACAGTACATAGATATCTATCATATGAGGATTATAAAGTAAATCACTTTAAGATATAAATATTAAATTTACAAAAAATTTCCTTTAAATCTATCCATGAAGATTTGTGCTTTGCTTCTGACAACTTTTGCATTGAACAAATTAACTACACATTTTTATCTTTTGTGGGGGCAAAAAAAACCCCAACAAAATCACATTTTATAACCATATAGTACTAATTTATATAAAAAGTCTGAATTTAACTTACTTCTTACAGAACGGTCAGACAATTGTTCGTTGCTTGGTGGACAGAACGTAAAGCTAGGAGGCAGTGAGAATTGTTTAGAGACTGGAGTTCTCAGACGACGTATGTATCCTGGTACAGGTGTTGGAATCTTTACTGATTTCTGAAATGATGCATTAAATTGACAGTTTTATTGAGTAACATCTAAAAAACTTTATATTGAAGTTAGAGGAAATTCAATAATTCTTTATTTCAGCATGGTGATCATCCTGAAGTTTCGATTATCAACAGGAACATATCTGCGATCTAAATAAATTAATTGAGATTCAGGTTTTTCATGAGGAACAATTCAATTAAATTTGTTGAGTTCAGTTTTTCATGATGCCTGTTTTATTAATGTTTTGTCCCTAGCTTAAGTTTCAATTACATTCACATCAAATTGTCAAAATGAACATTTTCTTATTCGCTCTTCATTATATTGGTATAACTGTTCAATTAAGGGGAAAAAAATTAGAGAATAGAGAATACTGTGATGTGAAAATAAAAAGAATGGAGATAAATGGACCAACAAAAAAAAACAAGTGAAACTGCGAGCTACTGCTCACTGATGATACCCCCAGCCCAAATATGCATTTGTTGTTGAGTGATGAATCTGAAAACGCATCACACGGTATAGCTGAACAATATAAACCTTGAAACCAAATTTCAGAAATCCTAATGATGTACTTCTTGAGAAAGATGCGACGAAAAATATTCATGGGACGGACAGACAGACGGACGGACGGACTGACAGACGTATGGAAGGACGGACAGACGGAGGTAAAACAGTATATCCCTCACTTTTTAAAATGGGGTATAATAAAAAGGAATTTGAGAAAAATGGCCTAAAAAAGAAAAAGAAAAAAGAAATGAAGACTCCCCCCCCCCTCCACATCCTATCCAGACCCACACCTATTCCAACAAGAAATAAGTCTGATCCTTTCAGAATTATCTCATGTACATACAATCCAGAAATGCCATAAAGATCCAGCGGCTCTTTTCACAAAAAATCTTAAGAGTAAAAATACTCGTAAGTCATACACATTTCAGTATAACTTACGATGAATTTTAATCGTAAGATTTTTTGTGAAAAGAGTCGCTGGATAGAAACATAGCCTGTTATATAAGCAAATCAGAAAGAAAATCAAGCTATTTGAAAACAACCTCAAATTCATTTTTTTTTAATTAAAATCTCTGAAAAAGAACATGACTGATGCTGAAAGGTAAAACAAAAACAATTTTGACATCAATTATATATTGTCAATGAATTAAAATTTTAACATCAAAGAAGTTTCAATAAACGTTTTATTATTGAAACAAACATTCATTTTCAAAATCTGATGTTCTCAAGTTTGGTCATTATGCGAGTTTTCAAAATTTCTGATTTTAGTTTTTCAGTCTGACCTCTGACCTCCCATAACTTTGTTATCTTTCTGACTATTCCTCAAGCCTTTTTTTGTCCACCATCTTATATTGATCAACGAAATAACAAAACTTATAATAAAGAGCTGCGCCATGAGCGCATATGATAAGTCCGTTGCTTTTTCAAAGAATAAAGTTCCATAACTCCTCAATGTCATATCAGAAATTTACAAAAATCTAAAGGGAGGTTATTTTGATAGATATAAGCCAGTCACTAAAGTTTCATGAAAACTGCTCAAAGAACTTTTGAGTTATTGTCCAAAAACTGGAAAATCCCCTTTTTTAATGAATAAAACCCATTACCTCAGAAACATAAAATCTAAAATTTATAAAAATCTAAAAAGAGCTCACATCAACAGATATAAACAATTCACCAAAGTTTCATGAAAACTGCTCAAAGCATTTTTGAGTTATTGTCCGAAAACTGGAAAATCCCCCTTTTTTAATGAATAAAACCCCACAATTCGGAAACTCAAAATCCAAAATTTATAAAAATCGAAAGGGAGCTCAAGTCAATAGATATAAACAATTCACCAAAGTTTCATGCAAATTGGTTAAAGTGTTTTCGAGTTATTATCCGACATGTTGACAACGGACGGATGGACGGACGGACAGAGGTTTACCATAATACGTCCCATAAATGGGCGTATAAAAACCAGTACTTAAGTATGTAATGAATACCTGGTCAGTAGATTTTTCAGACAATTTGGAATCATCCTTTTGTTCACCACCCTCCTCAGCATCATTATTTTCACCATCCCCAACCTCAGCTCCATCGTCTGCCATCACTCTGTGAGATTCCTGAAAATATATAATTTTTTTTACAAATTGTTTGCACAGTTATTATAATTTCTATGATTACAAAGAAGTTGTTTTCTGCTTAAAATCATGAAATACCTTGACACAAAATTTTAAGAAAAAAAAAACATCAGTCGAACTGAATAGACTGTTTGGTCTTTAAGGTAATTCTTTTAACCATGCAGATATCTTTGACTTTTCTTAGTTACCAGAAACTGTTAACTGCTAAAATTCACAGTGTATGCCACAACCCAATGAAGCTTGGTGCCATATATCGAGAACTTGTGGCTTGTGCTTGTTGAGAAATTGGTTACAAAAATTCATATCATATATGTGCATGACATTTTAAAGATGTAAAATATTTGCAAACAGGAAGTAAAACATCAAAGAGACTGAAAATGTGTCACATGGAATGAAATAATAAGATGAAGCTTGGTGCCATATATCAAAAAGCATAGACTTGTAGTTGCTAAATAAAATGAGACAGACATGTGTTACAGATAGATGTACGGACCAAAGTAAGCGCAAGAAGCTTGATTCCAATCATCATCTTTCCGTCAGAGTGTTTGGTTTAAGGTGACGCTATAAAGACGCATGTTTGAAATTTGTCAAAAAGGCACAACTACTTTGTCAGTTCAAAAATGCAGGGATCCAGTTAGCCCATAAAACACTTGAATGTTTGGAAATCAGAGTATAGTAAAAGAGTTTTTACTGTTAATGGAAATGATATGAATAGAAAATATTCTATAGAAATGATGTTTACAATGATAATTTTGTTATTGGTTTGATCTGATAACTAAGCTATAAATGTTTAAACTTGAACAGAACAATAAGTTAAAGCCCAGCAGATATTATAATTCATTATAATAAGACATCCTCAAAGAACAATAAAATGCAAGTGTCAAAACGATTTATGAACCAAAATTATATGCTGTTATTTCAAAATTTGTTGTAATGTCTTAAAAGATTAAGACAGTAAATGATTCATCTTAAAATTTCAAGTCAGTAGGTGGCCTGTTTTAAAGCACCTTTCTTCCCTTTCTATTTTTCCAGCAGCAGTCCAAATTACTGGTCCATTAATCTTTCAACTCACTCTGCAGTTTTATTGTTCTATTTGTTTTGTCCTAAATTTGCAGACTGACAGATGAAAACAATGTAAAGATGTCATGCAATAGAAGTTCCTTCATAATATAAGTTCCAAGTGGAAGAAAATATTCTGTAATATTATTTCCACTGGAACAAGTATTCGTTCCTAACGGAATAAAGGGTATAGAATATTTGTTCCAACAGGAACAGATATTAAGGTATTGTTTACAACAAAGTTTCCAGGGGAACTTCTGTTAGGCGGAACAAATATATGTTAACATGGACACAAAAACTATTGTAACCTCTCCCTCTTCCCTACCCTACCCTGTTACTAGTCAACCACCAGCTGGGGTATAAGCACATGCATTTCATCTGTCTACTACAATATAAAAATCTACAAGCTACTAGTAAACAAATTGTAAAAACACTACCAAAATTCTACATGTCTTATAAATATCCAATACATTAAATATAAAAAATAAATAATAATATAAAAATAATTCAGGAGATATGGTATGATTGCCAATGAGACAACTATCCACCAAAGTTCAAATGATGTGGATATAAGCAACTATAGATCACCGCATGAAAAACAAACCCTACTGTAGAGTTGGCTAAAAAAGATTTTATTTCTTTTCTATCCTACCGCAAGACACATTAACAGCACTCTTATTACATTCCTGAAATCTAATCTGCATGATACTACCAAACCAAGGGGGCAACCTCACCTGTAACTTTAGTTCAATCACATCTGGGCAAACAGTTTTGTTAAGTTGACGTTGATATTCTTCTTCAAGCTCCTCATCCATTTCTTTGTATTTGTAAGTTTCCTGACATAATTAGTAAAATCGTGCACTATGTGTTAGTATAAAAAAAATGGCAAAAAACAATGACCAATTGTCCTTTTCAGCAAAAAATCATGTCAATTGTTTTCTAATTAAGAGTCATTCTAGAAACTTGTTCACAACATTCCAAAAAATCTTTCTTGTAACATTTTTGTGTGAAAAGGACAACTGGGTTTTATGAAAATTTAATCTTTGAATTTTCAAAGGGGAGATAATTACAAAATGGAGGTTTAATACAATAAACAATAGATTGTCACAATTGTGAGCTTAATTACTCTATTCTTCTTTATTTCTATGAATATTTTTATCATACATAAGATTATCAAGTATATTCTTTTAATTATTAATTTCTGTTGTCAACCACTAAAAAAAAGTTAAAGGAGTAGGCCCGATAAGACCCTTTTTGGCCCCAAAATATAGCATTTTTTCAAATTTGTTAAAATTTAAACTTTTAGCTATTTATTGGAGAGTAGAATACTTTTGTTACATAAAATGGGCTGTTTATTGACAATACAATGCACATGCATCAGGTACTAGCATCATTAATTCATGCAAAATTACTGAAATCTTCACAATTTTAGCATCTAAAATGGAAGTGGCCACACATGTGTTCCGTCTTAATATTTTAATATATTTTGTATTTGATGATAATACATAATATATATAAAGGTTGAGGCTGAACATGAATGTGGCCACTTACAATTTAGACAAAAACCATCTGAAAAATGACGTTTTATGGCATATTTGATAGATTTCTCATATTTAAGCTTGAATTTGAGAGTCTTTAATGACAAAATCAGTTCAAAACTTTTGCTTACATAAACTAATTGAACTGACTGAAGTTGGCACTTAAATATTTAAAAAATGTCAAAAAATCTTTCATCAGATGTACTTCAAATTTTAGGCCAAAATTAGCCTGTACCGGACCTTCTCCTTTAGGGTAAATACACACACAGAAAATTAAGAAGCCCAGATTGTGATAGCTTCTCCTTAGCATTTCTAAAGTTCCACTTGATCAATTTTCAAAATATGAAATGAAAGTTTTGTTGATTGAACAGACAGCCAGATCAACAAGGACAAACAGTATACCATCCACTCATTGAGGGGAGTATAGTTACAAAAGTGCATTCATTGTATGCCCTGATATGAGTGTTCAGTGTAGAAAGGTTCCCATTTTACACAGGTTATAATTGAGACAGGTTTCCCTGTATTTAAATAGTATATAAAAGTGGAAAAAACTAATTTAGCTCACACTTTAAAATTCAATGTGACATTTACTGTTTCTTACCACATCATAACCCTTATTCAATTAGAAAAAGAAAAAAAATATTAAGTTTTTGACAATTAAACTACTTCTTGTGAATATTCTATTTTTATCAATTGTACCACTACAGAAAATTTAGTGCAAAACATCTCAGCATTCAATGTGCTGTGAAGAGTGTAAAAAATATCTCTTAAATAGTCTCTTTTTAAAGAAAATCTTTTAGAATCAAATGCATCTTTATTTATTTATTTTCATTTTTAACTTAAAAAATACTTGGAGAAAAATTAAAATTTTTTTAAGTTATATTATTTTTAAAGATCTTAAAAACTAACAAAAATTTAAATGTTAACCCGTTACTCTTCCATTATACATTTTTCAAGTAAAATAACTGTTAATGATCTTAAAAACTAACAAATATTAACGGTTAGAAATGTTAAGCTGTTACTCATCTATAGTTAAAACATTTAGGTGTTAAAAATGGTGATTGTGTTAAAACGTAAATAACAAGAAAAAAAAAGAATAAAACAAATACAATACAAATGTGATCTTACCTCTAAATGTTTCATCAGCACAGCTACGACAACATTTACCAACACAAACTGGGCCATTAAGACAAAGATCACAAAGAATACCGGAGCAATGACAGAGTTCACACAACAGTTCATCAGACAATCACTGGAGGGGTCACAGTCCTCTCGTAATGTATCCTGCAATAGAATATGTTTGTTGTTTAAACTTGTTTACTGTTGATTTATTTATTTTCATAGGTCCCCATTTTCATGGATTGAGGAAAATGAGGATATTTGTTTTCGAGGTTTTTCCTAAGTCTGCATACAAGCCTGTAGAAAATTTGCACTTCCTTGAACATATAAATTTGTGGATCACCTTTACCCTTGAACATATAAATTTGTGGATCACCTTTACCCTTGAACATATAAATTTGTGGATCACCTTTACCCTTGAACATATAAATTTGTGGATCACCTTTACCCTTGAACATATAAATTTGTGGATCACCTTTACCCATTGGTATCCCACAAATACTAATGAATTCCCAATACATCTCATCTATAAATTTCCAAACAAGATTTCAAATTTTTCTTTGATACAGATCCTGAAAATATGTGATGAAACACTCCATGCTCAGTACCGGGTAGGTATAATAAAATTCAAAATATTGTCAAAACAAGAAGTGACAGTCTCGAAGATCTGAAAATCTCTATCTTGGTACACCTCATTTTAAAAGTTCCAAACAAAATATCAAAAAAACCCTTAATATAAGGGCTGAGTAGAATCTAAGAAAGTTTCAGTTTGATAAATGGATAGATGGCATGAGGAACTGACTGACAAGGTTAATTTAGTACACCCTATATTTCTGAGCGGGGGTATAATTTTATCAAGAGTTATTCAAATATTTTTCTGGTGTTAAAAATTGTACAGGTGATACTCAGCAGCACATTGTATTTAAACAACACTTAATTGTTTCAAATAAGCCCTGCAAAGCCAGGGATCTGACATTTCTACTCTAATCTTGAGTAGTCATGTTGAAATTTAAGTGAAAGACAAGCTAGCCATTTAAAATCCTTACATAACTAACAAGTAAAACTGTGAGCTACTGCTCACTGATGATACCCCTGCCGAAATATTTTGGTAAACAGGAAGTTGTTGAGTGATGAATCTGAAAACGCATCACACGGTATAGCTGACTTATATAAACCTTGAAACCAAATTTCAGAAATCCTTGTCAAGTAGTTCCTGATAAAAATGTGACGAAAATTTTCAACTTGGCTATCATGTGTAAATAAATACAAGTGTTTGGTAAACAGGAAGTTGTTGAGTGATGAATCTGAAAACGCATCACACGATGTGACTTACTTCTATTAACCTTGAAACCAAATTTCAGAAATCCTTGTCAAGTAGTTCCTAAGAAAAATGCGACGAAAATATTCATGGGACGAACAGACTTACGGATGGACTAATGGGCGGACTGACGGATGGATGGACTGACGGAAGGACAGACAGAGGTAAAACAGTATACCCTCACTTTTTTAAAGCAGGGGTATAAAAACAATGCTTATATTTCTTTCTTTGCCAACAACTTAATTTTGTTAACATACCTTCATGATACCATTCCAATTATCTCCTGTGGCAACTCTAAAGAGGGTCAGGAATGCCATACCAAAGTCTTTGAAGTGAGCATGTGACCCTAAGCCTTCACATGGATGCTCCTCAGAACACTCTGTAAATACAATGTCTCCAGTCATTGATACAATTATTTGGCTTGAACTTGCCTAAATGCTGGTTTATTTTATTTAGTTTGTCATTTTTCTACTTCAAAATATGCAATTTTGAGCCCAAATCCAAGGGAACCTATTGCCATGGCAATGGGAACATAAATAATTTTATTGTCATCATTTGTTTGATATGTTTAGTTATAGCGATCAACAAACAAAATTTCAAGAATTGCTATAAATTGTTCAATTTGGTTTTATTTATCATGAAATTTTTTTTCTTTTATTCTGTAGCATTTTCTAAAGAAATGTCATTTGCTTTCACAGTGACTTCATAAATATGTCTTCATGGTCATGTTTGACCAAGAATGACCCTCTTACTTATATCTTTTGGTGAAATTAAATATCAGCAACAGCTTTACCCCCCAAAAAAAACATCTACCAGATTATCTTTGTTTAAGACATCTTGTTGTAAAATATCTTTTTTACATGATCATACCTAGATATAAATGGGAAGTTCTAAAAATGAGACAATTTATGGGAGATTTAGCATACTATTCCTTAAATGCTCGAATTTTGACAGCAAAAAACAAATTGACAAATTCAAAATAGATCAAAACTGATAATCAACAAATTAAATCAGGAGTCTGTAATTCAGTGGTTGTCTTCTGTTGCTGTATATCATTAATGTTTTTCGTTTTGTGTTTTGTACATAAATCAGTTTTCTGGTTTGAATTGTTTTACATTTGTCATTTTGGTGCCTTTTATAGCTTGCTATGCAGTATGGGTTTTGCTCATTGTTGAAAGCCATACAGTGACCTATAGTTGATATATTCTACTTCATTTTGGTCTCTGATGGAAATTTGTCTCATTGGCAATCATACAACATCTTCTTTTTTTCATATGCGCATACATGCTCCATTTTACATAACTTACCAAGTCTGCCAAACAGTTCAACACCTAAAGCAGCAAATATAAAGAACAGCAGAAAGAACAAGAGGCCCAAGTTTCCAACCTGTGGAAGGGCCTGTATCACTGTGTCTAATAATGCTCGGATACCTTTGGCCATCTTCAGCAACTTCAAAACTACAAAAAACAAGCATTCTGTGAGTATTGCCTGGCAATACATAGTTCCCTACCGGTTAAAAATTCATTGTACTGGAACAAAATGCTAACTTGATCTTTAACTTGTCATGGTGTAAACTATATAACAAATATCAAGTCAATATCTTCAAGCATAATGAAAAAAAATGTGGAAAACTGATTAGTTAGGTAAATTTTCTAAGTCCAAGGACCACAACTCTGCACAAAATCATCAGACCGGAACAAAATTCACTCTTGATCTGTACCTTGTCATGATAAAAATTTATAACAATTATCAAATCAATATCTTTAAGCATGACGAAAAAAAGTGCTGAAAACTGATTATTTGAGTGAAATTTCTAAGTCCAAGGACCATAACTCTGCACAAAATTATCAGACCGGAACAAAATTCAAACTTGATCTGAAACTTGTCATGATAAAACAATATACCGAATATCAAATCAATATCTTCAAGCACGAAGAAAAAAAGTGTGGAAAACTGATTTGACGGACTGACGGATGGACAGACAGACAGACAGACAGACAGATGGACGGAATGCAAACCTAAAGTCCCTTCGACTTTGTCGGTAGGGGACTAAAAAGCAGAAATATCATGCTGCATTCAAATATTTCTACATTTGACTTCATCAGACAATATCGTTTTCAGGATTCTGCATTAATAGGTTTAAACTGTATTTGAACAGTTCTTAGTAACTAAACAATAAACTGTTCAAAAGTCAAAAAGACCACAGCTTTATTATTCTCTACCAACATTTCGTTTGTCTGAATATAGTATTTCTTCCTTGATGAATAATGACAAACAAAGTATGTAGGATTTTAGTCGCTTGATATGATTTTATTCATATAAATTATATAAAACACATGTACAACATACATTAGTAATTAACAAATGATTTGCATATCAAGTACAACAACTGATGAAAACTGCTCAGTAGAATTTATTACATGTAACAGGAGCAAAGGCCCAGGTCGGATTGGAGTAACTGTGTGGTGAAATCCAACCTTGACCTTGCACATTAAAAATCTAAGTCAGTGTAGGTCTACTTAAACAAAAGATTTCATATCCTTTTGTTCTTGTCTGGATAATGGCTAAAATATGCTACTAACTGACTGTCAATAATACATCTATTTCAAAAGATCATGTGTTAGGTTCATATTTTGAAACCAATATCAATTCTTTTAATTTCTTAAGAGTAAATACAAACCTCTGGCTATTCTAAGCACTCTCATGACCCTGATGATAGTAGGATTGATGGGAATGACATTGGTTTTCATTTCCTCCAGAATTATTCCAACAACTGATAAAATGACAATGAGGACATCTAACTGGTTCCATCTGCAAAATTATTAAAGGAAACCAGATCAATTTTATTACAAAACATAATTTTTAACAGTGTGTATCAGTGAAAAGTGATTTTTTGCTCATTGTGATGAGTGATGTGCTAAAATAAAAAAGTTTAAATTTGTTCTCAATAGTTTAAATATAACAAATTCAACAGTAAGTGGATGTCACTATTTTCTTTTTTTTTTTTGCAATATACTAGTTTTTCCTAAAAAATTTCTTCAAAAACATATATGGTTGTTATCAAAGTGTGCCGCTTAAGTAGATTCATCTTATTGCAAAGTGTGAACTTTTTATTTCATTCAAACAAAGGAAAATGTCCTTCTGGTTCAGTGTTCCATGACATTTTTTGTCTCATGTGCCTTTCTTTTTCATAAAAATGGTCATATAATTTTGAATAAAATGCTCTGCGGGGTGCAGCTTGATATGACTGCAGAGGTCGAACCCTGAACAGTTGGGGCAAGTATGGACACTACATTCAAGCTTGATACAGCTCTGAATTTGGATTGTGATTAAATATTTGACACAGCATAGGTTTCTGATTCAAAATGAAGGTGGTCAAAGAACTGAAAATTTTGAAACTGGAGGTACAATTTCAAAGAGATCCATACACTTATACAAAAATTTTTGTCTGGAAACCACATCATACCATTATACGACTGCAAAAAATTTTGCAGTCATATAAAAATGAAATGTGTCTTTTAACTTATATGATGAATAAACCAGTACATACTTTTCCCTTCACAAATTTTGTTCATGAAAAGAAACTGGACATCTAAAATACAGTTATCTCTATTTGATTGCTGTTTTAACAAAATTGTTTGGTTTAACTTTTGTTTCAATGTATAAAATCACATAAACTGAAATTAAAAAAACTGTTGTCTACAGCTTTGACAGATAAAGTCAGAGCAAGACCAAGACATTACTTGAAAAGGAAAATTTGAAAATGTATGTCTTTTAGGTTCATGGACACTTCAAATTTTGACAAAATCCAGGAATTTTTTTTTTTTAGGTAAGGGTTTAGATTTTTTTGTATTTCTATATGTTGAAATCTAAAGAATTCAACAACGCAGCTGCTTTTAAATACAATTCTAAAGAGAGAGGTATAGAAGTTTGGATATAGCTTGAACTTTTGCATAAATTAGAAAAAGGGAGACTTATTTGAATTTAAAAAATAAAAGTTTACTTTTCATATAAGATGCAGATGATTGGAATTCAATAAAAAAAAAGTGTAAATATATAGTTAGCATGCAAAAATAGCTGTAAAAGTTAAATTGATTCCGTTTTATATTGAAATTCCTTGATATGGAATGACAGCCAATCAAATCAAACCACACACACACACACACACAATTTCCACTTTCCATAAATTCAGAATTTATAGTTTAAAATCGTGTAATGCAAAACAAGATTTGTTATACAAGATACATCGAACATATTTTTTTTAAAAGCCACAATATCTTCACAAAGTTAAAGATATGAATTATATTAAATTTGTACAAAATCTAAAAAATGGTGCAGTTATTTTTAAATTAATTAAAAAAAAAAAAAGGTCTGACTGTGCAATTATGTTTAGGACATAAGAATATGTGTGGGTATAATTCAATAATAATTTGTAGTTGAAATCTAAAACATGCAATAAAAAATTAAAAATGCAGATTTTTACCATTACCTAATATGGTAAATTGCAGGAGAAAAATTACATCATAGTTTCTATCCAATGAATAGCTAAGTTAATCATAACATTTGAAATCTGACATAAACAAATTAAAACTCATATTTCTTTGCTGTATTCAGCCAAGGAATTCAATTTTAAATCTTTCATTATTTTGAAACTGTTTTTTAGGTATTTTTTTCCCCATATTATTATCATGAGTGAAAAAAACTTATCTAAAACAAGAAATTTCCAAATTTAACATCAAATTTTGTTTTAACAGGTTTTTTACTGAAATAATTGTTTTAAATTTTAAAAAGGACAATCTGAAACAGTCCTTGATAGTTAAATTGAGAATAGTGTGAGAAGAGTGGTGGGAAATACACAGCAAATAAACAACATGCTTTTTACACAAGTAGAAAAATAGGGTTTTTGTATTTTGTGTAAAAACTGTCAAAAGTATTAAGGATATTACACTTTTCTTTCACATAAGAAAAAACTTTTTTCATTTTTTTCCTGACATAATTCATTCATAAAATTTCTTCTGTAACTCAAATCAAACCATATATAAAATCTGTGTAAATATCAAAAAAGAAAAATGACAGATTTTCATAGAATGATAACCAACGACAATTCACAAACAAAATGTACATCGGATCCATTGGAATTCTCTGTGAAAGAAAAGTGTGTAAATTTGTAAAACAGGGATTAAAGAGCTTGAGTAAAACTGACACAACGTTTTACCTGCTGTTAATATGAAAAAGACAAAAAAAAACAATAGGTTTACTTAAACAACTAAGGGAAACAATTTTTATTTTACACAATAGTTAAGGGAGACAACTTTTATTTTACAAAATAGTCAAGGGGAATAACTTTTATTTTAAAAAATAGTCAAGGGAAATAATTTTCATTTAAACACAAAGAAACAATTTTTAAAAAATTAATACATAAAGGTAACAATTCTCATGTCACAATGTTTAAGAAAGACATGATGAGAGAAATAATTTTTTTGGAAACATAAAAAGGGAAAAAGTGCCACAATGTTCAAAGGGAAAATTCATGTGAACACACTAAAGTATCTCATATCTATTTTTTGATCACGATTATTGTTTCAACTGTGAATTTCCTTAGATTTGATTGGTTTTTTTAAGCAAGTTTCAGTTTCAAAAGTAAACAAAACAAACAGAAAGCAACTATCTTTTTTTTCTATTTGTTGTTGTTGGAAATTATAACCTCATAATACTTAAAACTTCTACAAAACATTGAAACATTTGTGAATAGAACATGAAACTCAAAACCAAAGGTCCTTTATTTATATTTTTCTTAAACAATATTTTTCCCAATGCACCAAGCTAGTTCAGCATGCATTGTTAATATTTGTAGTATCTTATACACAATTGTAATATGGAATGCCAGAGGAAATTTTCTCCCATTATGCCATACATGCTTTTTCAATTTTCCCGAATACCAAATCGGAAATATTTTTCTTGACGATTCTCTTACCTGTCTTTGATGTATCTAAGAAATCCCAGAGCGATTATTTTCATAGTGGCCTCAATAATGAACACACATGTGAAGAAGTAGTTAAAAATCTTCAATGCAAATTCTAATTCCTGTAAAATTAGAGAGTAAATTAATACAGGTTAAATTATTCATGTGTTGAACTATCTATGTTCTTTTTCTACCATAACCATATAACAACATTTCCCATATTTTTTTTTAGAACAGGTACATAATTATTTTTTTGGACCTGTGGTAGATATCATAAAGAAGTAATATTCTTTAACTTTTGTTTTTTTTATTTTGTCTAGTGCGAAATTTATCTGTATGTTGCATTTGATTAATTTACGTATCTAAATAGCCACAACAGATGAAAGTTGAAATCTTTTAATACCAGTTTCTCATTAATTCATACCTGTCCCCTGGGAGGACATTTGTTTGTCTTCTCTTTTATATCAACCTCGAGATATTAAATTTTTCCTCATTTTTTTTATTTTTGTCTCATCAAGTGCCCAATTACTCTTCTTTGTTAACAAAAATAATAGGATATTCAGGACACAATATTTCTGGTATCTATTGTACTGCATTCAATGGATATGACTAAAACCTGGCATACAACATTCTAATGAGTTATTTCAACTTACTGGTGGCATCATATAGTATTCCATTGCCATGGTGATGACATTTGACCCTATGACTCCTGCTATGGCAAGGTCAAAGTATTTACTGTTGACAACTTGATGAATAACCAGACGACAAGGGGAATAATTTGACCAGTATGCTGGACGGTTCAGTTCTTAATTAAAAAATAAAAAGCATTTATAGAATATCAAGATCTAAATCACATAAAGATATTAAAATATCTACATTTTTTATTCTTTGAAATAATATAAATTTCTACATCACTTTGAATTGCTATACTATTTATCAAAGATCGTTTTTAACATTCAACAAATATTTGATGCCTTTCACAATTGAGGAAAGATATTAAATTGTTCCATATATTATCAGAATAAATAGCTCAATTATACAATGAAACAATGTTTTATTCTCATGAAATAATCACAAAATATTTTAAGATCACATGAATGAATCAGAAAAATGAAAAGCATGGAATCAAGAATTAATGTATATGTCCATGAAAAGGTGGAATGATATGAAAATAGATTACAAGACAATCACATAGTTACTTACCTGGAAGACAAATAAAGGGACATAACACACGAGACAACATAACACTGAGTCTGGCACACTAATGCACACACAAGTCAATAAATTTACTATTCTATATCAAATGCAATACTATTCTATATTGTGAACATTCAAAATCATTCCAATCACATTTAAAATTTAAAAAATTACTGGCTTCAAGCCAAATTAGTATAAAAATAAATAAAATCTTCCTTTTCATTTTCCCTCTTTTTGATCTTATTATAATCATAGTTAACACATTTCCTTAATAGATAATTAACAGCATTTTCTTTTTATTCACAGATGGGTGGCCATCATAATTTGTTAAGGCAAATTAAATTGGTATCCCAATGATGAACTTAATAATAGTTAAAAAAAAAAAACACATGAGAAATTTGTTTTTCAAATCCTATTCCATAAATAAATCAAGTGACGAAATTTAAAAAAAAATAAAAAATATTTTAAATTTACAGGATTTGCGTTTTAAAAGTTCATTGTAACTATTTTTTTTAAACAAAAAATCAAAGAACTATCATAAATATATGAATTTTAAACATTTGATTTTTAAAAATTATTTACAATCCATAATTCTCAGTAAAGGCTTCAAAAATACCAGTAGTAATCAAATAGTTAGTGCAAACAACATATTTTATGTTAAAATACATCTAATTCAGTGATGTTAAAAAGATACCTTACATACAAGTCTTGAATCCCTTCCCTCTCAATCCAAGAAATAGCATCACTAGAGAGAGATTTCAGCCGACTAGATATTGACTACATACATCAAAATATTACTGCACAGATAACACTTGATCAGTTTTCTTTCACTATATTTTTTTACAATAGCAGACTGATGCTATGAAATGTAAAACTAAAAACTAGCTTCAAGCACATTAAAGCTACAATGAGGCCCATATTATTCTTTTTCTAAAAGCAATGACTTCTTTCGACTAATTGAAGCATAGCAAAAAATGTCTCGAGAAAACTTCCCCAAATATTCAATTTATTGCACACACTTTTTACAACAAAAACCACTTTTGTTAACAATTTTTTCTTGCAACTCATCAATTCTAATGAGATTGTTAGAAAGACTCAATGGATAATTATATTAGCTATTGAAATCAAAATGGCTCAAGTAAAACAGTGTGATACAGGTAACTTTTCCTTTAATAGATTTATCAGATTTCTAACTCAGTCATATTTTATCAAGAGCTTTCAATTTTATAAAAAGCTCCTAAAAATCTTACAACATAAACCTATTACAAGAAAACAGGTTAACAGTCGGATGTTGTAAAGCTTAGCCCTTCCTTACAATCAAGCATGTATTAGCATTGACAAGCTCCATCACATGATCTAGAATAAGTATTTTTCTTTTTTATGAAAAAATATTTTCATGCATAAAATGATATGTAAAGGAAAAAAAAAACTGATGCTGTTTGAAGTTTGAGAAAAGCCTGCATTCTTTAGTTGGTATGGAAGAAAATATTAAAAATCTTTATAAAAAATGTCCTTAAATGTTTTAATGAAAATAAGCAAATTAAAAAAAAAAACATGTTCTGCTTTTTTACAATGTAAATCAGCTAGTAAAAAAGTAAAAAGTGAGCTATTCAAAAAAATTTCCAATAAAGTCTCCAAATGATTCGGCACCCTGCAACTTTGACAATTGACTAAAACAGAGGGTACAATAAGCCCCAACCTATACCTCATTCTTCTAAAGTAGGAAAAAATGCTGTATGTATTAAAATACTACCTAAATTTGATTTATTTAAAATCAAGCACAACAAGAATGTGTCCATAGTACATGGATGCCCCACTCGCACTATCATTTTCTATGTTCAGTGGACCAGGAAATTGGGGTCAAAACTCTAATTTGGCATTAAAATTAGAAAGATCATATCATAGAGAACATGTGTACTAAGTTTCAAGTTGATTGGACTTCAACTTCATCAAAAACTACCTTGACCAAAAACTTTAACCTGAAGCGGGATAGACAGACGGACGGACCAACGAACGGATGCACAGACCAGAAAACATAATGCCCCTACTACTATCGTGGGTGGGGCATAAAAATGGAATTAATTCTTCTGATTGAATACCTACACACATTATGCTTATTGATAATAGGCTAGGAAAGATCCTGTTGTTATGCCTTTTGATAATATAAATTTTGCCTAGGTTGTACAAGAAGGGAACTTTTCAAAATTAAAATCTTAAAGTTATTTTCAGGGGAGATAAATTTAATCTTGTTTTGTTATCAACTCTTGATAGATTTTAAAGGTATTGGAGGGGAAGAGTGTAAGAATGCAGTCATTTCCAGAACTATATGTGCATGACAGATGACAGAAATAAAAAGCCAGACTCAGGTACAAACCAAAATCCCCAAAGGGTTCCTCACTCTTTCTCTTTTGTTCCATTTTCTGTGATCTTTTCTTCTGCCGTCTTTCCCTCTCTTCTTTTTCTTGGTCTTCTCGACACTTGTGAAAGTTTTCCACCACAACCCCTACGAACATGTTCAATACAAAAAAGCCGACCAGCAGCAGGAATGAGATGAAATATATCAGACGCCATTCGTTGTAATTTTCTTTGGGCTGTTATAATGAATAAAAATTTTAGTTTTTGAAATACACATATAATTTTTTAAGTGTTGTAACACATAGATATGACAATAATCACAATTTCAAATGCAAGTTTGTTTTTATGTACATAAAAAGATATTTACAATAACAATGATATAATTCAAATCTACCTTGAGAAATAAATATAATAGAAGAAAATCTGATTCATAAAAAAAAATGTAAGTAGCTGTTATTTTTATTGTTTGAATTGTTTCAAATTTTTCATGTCTGTTCCTTTTTATAGCTGACTATACAGTATGGGATTTGCTCATTGTCGAAGGCCATTCAGTGGCCTATAATTGCTTATATTCACTTCATTTGAACTCTGGTGGTTAGCTGTCTCATTTGCAATCACCACATCTCCTTATTTTTAAATGAAGATTTTCTGAAATAAACATATATGTTTCAGGTCATTTCTTGGTTCTACATTAAAAATCTAACCTGCATGTCCACTCCCACAGCATCCAGTCCAGTATACATAATGCTGACCCAACCGTCCTTAGAAGCTAACACAAACAATGCCATTAGGGCCTACAATATAAAAAAAGCAACCAAATTATAATAGTAAATTAAAATTCACCTTTTTTGCTGCACTAATTTCAATTTGGAAGTAACAGATTTTTTTCTTTTTTATTCCTTACAAAAAAATAGGATTTAAAATATGTTTTTTTTTTATTATTTGTGAACAAAACTTTTAACTTTACAAACTTTAGAGATCTCAAAAATTGTTAAAAGTTAAAATACATCAATACAATTAGACCTGTTCAAACTGAGTTTTTCAGGACTTAGGAATTAGACAAAAATCTGGCTTTCACAGGTCAACCATGTTCTTTGAATACATGTACATGTACTGTAAACCAACTAATTCTCTTGAGCAATTTATTTTCGGGACTTTATTGGGGAGAATAATTATATATAAATCGTCACTTATATGTTCAACTTGAATATTTCCTTATATCAATACAGCAACAATATTAAAAATTCACAGGAAAAAAATCACTTTGAAATTAGCTAGAAACTACTAAACGCGAATTAAGTATTCACTAAAATAAATTGGTTTACAGTAGTCAATCTAGACTGGTTTCTAATTAACATACGCTTACCTGGCCCAAATCATCAAAGTTATATTTTTGGTTCACCCATTTGTTGTGAGGATCCGATAAACACTCTGTTTTATTAACAACATGTCTCACATTCAGTCCTTTACAATAGTAAAAACTTCCCTTGAAGAGCTGAAAAAGAGATTAAGATCATACATAATATCAAATTCAGAGTGTTAATATAGCACTGTACATGCAATTATATAGAAATGTGCTGCTTTAGTACATATATCTATCAACGCAATAGGTCAAAATGAGATTTTGCAAAATCAAGCAAACAAATTAGTTTAACCCCGCCTGTCCCAAGTCAAGAGCTTGTAATTCAGTGGTTGTCGTTTGTTGCTGTATATCATATTTGTTTTCGTTCATGATTTTGTACATAAATCAGGCCGCTAGTTTTCTTGTTTGAATTGTTTTACATTTGTCATTTCGGGGCCTTTTATAGCTGACTATGCGGTATGTGTTTTACTCATTGTTGAAGGCCGTAAGGTGACCTATAGTTGTTAACTTCAATGTCATTTGGTCTCTTGTGGAATGTTGTCTCATTGGCTATCATACCACATCTTCTTATTTTTATATATATCTATATAAAGATGTGGTATGATTGTCAATGAGACAACTAATGAAAAAACAAGGATGTTAACAACTAGAGGTCATCTTTTGGCCTTCAACAATGAGCAACACCTATACTGTAAGTATGTATGTATGGACTTTTAAGTAATTTATTAATTTCAAATATATTTTCCAGGGTAATTGCTTTGTGTTTTTTGCCACTGCATATTGAAATATCAATCAAACATTGGATTTTTTAATTATCTTAATTATGGAAGTTCAATGTTAATCACTGTCAAAGAATCTTAGAAAGCTGGTTAATGTCTGTCTTAAGGTGATAATACAATTGTTTTGAAACTTCATTCCATGAATATGTCAAACCCAGATATTCAGTTTGAGATCATTTGAATAAATAGGTATTTTGTTAAGTAAGCATGAAACATAAAATGCTCACATTTTTTTGTTGTCGAAAAACTGATTACTGTGGATTCATTCTTATTCGTCGTATATTAAGGTGGTCTCATTGGGGGGTTCTGATCCCTGATCCCGCTTACACTATGTACGTAAGCAATTCTCATTTTTTTGTAATTTCCCGTATCCCGCTAGACTTCATTTCCCGTTTTTACGGCACAATAATTTGACTTCAAGTGTCACGCTTACAAAAAATCAGCAATCCCGCGTCACGCTTAGGCCCCAATGAGACCCACTATTAATTTTCACAGTTTTGTGAGTAAAGATGATCCACGCATATAAATGTTCAACAAAACGCAAATTTCCAATGATTGTCTTGTAATATTGTATGCTTCTAAGTAAGGCCACCCTTAAGAAATTCTTTGTTTGATGTTGCCTACCAATGCCTTGTAGGGTTGGGTAGGTAGGTGGGAATTTTTATTTTTTTTTGGCCAACAACATAAGTTACACAAGAAAAGACAAGAAAACGATGTAAGAGCAGGACAAATTCTTTTCAAGAAAAATTAGAAACGATTTGTGCCACAAAATTTTTTGGGTAGGCAGCTTTTTAGGTGGATAGGTAGGCAACAACAAACAATTCAAATCTTATTTTTGGCCTAAGGCTAAATAACTTCATTCTTACCTGAACTCCTAATATTCCAAAGATAATGAAAAATGTACAGCAGATGAGAACAATATTTCCAATGGGTCGTAATGATGACAATAATGTTTGTACAACCAGTTTAAGACCTGGTGCCCTGCTAATTACCCTGAAATGGAAAAGTCACAAATTTACGTTAATCTATAAAGCATAGCATCATCAAATGTAATTAAACTTAAAAAAAGCTGTAAAAATAACATCACTTCTCTCTAAAAAAATCATTTAATTGTACTTCAGTGTATGTTTAAAATACTTTGTATGTGTAAGAGTTGTGTACTATCATTCCTAAGTGTAGAATTTCCAGTAAAAAAAGGCCTAGTGTATTTTCTCCATATAAGTATGATTTTTCTGTCAGAAATTTGTATAACTTTGCCATAGAATTGTTACACTAAAAGTTTATCTCTTCCAAAAGGAAAGAGTACACTGTTGTTAAAATTCACTGTATCAGGGTCAAGTTGATGACAACAGACAGCAATAACATTTATAATGATTGTGACTTGCAAAAGTTTATTGTTACTTCACATTTACAAGTTGTGAATCACAAATTTTAATTAACTACCATCTTACCAGTAATACTAGAATCTATTTTTTTAAACAGTAATGCCTATTCCCATTGAAGGATTAAATTTACTAATTGTGTATTCAAGTCCTTCTGTAAAAAATACCTTTCATGTAAACTTACTAACTTCACGGCAACTTACTTTTCATAAATTACAAGAGAAGTCATTCTTGTCTAACCAAAATTCTTGCATCTGGTCAATTCAATTCAAAAAATATTTTGAAAAAGTTAGACGTTGAAATTAATATTGTTCACGTAAATCAACTTTCTTCAGATCAATTTACTTTAGATTTCATCTGTAACTGTAATTTAAGTTTAAATTCTAAGCTTAAAATTGATATAGAATTGACCACTTGAAAGAAAGTAGGTTAACACATAAACAGTTTTTGGTGTAAAGTGTATATAATTTTAACACTCACCTGAGTGGTCTCAATGTTCGTAGTAATCGGAAAACACGAAGAATTCCAAAGATTCTAGGACTGCTTGATGCTGACAAGGATATAAATATATCTGTCAAGGAAATAAGTACTAGGAATCCATCCATCACATTCCAGCCACTTTTAAAATAGGCATGTTTACCGATTAGTAATCCTTTAGCTGATACCTTGATTGTCATTTCCAAGGCAAATATAAAAGTAAAGCCATAGTTTGAATAGTTCAGGAACTGTCTCTCCTGCAAAAATAAAACAATTTAGGATGCTCACTACTCACATTTTCAACTTTTTCTTGACTATTGCAACTTGCTTTTAGACATCAACAAAAAATTCTATGCTCAATTGGTATAAGAAAATCAAAATATTATCAAACAGGAAGTGGTCACCTTGCAGATCTGTAAATGGCTTACATGAAACAACTCACCATTGTAAAGTTCAAGATGATTCAATAATACATAAGCATAGTATTATGCAATGAAAGTTTCCAATGGACAAACAGATGGATAAATGGACAAGGCCAATGTTGTATATTACCCACTCACTGAGTGGGGTACAATATTTTTCTAGTCTTAATAATTGGTACAATATAATATTACAAGCAATTTCACACTTACAATTAATTCATTTTTTAATAAGTTTTGTATTTTTGAATATTTAGGTCTCAGGCATCACCGAAGAGACATTTATTGTCGAAATGTGCATCTGGTGAAGAGAAATTGGTACAGTTAATGTTATTACATAACACAAAGTGATTTCCAAAATTAAAGATTTGAAGCTGAATTAGTTGTTCTGTGTTTTTATTACTGCAATTCATTTTACATATTCTTTGCATATGTATATGTATATAAAAAAAAAAAAGTAAAAAAATAATAGATTTTTCTATTTACTATCTGATTTCGGGTATATAAAAACAAGTTATCTCTCTTTGTACAAATGCAATCAAATTTTATGGAAGTAAAAACAAATGGATCTCTATAGAATCTTTCTTTTACAAAATAGTAATGTCTGATACTGGCTCAAACTTGTTCCATCCTTACAACGTGACTTGACTTTCAAAGCTAATGTGATACAATATGTGACGGAGCATGACTGAGGAACCAGAACACTGTTTATTTACATCAGACTTAGGAGGTATATCAGGTCGTTCCATAGCTAATATGTGATACAATAGGTGAAAGAGCATGACTGGGGAACCAGAACACTGTTTACTTACATCAGACTTAGGAGGTATATCAGGTCGTTTCATAGCTAATATGTGATACAATAGGTGAAAGAGCATGACTGGGGAACCAGAACACTGTTTACTTACATCAGACTTAGGAGGTATATCAGGTCGTTTCATAGCTAATATGTGATACAATAGGTGAAAGAGCATGACTGGGGAACCAGAACACTGTTTACTTACATCAGACTTAGGAGGTATATCAGGTCGTTTCATAGCTAATATGTGATACAATATGTGAAAGAGCATGACTGGGGAACCAGAACACTGTTTACTTACATCAGATTTAGGAGGTATATCAGGTCGTTCCATAGCTAATGTGATACAATTCAAAGCAATGAAGAATAAAACAGAGTTGTCAAACCATTTCTGAGCCATCCAATGGTGTAAAAGTTTTCTAAAACTGTAAAAAAAAGATAATAAATGGAAGCGTTTCACATTTTATATAACAATAATGTCCACAGAAAAACTAGCTAAAGCAAATTATTTTAAAACTGATTATTTTCACAGATCTTCCCTATGTTGATTCATTAATAACTTTTCTACATTTCAGTCATTAATGCAATGGTGTTGGTATGTGTCCATGATTGATAAAAATATAGTGTTCACTTGTAAATTTGGCAGCACTGCACAAGATATTTTTTTAGATAAGTACAAAAGAAGATAAAACAACAACCTCCCCACCCCCACCATAAACAACTATGCATGTTATGACTAATTAGGTCTATTAAAAGATTTTCTGTTTTGCCCTGAAAATCTGACCGGATTCTCTTTTTTTTTTTATCTATTTTCCTATAAATATTTTTCCAATCTTATGAACAAATTATCAAACCCCAAATTCCTGAAAAGCAAAATAAAAGTACCAGCTGAAGCATAGAAACTTTCCAAAAGTTACTTGTCTGCTTATGGTGGTACCAAAACACCTTGACTAAAATTAATTTGGCTTCTTTAATTTTCATAAAATTTTGAAAAAAATATTTACTTTGACCCTTTGACAAAAATATAAAAATTTCAAAAAACTTAAACCACACACTTTATCAGAAAAATTTCATTGGATAAATAGCAGTTTGACAAATACTAATTTTGATCATTGAGAAGTTTAATATTTCCTTAATAATAGTACGTGATTTAAACGTTCAGCTGATTTTTACACAGTTATCTCCCTGTAGTGTTATGTACCACCTTATATTGACTAATTTTTACAAGACTTTAATAACATTAAAAATAAACAGCTGCGCCATGAGCGCATGATATGCCCATCGTCTTGTGTGTGAATTTTTATGCAATAATCATAAATAGTTTCTGACATACGGCCTGACATGCGAAAACCTCCTTTTTTACAAAAACTCAATATCTCTAAAATAAAATTTTGAATCAAAACCAAAAAGTATACAGATCTTTGAATTAATATAACTCATAAAGTGTGAAAAATTGTAAGCAATAATCATAAATCGATTCTGAGATATGGCACGACATGTGAAAACCCCCCTTTTAAAAAAAAAAAATCAATATCTCAAAAATAAAATTTTGAATCAAAACTAAAAAGTATACAGATCTTTAGATTAATATAACTAAGAAGTGTGTAAAATTTTAAGCAATATTCATAAATCGATTTTGAGATACGGCACGACATGTGAAAAACCCCTTCCCCTTTTTTTACAAAATACTCAATAACTCAAAAATAAAATTTTGAATCATCACCAAAAAGTATACAGATCTTGAGATTAATATAACTAAGAAGTGTGTAAAGTTTTAAGCAATAATCATAAATCGTTTTTGAGATACGGCGCGACATGTGAAAAACACCTCCCCCTTTTTTAACAAAATACTCAATATCTCTAAAATAAAATTTTGAATCATCACCAAAAAGTATAAAGATCTTAAGATTAATACAACTAAGAAGTGTGTAAAGTTTTAAGCAATAATCATAAATTGTTTTTGAGATACTGTGCTACATGTGAAAAAAAACACACACCTGTTTTAGTTCCTAAGTCCCGTAACTCAAAAAGTTTGAATCTTATTTTCACCAAAAAGTATACAGATCGTTTGACTATTATAAGAAACAACTATGTTTAGTTTCATGAAATTTGGATAAGTCGTTCTCAAGTTACTGTGCGACATGTTTACGCCAGACGACATTTGTATACCATAATACGTCCCGGGCGTATAAAAATCCAAATTACAAATCTTCTGCACCCTTCATGATTGAAGTTAGATGAAAATCAATATGTTATGTTTAACTGGCTTTTACTGTCATACCAGTTAGTTGGACTAAGGACATATAATGCATATTCTTGTCTTGTTTTGAAGCACCCTCTTGGTTCTGGAAACCAGGAGCAAGAACAATTCTGAAAGAAAATTTCAGAAAAATAGTTCAGTAATGACTGTAACAATGCAAAAGAGAAAACTTAAAAATTGTGCCCTTATAAAATATTGATTGTGTTGCATAAAACTGTTATATAGCTGTTCCTTCTGAGAATGACACAAAAATTAACTCCTTTTTTCACTTGTCAAAATAAATTGTGTGTCTTGCCTTCTCTACCCATTGTCTGCATATTTTACAAATTCAATATAAAAATAAGAAGATGTGGTATGATTGCCAATAAAAAAACTATTCACTCAGTGTCAGATCCAGTTGACGATCAATGCTTTTGAATGGGGACATATGGTTGGAACCCTCCCCTTTATCCTGGGTTGGAACCCCCCTTTTAAAAATGGCTGGATCCGCCCCTGCCACCAGAGACCAAATGACATATATTATAGCAAATTTTCAGAAATGACAAAGTGTATTTAATCTGTGTATGTGTAATACATTGTCATTTTCTCCTTTATAGTTAAAAATATAACTTACTGCCATAAGGTTGTTTAAGTATATGGACAGTGACTGTAACCTCCATCAAATGAAAAAAAGAATAGGAGCTGTATGCTCTCATAATCTAAAGTTTCTTGCAGTTAGCAATCATGAGATAAATGGTCTGATGTTAAAAAAAAAACTTCCTAACATATGCTTTTAATTCAGGAAACTTTACTCAAAATACAAAATTGTACATAAACCTTAATTCCAAATAATATCACATACTGTTTCATCCATAGCATCAGGGTCTTCCTCATCTTCTACGTCAGATATATGTTGGGTATTAGCTTCACCAGTTGGTGATTCAGACAGATTATTTTGCTTATAATCCTCCTTAACACCAGTCATGGAAGACAATGAGTTCATGGTACGACGACTAGTAAAAGAGTTCTGACGACTCAGATATATTGAGTTGCAGGCGCTCTGTGTGCTGCTGACTGAATTGTTACGAATTTTTAATGAGTTACGAGGTGATGGAAATGGCTGACGCTTTATAGAATTCTGTGGACTTAATGTTCGTTGGTTGTTTAATGGCAAATGGCCATTGCAATCTAGCCGACTGAAATAGAAATTAAAAATTACTTATATCTTTTAGCCAAAAAATAAATATTTGTGAGTTACATTACACCCAAACACAGGCAAGTGTTAACTAAATAATTTACAATTGATCAATTCAATCTGAATTTTACCTCAGGTTATTCAAACATTTCTTTGATTGTAAAATATTCGGTCATAATAACATCTACACTCTGAGATTTGCCCCTGAACATGAGACACCGTCATAGGATAGTTTATTGTATTACCTGTTTGGAATGGGTGTACATGGTGTGAATACATCATCGTCATAATAATCTACACTCTGAGATTTACCACACTCCTGTACCAGACATCTCCTCTCTCCATCCCGGCTTCTCCTGCCTCGCCAACTGTTTCTGCTTCCATAACTATATGATCTACATAAACCAGGTGACCTTAACATTGGGCGTGGTGATCCACGAGGTGAGGGTCTTGGTGAAGGACGGGGTGAAGCTCTTGGTGAAAGACGGGGTGATGATCTTAAGCTAGCATTGGACTGCAAGTAAAAAAATTGATAGATATGTGATAACCAATTGCTAGCATTAGATTATAATGGCAGTTAGTAATAAAACTGAGGTTAAATTAAAATTTCATGGAAAATTAAATGCAAAAGTTCTGCATGTCTTCATTTCAGTTCAAAAAATAAACTTACCCCTCACTAATAGCATCCTGTGATGCTGAAACTTTATTTTTATATTCAACCAATCATATACCCCTTAATTTTTTGTCTTTAGATTCTAAGATGTATCTACTAGCAAGACTTTCTCATTATCATAGGTGCAATACAAAATCATGTGGTTTGAAGTTGGTGAGTTCCATGTATATAAATCTTGAACCAACAATAATGAGGTTCATTTAGAATGTCCAACCACCCATTCTTGATATATAAGTACTGTGAATTCATTATTATTTGTTGGATACCAATTTTTGTGGCTTTCGTTTGTACAGGTGAACCGCAAATTTAAATGTTCTATGAAGTACAAATTTTCTATGCTTGTATGCAGACTTTCATAAAATCATGAAAAAACAATTTTCCCCTAAACCACGAAAATTGGTACCCATGAAAAACAAATGAATCCACACTCTTACAAAATGGATCAACATCTACATTTAACAGGCCGCTCTCCTTATCAAGTTTTTGTAAGTCCGACTCAGTAAATTCAAACTATGTGATTGCAAACAATGGTACAGTTGTGAAAAAAACTTACAGTAGATGATGAATGTACAGACAAAGTGTCCATCTGAACCTGCGGGTGAACACATAATGTCACTTTGTTGTAATCTTTGTTAGGATTTTCGTTGGGTGATCCCTGGGGTGTGGGCATGGGTGTGGCTGCTGTATGTGTGATGATAGGTGGGGCGATATCAGGGGCCTGACCAGTCCTGTTGGCATTGTCCTCCTTTATAACTGTCACTGGACACAAAGCTAACATTTTCTCTGCAAAAGTAACTGAATTATATTATATATTTATTAGCTAGATGTAGATTTTTGAGAAAGTGATGACATAATAAAAGTAAATGATGTAGCAGATTTGTTCCGCTTGAGATATGCTACAGTAAATTCAAAAAGTTAATGTGTGCGAATTACTGATTTCTGGTAAAAGTGTTACCGGTATATCTAATTGATGCTATCGTGAAAATTTGGTGAAGGATAATCACTACTGAATTCATGAATGCAAGTTTTTATTACTGATTTCGTTGCCTATTTTGCTTTAATGAAAACATTGCAATAATTTCTGAATTCGCAGTATTTGCATTACAGTATGGTGGATCACATAGTTTCTTGTTTATTAAACTTTAAAAATTATATTCAATTCAAACATCATTTTTACATGTTTTTTCTCTCTCTCTTTAAAACTTATTTAAGATAATGCTATTGAGAGAATTAGTTAGAGGTTTTCCTGTAATGCCATTGAAGGAATTAGAGGTTTTCCTGTAATGCCATTGAAGGAATTAGAGGTTTTCCCGTAATTTTTTAGCATTACAACAGAAAACATTTAACATAACAGACCGAAAATGATTGTTTTGCAAATATGAGTCAAAAGGAACAAATAATTGATGTTAGTTGTAAAATCCAGGAACTCATAATTGATGTATTGCATGTACACACTTTATGTGCCAAACATCTTACATTCACAATTTGTTTTCATGTGTTTTAATGTTTATTCACTGTTAATTTCAGTACATTTTTTTAGTACAAACCTTTTTCTTTATTATTAATTTTGATCTGGGCAATATCAACTGCCTTGATTTTAATAGTCTGATTTTTCTCCTCGTTGTTGTTGGTCTCGGCAAGGAATGCTTCTATTTCTTTCTGACGTTGTTCTTTCATTTTCTTCTTTTCTTCCTCCTAGAAGAGTAAGTAACCAAGACTACATTTTAATAAATAAACTAAATACAATATACATCTTGAATTATGAATACTATAGCAAGTTTTTATCTTTTATGATTTAAAAATTCAGACAACTGAATAGTAAAGTTGTAATACAGAAAATTTCTTCTTATTAAATTTTTATGTATCTGCTTCTTGCTTTTTATATTTTTTTTATTTTATTTTTTGAATTGCAACATAATATTCCATGTAGAACATAAAAACAAGTTACTGTGAATTTTCCTTGTTATAACAGGCAGTGTAATATCCCTTGAAAATAGCGTCATTAGTTGGGAAATATGATGTTATTTAAAAAAGTTTTGCCATAAACTGTTCAGTGACCGATAGTTGTTTACATCCCATCCGTTGGTCTCTGGTAAACAGCTGTCTCCTTGGTAATCATAACAGTCTCTGGTGAACAGCTGTCTCCTTGGTAATCATAACAGTCTCTGATGAACAGCTGTCTCCTTGGTAATCATAACACATCTAATTGTTATGATACAAAGGGTTATTGCACAAATAGCTGTGAATACTATACCTCATAGAATATGATGCAACTAATGCCATACTTGCCTCATGTGAAAATCCTTCCACCAGAATGGCTACTAAGAGGTTAAACAGAACATAGTTCCCAAAGGTCATCAAAGCGATGAAGTAAAGTGAAGCCCATGCTGATGTTGTTTCCATACCATTGTAAAGGACTGTATTCCAATCCTCTTGAGTTAGAACCTGGTTAGAAAAGAAAACTTAATTCAGATCACAAATTTCTGTATGACAATGAAGATAGACCATTTAAATACATTTCACCTTACATTGCTTTAAGATAAAAAATATTATACGCATATTTTGACAAATAACTCATTTTGAAACTGAAAATTTTTCAAGCTTTTCACTCCATTATACTATTATATAAATTAATATTCGCATAGGAATTAAAAAAAAGTGTAGTCTTTTTACTGTCCTTTCAATAAAATACTTTTTAAATAATAATTATGTGTCTACAAAAGAGTAAATATGAAATGTACAATTATTTTCAATTCTTAGATTTTGATAAATTCAATATGTAAAGATTGGTACAATATTCTGTGAAGAATAAGTTGATGACATTATGTGCAAATGTGGTAAATGGAAATATAAAGAAAACATAACAGAATAAGCTTATTCCAGTTTTTCTCTGGTACATGAACCTGGTTTTCAACACCTCAATAAAGGTGCCACCAGAAAAGCTAGCAAATTTTCATTATAAGCAAAAAAAAACTATCTAGTCCAGTGTGTGTCATTTTTCTGTACCAGAATAACTTCAAACTGAAACTATTACTGAAATTTTATGACAAATATTTATAATAACTAGGACTGTAATTAACTATAAGTTACTGTAAAAATACTGGTAGTCTTTCTCAACTTTTACCTTGACTGTCAATAACTGTGCTTTATGCACTGACACTGCAGTTTCTGACAGTTCCCAGAAGCAAACCTCATGTTACCAGTGCGTGAATCATGGTTTACTGACAGTCCAGGTTGAAATTGCAAAAGACTGATGTCTCTTAAAGTTGTGAACAGTTATTCTGAGACAGAAAATAACTGCCATTGGGACAGACAGTTATTTTTGGTGTTCATAATGCTTAGATTTGGCAATTTACAAAATCTATTAAGAAAGTTCATCATGAAACAATATAATTACTGGTGACTAAAAGATAAAATTTATATAAATATATAAAACAAATCACAAATATTACATTTACGACACTGACAACATTTCAAAGCACATGCAGGAATTGTATACAACATTTAGCAATCAAACATGCACAAATTCTGAATGTCAAACCTCAAAATACAAACTGTAATTTTAAGTAACTACTCTTTTTTTGTTGTTTTCTTTTAATCAGAATAATGTTTAATTGTTTCAATAATGAAAAGTCTCCTGTTTTATGCATATAAGACTTCTTTAAATTTTTTATTTGCTTCTTTTTTTTCTTCTTTGATGGTGCCCTCTGTTGCTTTCTATACATCTTTTAAATCAATTCTCTGTGACAATATTTTCCACTGACTTTTTTTTCTGCACTGAAGTTTGGGAACATCCAACAATTAAAACAAGGATGATAAGAGATGCAGGATCATGCAGCATACATTCACTTTTTCATCTATCTTTCTCGGCTTATTTGTCAATCGTATATTTGCATGAGCTCACTGATGTGGCTTTTCCAATACCGGTAACTTGAATACACAACAGTAAATTTGGCAATGTGAAGAAGACTTTTCCTCAATCTCACTTCTCTCAAAAAATACTTTCTTTTTTCATACGCATTCCAGGTAGCCAAGGAAGAGATAACCATTATCATCAAAGGGAGGTAATCTGTGCACATTGGAATATTTTTTTGTCATAAACCAGTGCCCAGGTAAACTTAATAAACTTTATAAAATAAATTATCAAATAACAAAATTTTTAATTTTCATACAGGGAAAAATAATCTTATAGATTTCTAAATTCTGAATTAAAAATTGTACAAGCAATTTTCATCAAGCAAAGCAATTCTTTTTTAAAATAAATTAAATTTAGAAAACTTTTTTAAAAAAAATATCAAAATTTTTTTTTTAGTCAAGTATCATCAAAAGATTTAAAAACTAAATATTTACAAAAGCTAAATATGCAACAAGTTGAAGAGTTCAAAAGCATCCAATAATAATAATACATTTCAGAGGACAACAAAAAGAATCTTAAAGTGTGTCAGGCAAGTCCATAACCAGTCAGTGCCGAGAAATAAAAGGAAATTATATATTAAGTGGAGAAAAAATATTAAAAATAAAGAAAAGTGAAACTGAATTATCAAAAGAATTTTTTACCTGGAACACTGTTACAAGTGACCACAGCAAGGAATTAAAATTGGCTCGGTCACAAATACAGGAATTTGTAGAATTATAATCGTCTATGTCTTCACAGAAGCATGGACTACTATCTTCCCGCCAACAAAATTTTCCACCAAATAAATTCATGCCCAGGACACTGTGCATTTTCAAAACAAAAATCTAAGAATAATTTTCACCATTTACTTGGTTCCAAACAGTTATTGATAAATTTTAATTGAGAAAATTCTGACTACCCGTATATGTCAAGTAAGCGTATCGCTAAAGACAGTGTCTACCCATCACCATCAAACGATTGTTTAGTGTCATGACAAACATTTTAAAATGCATATAACTAGTAGCTAGCTGCAAACAAAACTGTTAGCTGATGTATAATTCAAAACCCTTCTCCAAAATACTGCTGCATTTTCATATATAGCAAAATTTTCTCATCTTCAAACTCATTATGAATATTTTAAAAAATAATTTCTTTGAAGGGCTTAAAATATGTTAATAATGAGCTTTTATGTTTTTTCAAACTTAAACTTTAGCTGCAGACTAGATACTATTTGGCAGGTTGTTTTTCACACCAGAGCCAAACTTAAAATTTTTAAATTTTGACTGATTTTTCCAAGTTCATATATTTAATAATTTTCTAAATTCATTCCCTTTCAGACTTTTTAGAAGCAGCCCATCTCCTGCTTTCCCTAGCAGTATTATGGAGATTAGTTAAGTTTTTATATACCGGGTACTATTTATACATTATATTTGTCATTTTGTGCACTAAATTAGCATATTTTTCATTACACAACACAAACTCCAGGCACACCAGGATCAACAAAAACATGTTATTGGTTAGCAACTGTTGCTAGGAAACACAATATCAACTAACAATGGGTGCTTCCAACTTCAAGTACCTGAAAGACGGTAATTATCGCCCAAAGTAACGAGTCAAAATTCTTTCTATTGCAGTAGATACTTCCATCTTTACGAGGTTTACAGAATTTACAACCAAAAAGATTCATTCCCAGAATGCTAGAGATAAAAGGAAGTAAAAATATTAGTCAGGTATCTTATGAAATAGATGTACCTTAAATTACTATACAGTGAATTCATTATTATTCGTTGGGTAGCAACTTTTGTGGATTTCGTGGGTACAGGTGAACCACAAATTATAAAATGGTCAACGAATGGCAAATTTTCCATAAGATTGTATGCAGACTTTGGCAAAACCATGAAATCAAATATCCACGAAAATTTGTACCCAAAGAAATAAATGAATTCACAGTACTCGCATTTTAACACTGCTTGGTTTTGAATAATCAGATTATTTTGGTGTTATAAATGGTCATGACATAGTCGATTTGCTTGGTGTTAAGATCTGATTTGCTCAATGATCCAGAGATAAAAAGCTTATAGATTTTTTCTCCCATTATGAACTTTTATTTTAAGAAAAGGTCACAATATTACACCCACCTACCACCATTAAACAAATGTGTATGATATGACAGCAAACATAATATATTTCAAAGATTGTCTGACAATTTTTTTTCTGTACAAATAATACTGACCCTTCAAAATGAATGTAGCTGCCAAGAAATAATGCTTAGAACACAGAAAATGTGAATAAATAATGGTTATATATCTGACATCAATTCTGAAAGACCATTATTTCTGAACAAATGGCCTAGTTTCTGATTTTGGGTGGCATGATAACTAACAATCATACCGATAACAAGTTTCTTACATAGTATAATGACATTTCCTAACACACATTATTGACACAACTACAGTAGAAAAGCCGTGAAATTAAAGGGGTCTTATTTCATTATCAATTCTGAACAGTACTCAAATAAAATGTTTCATTCAGTGTGCTGAAATATATTTATATATATGCTCGATAAAAATATGATTTACTGTGTATATGCATGATTTACCGATAATAAAACATTGGCTTCCCGCTGGTATATGATTTTCATTATTTTTTTGCATCACCCTGATGAGATTTATGAAGATGATATAGATCTTACCTTGATAGATTTATATAATACATTTGATATATTTAGACAGCATCATTTTTATCTTAATAACCTTTTAACAAATACTACACACTCACTGAATTTCTTTTTAAAACTCTTCTTTCGTGATTGACATACAATTTTTTATTTCTGTTGAGATTTGATTTATCATTTTTTTCATTTTGTTGTTTAGAGAGAGAGAATGCAAAAGATAAAAAATGCATCTTAAGCAGTTTTTAGTAGTTCACTCAATAACAAATTCATCCTCACCCTAGATAAATAATACATGATCGTTGTTAACTGGACATAATGGTTCATTTATTTCATAAACCAAGAACACCATCATACTTTAAATTGGTTTTATTGGTCCTAAATAAACTCATCATTGATACCTGGATTAAAATTTTGTATGTCAGACACATGTTTCGGTTACAAAAGACTCATCAGTAACACTCCAATCAAAAAGGTTGAAAAGGCCAAATAAAGTATAAAATTGAAGATCATCGAGGACCCAAGGTTCCTCTTAAGTCAGGGGCCTTTAATTCATCGCTTATTGTTGGTTGCTGTCTGTCACATCTGCTTAACTTTTATTGTTTTGTCATAATTCAAGACGTTTATTTGTTTGAATTGTTTCACATTTTGTCATGTCAGGGCTTTAATATAGCTGACTATACAGTATGGGTTGTGCACATTGTTGAAGGCTGTACAATGACTTATAATTGCTTACGTCCATGTCAACTGAACTCTGTTGGATAGTTGTCTCATTTGCAATCATCCCACATCTCCTTATTTTTATATAATGACTGTAAATTAATAATCAATGGTGATCTAAGGTAACAAATGAAATAAATCAAATCAGTGGTCAATGACCAGAAATTTAATGACCGTTGCACCTATCTAAGACCAAAGATCAGGTTATTGATTGGTATCCAATGATTCAAAATACTAATGCAAATTTAATGCTGCTTTAACCTTCAGACTGTTAATTTAATTCTTTGATTTATCCGAAAAGTCATGGTCAAAGTAAATTTCAAATTGAGTAAACACATTGAGTTTTAATTGCATATCTCAAATCTTGGGCTGATAGACCACTGATCAATTATAAATTAATTATGAAAATATATCTCCGCAACATAAAATCTTAGGCCAATTTTATGAATTTGCTTGATATAAAAAGATATATCAGCCGACATATCTTTTAATGTTGTCATGACAAATCCAGGAAAACTCGAATTGGCCTTTCATAATGATTTTATTTAACTGTTTCTTGGGCAAAATCCAAAATATTTATACATGTGTATTAGCAAAACATATATTTTTTAAAATTAAAAATCAATCTAATCATGAACATTCACATTTTTTAAACAGAAAAAAATACTAATTAGACTAATTATAAATGGACTATTAAATATTTAATTACCTGAAGATAAACATAAACAAAAGAAGAAGAGCAAAAAATGTGGCTACATTATCCATGGTTCTGAGCATGACCACTAACTGTCGTCTTAGGGCTGGCAGGAAGCGAACTAATTTTAGAATTCTAAGCAGACGGAAAGTTCGTAGAACAGACAGCCCACTATCTCCATCTTGTTGCAATAATTCTACCATACTGTAAAAATAGAATTATTTAAAATATTCCTGTTTATAAACTTTTTATGATAATTAAATTATGAATGTTTTGATCAAAAGCATATTTACATAATTATGTGATAATTCACTGGTGCCATTCTATTTCCACAAAAATAATACCACTTAACAATGATAAAAAATATTATTTTCAAACATACAAATATTTTTAAATAAATTAAAATTAAGCAATTGTTTTCACTGTTTTTCATTATTTTCTTCTGTCAAATTAACTAAAATATTTTAAATATGCCAATTAAGACATTACACATGGAAAAAGCTTGAAAGATTGGCAGGAGATTGTCTATATGGAACTATTAACAGAATTGTTTTTTAAGAACTTTCTAGTATCAATGTGAATTAAAGAAAACTTGGGTAAACATCAATTTGTCAGTGACCTAAAAACACAAGTTCACAGTTACAGACATACATTAACTGATATAAGTAGACCTTGTGTTTTCGAAGTGAATCTAAGAATTCTACCATCATAGTTACAGGGTGATGTAATCTTGATGATGACCTACTGATCCAATTTGCCATCATGCTTCTAAGAAAATGAGCAAAAGAAGTTCAGTGGTTGCCATTTGTTGCCGTATATCATTTTTCTTTCTTTCTAAGTTTATTGACTTGTACATAAATTAGGCCGTTAGTTTTCTCATTTGAATTGTTTTACATTTGCAATTTCAGAGCCTTCTATAGCTTGCTATTAAGTATAAGTTTTGCTCATTGTTGAAGGTCATATAGTGACATATACTTGCTAATTTCTTCATCATTTGGTCACTGGTGGAGAGTTGTCTCATTGGCAATCATACCACATCTTCTTATTTTAAATATTTTGAGTAATTTCCACTGTTGTCACAAAGGGCCCAACATTCAGCATATGAAGCAAAATAATTGTGAAATTTATTAATTTTCTAATCATTATATTTTTTTATCCAAATTAGTAGTATCTAAATATACAGGCTTACCTTAATATCACAATAAATCCATCAAATACATTAAAACCATTTTTGATATAACCAAAAGGTCCGTATGCTATTAATTTCAAGACCATTTCAAGTGCAAACAAAGTACAAAACACGATATTACTGTATTCTAAGGCTTCTGTCAACTCAATAGGCTGAAATTATATCATATAATAATTATAATTAGGAATAAAATAATGAACAATGATTATACACAAACTTTACAACACAATAAAACCAAAACGTCATCTATAGGTCAACATATAGTTTTCAATGAAGAATCCTATGTCAAGCTCTAAATTCTCAAGAGTTGAGATAAATTGTGACCGAGTTCAAGACCCCTTCATTGGGATCTACCATTATAGCACCTAACACGAGATACAATGCCACATATGACAAGATTGAATAGCGTTATTTTCTTTAGAAGTTGCAGCTAAGACTGTAAAAATTTCTTGAAATTAAATAAATAAAATTTTTTAAAGGGTTCCATGGAACCCTGTGTCTCACCTGTGATTGCTGCTGTTAGTGTATAAGTGTAATGTTGACTGCAAAAAGTGAGTCCATTTATCAGTAATATACAGAATTTTAAAAGAAAAGTAAACTTTTCTTTAAATGCTCATAACAATCCATGAAAGTTAACAAATTTGTCATGTCAAACAAATTTAATCCCAGATTGTCTGTAAATGTTAACTGTAAAAATTCATCTACCAGAAAAATACTGATAAAACATTAACACACCCAACAAAAATAAAATACAACATAACAACTGTGACATCTACCTTCAAAACACACATGACTTAAAAAAAATAGTTTTAAAGAAATTTTGATAACTCCAGACTAAAATCAATTGAACAGATACAATCATTGATAGACTATCTATCCATATACTTATCAATTACACCATTTCTGTTCAAAGGGAAATAACTCAAAATAAAAATAAATCATATAATAAATATCACCTTTCGCTATTGAAAGGTCTACAACTCAACAACGAGAGAAGCTAAAATCGTGAAAATTGAACTTGACCTTCATTTAGTCACAGGAAACAACATATCTAAATTTGAAAAGATTTCATCAAAGTGCTTTCATGTTAATGAACAGACACTGTTTGGCAGCCGAACGCCTGCACGCCTGCCATACATCCCCAAATCAATAACCGATTTTTCCTTCGAAAATCCGCTTAAAAATGAAAAAAAGTATATATTTGCAAATGTTTGCATAAAGAAACTAAAGTTTCAACTCCCTTAGGCAAAGTTGACCGTAGATGGATTTGCCTATTATTTGGTCATATAGCTCTTCAACTGTTTTGGTTCTTATACATCCTTGGCTTATAAGATCAAGTTAAATCCAGAAAAGCGCTTCAGACGCATTAAATTTATAACGTGTTGTTTTCATTTTTTTGCATTAGTGCACATATTATCGCTTATGCATAAAAAAAGCTTCTGTCAAAGTTTTATAAATTCTTTGAAGGTTTGACAAAGAAATTGATTGGTAAGGTTTTTTATAAGAGTTTTTGGTTTTGTTTATAATTTCCATATATATGTACCAGTTAATTGACATGTATTAGAGTTACTGAATTCTGTGTTAATGTTGAAATGTCACCTTTATTCTGACCAAGTGAGTGTGTTTCTTAATAGAACCTACTGTATCCATAATAACCATAACAAACAATGACCGATACAAACCTGGTGGTGATGCTCTATTCCCATACTGGCTGTGTTGATTACTATAGCTCCTAATATCCCCCAGCGGAATAACTTGTGTTCTACAAATTTCTCCATTTTGTCTGAGACACAGTCTTAAAGAAATGAAATGAAATTTATTTTAAATCATTTAAATTAAATTATGGGTGAGACATAATTTCCAACAATTGGAATATATAGGGTATATACTGCTGAGAGGAACAAGGCAATATTTTTTAGGGACGATTTTATGCAAAAAAGTAATATTTTTTCCAATCAATACATCAAAGGTTACGCCCACCCCTGAATCCATCACTGGCAGCTGATACAATATTATCCCTAGAGACAAATTTACTCAGATCAATACACAGTAATGTCACAGCCATCACCAAAGGTAAAATGTAAATAACCTTTTCCGCCATTACTGATGTGATTAAAGGTATCTATTAGACACTTCTGAAATAACTAAATAATGAAGGAACCAATCTCAAAGAAGCTGCTTCACATATTAAATCAAACTAAAGCAGAGTTGACGTACACATAAGTAACTCTCATAGTACTGTGGATTCATTATAATTCGTGGGATACCAATTTTCGTTGATTCATGGGTACAGGTGAATTATGGATTTAAATGTTTTACAAAATACACATTTTCTATTGGCTTGTATGCAGACTTTTGCAAAACCATGAAATCAAATATCCATGAAACTACAATTTTTCTTTATTTCACGAAAAGTTGGTACCTACGAAAAATAAATGAATCCACAGTAGAAGTATTGGTACGCACAAACTATCATACCAATCTGTATACTGTGATTCATTATTATTCGTTGGATACCAATTTTCGTGCATTTGTGGTCAGAGTGGAACCATGAATTTAAATGTTCAACAAATTACTAATTTTCTGAAGGAGTGTATGCAGATCTTTGCAAAACCACGAAATTAAATATCCACAAAAATGCAAGTTTTCTTCAATCCACGAAAATTGATACCTTCGAAAGTAAATGAATCCACAGTATTCATATATTCATACATTCATACTCGATGACTCTTCAAGCATTTTTTTATAAGTAATAATTATTCCAGATATTACAAAGCATGTTTCATTAAACTCTGCATAAACACACATTCTGTGTTGAAGGTTTGTTTATTCTTCTAAGTATTTGATAAATGCATGAAATATCTTCTTTAAAGTGAGGTCAATACTTGTAGTAATATTGCAGCAAACATCTCCTTAAGATGGGCAGTAATTTCTCTGAAAATCTGTTATGTTTCGCCCATAAAATAAATAATCTTAAAGTGATAATTGTATAAACTGTGCTTGATGTAACAAAGCTGTAATAAGTGATGTTTTTATTCAATTTTGTATGATATAAAGGTGTTTTTCATACTTTGAATTTTAAATCCATTATCAATAATATATGAGGGTCTGGGTGAGGTTTACAGAATAGAGAATAGTGGGTAAAAAGTGCAGAATAAAGGGCAAAAAATATAAAGAATGGAGAAAAATAGACAAAAAAAAAAATAAAAGAATAGAAAAAATAGGCAAAAAAAAAGAAAAAGAAAAGAGAAAAATAGGCAAACAAATAAAGAATAGAGATTAAATGGAAAAAAAAAATAAAGAATAGACAAAAATAGTCCAAAAAAATAAAGAATAAAGAAATAAAGGACCCCATTATCACACCCTCATATATGCATACAAGTACTGTTATGAAACATTTCAATATCAACTATTATTAATTAGATAAGGTTTGATATGAATTTCATCAAATAACTGATGAAGTCATTGACATTAAACCAACTTTTAAGCCTTAATGAACTAACACATTTATGACGAGTTCTAATGTTCGTGTTGTTTTAGCTGACTTCCTCTCTCTCTTCAACATGCATGCAAGTTTCTTGATTATTAATGAATTTGATGACTAACGTACAGCTGGTAAATTTTGCTACTGTTCTCTTTTTTCTCTCTTTTTCTTTGTTTTTTTTTTCCTTATCTTTTTATCATGTTTGCAAAGCAGTTCAGCATACCTGTATCATCCAAAATTCAAAGCAACAGTCATAATTCCACCTTCAGAATAATTTAGAATAATTATCTTCAGTGTTTTACAACAGATTTATTTCAGTTTGAATTTGGTGAAATTTACCCCATAAACAGCAAAATAATCTCTTCTAAAACAGATGAATATAAGAATATTAAAACACTTTTCATGTTTATACCAATTTTCTTGGTGAAATGGCCAATTCTGTTTGACTTTTACAAAGAAGTGTAAAAGTTAGGTGTTGAAACCAAAATTGCTGAAACCAGTTGTCTTATCTCAGCAATGTAGTATTGCTTAAAAAAGCATGATAAAAATCACCTTTAAATGACCAATTGCAAGATTGCAAGAACATTTGGTTAACACATATAGGGCTTTAGTTATAAATAATTCTACAGAATTATAATGTAGTTCTTAGTTGTATAAATGATTGTAATAGAAATGGGAGATAACTCTAGCAAAATAGTGAAAGAAAGATAACCTTATATTTATTTTTCTTACTTTTATGATGCTTGCCCTTTTTATCTTTGATTTCAATCTCAGAATCTTTCTCCTTATGGTTCTCATTATCAGAGACATCATGAGAAACATGATTACATGTATGATTACATTGTTTATCGTAATCATTCACTAGGTAACAGATCTGTTTGTCTCCAATTACGTCTAGGAGATCTTCTGGAATACCTTTAAATAGACGATAATGTATTAGCATTAAAAGTTGACATTTGAAAATACTATTTTATTTTCGTAATTGCAAATAGAATTTATCGGAAAATAAAGTTCAATTATTCTAAATACTCGAGACATCATTCAAATAATTACAAATAAATAGCAGGGATTATTGTGTTCATTGCTTTTCCAAGTGCATAAAGTTTATATACGGAAACAGATTCACTATTTACTTAATAAATAGACCTTGAAATTTAATCAAAGTCAAAATTTTGCAAGAGGACACTGCAACAAAAATAAATAGCACAATAAGTACATTAAAGTAATAATATTGAGTTACATTACCATATACATTTATATCTAGTGAAACCGAAAATTTAATACCAGCATAATACTAAAAAAAACACTTTAAGCATATATAAATCTTCATCAAGATTTCAACAGACTATTATTATATTGTAAATTTTACATAATATCATTTTGATACAATGAGATTAAGTTCAATTACATAATCAATTCAACCATGAACTTCTTATATTGACAGGACCTACAACAACTTATTAGAACTTATTTTTAACCTGGGGACTTGCCCAGGGAACCCTGTAGAAAAGATATGGAAACTTGTGTTATTAGTACATTATCATTATTTACCATTTGTGACAAACTGCGATGAAGCTGCCATGAACTGACTAAACATATTTCTTATCAATCATATGGTTTTTTAATCGAGACAGGTTAAAGCAAAGACCTGTCAGAAAAAAACATTTGAATGTGCATTTCAATGGGGTCGGTGAACCTTTAGTCAGAAATAACGTACTAAAACAAATCTTCTAATGAACAAAAAATTAAAATCAAACCACAATTACGAACACATGGAATTAAGATGTGCCAATGCTCACAACAACTGCACACCAAATATCATTGACATACCACTAGAAGTTCCCATAAACTGACTAAATTCCAAACTATTACATTGTTGACGCCTTAATCTTGCTTTTTCAACTTCATCGATTTTAGCATCACAAAAATTCAACAAGAAGTGGAAAGTTTAAGTCAGATAGGAATTAGAGATATCTGTTTAAGACAATATGTAGGCACAAATTTGACATTCTTTTTGTGTGACATTATCAAACAAGATCAACTTTTTATGCCATCAAAATGGCTAAATTCAATGAACAAGAAATTTCAAATTGAACCAAAGATGAATGGAGAAAGGGAGAACAACAGGCTATTAATCAATTAATAATTAATGATTAAGGAAAGGAATAAGTCAGAAAAGAATTAGAGAAATGTATTTTCAAAACAGAAAACGCTCCATACAGATTGTCGCTATGTACCGATTCTGGTTTCATCAAAACTGTCCCTTGACTTTGCAAACAATTAATTAAGTCATCACAGTTAAATTTGACAGAGAATGTAACGCCAATTTACTCAATGCAGTTGCATCCGTAAAATGATTGATATTTACATTGCATGGTCTAAGACATTTCAAGCATCAATCAAACCAAAATGCAACTGACATCATATCCCTGATTCAATATTAACGGAGTTATGAGCTACTAATTTTGCAAGCCATTTTTTAGCATTATGTCAAATTTTCTCAATATTTGTTTCTCATCTTTTATTGTCAAGGAATTTGTCAAGTTCTTGTTAAAATCATCTCAATGGATGCAGATCAAATGTCAAGAAAGATGGATGGATTAACATGCAGGGATAAGATTACATAAATCATTCTCCTGATACAGATTTATACTAAAACATTCAAGAGATCTTGATGATATGAGAAAAAAATCATCAAAATATAAATGTCCATTAATTACAAGACCTGAAAGTACCAAGATTGGTACAATATAATACATCTTGAATGGAATTATTTCTAAATATGGATTTTTGCTCCATTCTTCATGTCAGTCTGACTTAAAAAGTCTGGCCTCAAGAGTCTATTATGTTTCATTAGATAACTATCATAATTAAATCTTGCGCTTCAGACAGAAAAGTTTTTTGCCATCAATGACATTCAGTATCCTGGGGAACCAATGGGATATCTCCTTATAAGTATTGCTTTAATAGATAATAAATTTAGGAGTTCTTTCACTATTTTTCAGTATACGATTGTCTCTAATATGTGATTGATTGTTGGTTTTTAATACCACTTTCAGCACTCTTGGCTATATCGAGTCTCTTTGGGTTGCCGTCCTGTTGAAAAATACCCAACATTTTTTATTCATATGTACTGCAGATGTGTCCATTGACCAAATACCATTCATGTGCACCATAATGAAAACTTAGCCTAAGTCAACTAGATTGGTTCATACAATACACTGAGTCTTATAATACAATACACTAAGTCTTATAATACAATACACCGAGTCTTATAATTCAAAACACTGAGTCTTATAATACAAAATACTGAGTCTTATAATACAATATATTGAGTCTTATAACAAAAAAACCTTTTTGCTTCTCAGTGTTTTATACATCTCACTGACCCAAATTTCTAAATCTAATTTCTGAAAAATCAGTCTTAATTTGTCAGATCAACTATCTTTTAAGAGCCTCTCCTGTATTTATCTTATTTTAAATTGAATGAGTTTAAACAAAATGCTGAGTCTAGATGAATATGATTACAATTGATGTAACTAGTTTCAGATTGATTTATTTGCCACCAAAATAACTTTCTGTATCTAAAATCAGAAGATATTATTATTCATATTTAACTGAGAAATGACCGGGAGAAAAATGAATTATTCAAATCAGGATTATTGCCGAGGAACACTGTTTAAGTAGTTGTTAAATTGGGTCAAAGTAATATAACAGCCTTTTTCTGAAAACTTTTGCTGAATTAATATCAAATCACAACGTTAAGAGTAGCACTACAATTAGAATGTGTTAAAAAGGGCATTATTTGCAAAGTCCTGAACATGCATGAAATATTTGCCAATAGACAATAAGCAACCAACAATCAATCAATCAATATTTGCAAAGATCATTCTGCTGTGGCAACCTTTATTTTTTACTTTTAAACAATGAAATATTTTTTTCAATTTCACACACCATTTTTGCTACAAACGTCAAAGACCCCAGTTAATATGGATATTAACCCAAAACTTAATTAAAAGACTCCCAGGACATTGTATCACTCACCTAGTTACTTTGCATAACTTGGATTCGATTAGCAAAATGTTTCAATCTAATAATCATGGAGGTTTCAATAGTTATAAAAGAGAATACATTCAAGAGGGTTGAAGTCATCAACAAAATTTCTCGAAAGGATCATCAGCATATTATTTTTATAAAGTGTGGCAGCTATACAATATTAACAGTATTTTAAAGATTTTCTATTAACTATTTATGAGCACTTTGGATATAAAAAAGAAAAAAACAAAATAAACAACTGACAAAAACAAACTTGGGCTTAAAGATATTTTTAAAACTTATGATGGACAACAGTTAAAAAAGTGATGGGAAAATTTCACCTGGGCCCTTTAGATCAGGTGAGCTAGGGCCCTTTAGACCAGGTGAGCTACAGTGTAGGTCAAAACAGTTTTCATCTGAATCAAAATAAAACTTCACAAAGAATATTAGTTCTGCAACTTTTACTAGGTCTAGGCCATTTAAAGATTGTAAGATCTGTAGCTTAGCAAAATTCTATAATATAATTTATAAAGGAAAGTAATTAAAGCATCAACAGTGTCAATAAGATGAGTACTTTAATAGTTCGTTGATTAAGTCATCAATACACATTTTTCAGTTAGAAACAAGGACTTCATTATTACAAGCCAAAAATCTTAATAGTATTTTGTGCAAACTTCATTAATTCTGGAGATTAAAAGGCACCAAATTGATGGATATGATTAGTCTGTGTCAGTTTATATAAATCTTAGCCAATATTATTATCTTCAGAAGACAAACACTCATGTGACCATGAACTTCCCCAATCAAAAGCCAATCAGAAAGGACCTTCTGCTCACAAAGCAGATTTGAAGTTTTTTGTTCCTATTATCATTTGATTATTATATGCAGACAAGTTTTACATTTCTAATCTCTAAATTAAGACTTTAAAAATAAAATGTCAGTTTTTATATTTCTTTGATGATCCTTGAAAAAAGTAAATGTTTAAATTGATTGATTACTAATTTTCTGATGTAGTCTATTATGATCAAATATAATCATTCAATTATATCAGACAATTGGCTTCCAAGAACATTTACTTATTGTGGTTTTTCGCATCATAATTTGATAAACGGGTGTATAAAGAAAATCAATAAACATTATATGTTAGCAAATAAAGATTCAATCAATGACACAAAACAGATTTATCTTCAAATAAAATAAATTGTCCGGAGTAGATCTTCAAAAGCACACTTCACTCATATGATACTCAATAACATTCCCACTTGCCCTTACTGACAAAATTATGGAGAAAAAACATTTCACAGTTGTAGAAATTATTCAATAACAATTACAAGTTGGAAAAATGTGTGAAGTTTGATAATTAATCAGATCCAATTGTCAAATCAAATTCAATAAAACAGTACCAAACTGTTAATAAAAAAATACCAAACTGTTAATAAAACAATACCAATCTGTTAATAATATCCATGACATTATATACAAGTGAATCTTTTTTGCAGGATTTTCGATCAAATTAAAAGAAAATTATCACAATTGTCAAACAGCAATTCAAAATGAAAGGAGGGGCATTACCATCCTTTTTTTTTGGCCCAAAATATGGACATTCTTAAAGTACTTAGGAGATAACTGTATTGTATTTTAAGCTTGGCCTTCGTAAAACGTAGATTTTACTGTCGCAAATTGAGTTTACCTAGCGGAGCTAGGTAAATAAATATATGTGACAGTAAAATCAAGTTTTATGAAGGCCAAGCTTAAAATACAATACAGTTATCTCCATTCTAATGCAGCATATTTAAATAAATACCATTTAATAAATATTTTGGCTTAAAATGAAAGAAATGAAAAAGTCCGCGAAATTGTTGCATTGTCTTTAGCATCTAAACAATGTGACGTCATATGAATACTCACGATGTCAAACATAAACACTAGACGTATTAAAACCTTTCGTACGATTCAGAATGGTTTCAACGGTGACAAAAAGAAGATTTTGAGGCTCAAAATGTGACTTTCATTTTTATTTTGTGTGAAATTACATACCAAACAAAACTCGGTTTTCAAAATGGTGGCTTTCTTAGTTACGGCCTGGTAGAACGTGGAATTTACCCCTTCAAAATATTTATCAACGTCCAATGAAAATTATCGTTACAAACGAATTGCACTACAATTCATATTTGCTCATAATATAGTAAAATGCGGAAATCAAGATATATAGATGAATGAGATTTACAATGTTATGACAATTCAATCAGATCATAATATTCACGTATTTCCTGAAAATGAAGAAAAAAGATGATATTATGCAATTTTCAATCCAATTTCCTTTGCGGAAATATCATAGTCAGCTTTGAAGTTAGATAAAAAGTCTCTTAAAATCCACATGACATCTGCCATTCAAGGCATACTGATTATGAATAAAAGAGGATTTGTGAATAAAAGGTCAACAAAACAATAACCAACAAGTTTGATTAGATCATGACCAGTAGTATTAGAGGAAAAGATTTTTGTAAAAGTTAATGGACAAAGATTGACGATTGTGATGAGAAAAGCTCACTTCGCCCTTTAAGCCAGGCATTAAAAGGATGTTTATGTGCGTAAAATATCTTTTTGGGCAAGGCTTTGGCTCATTACTAAAATGTAAAACGGCCCTATTAGTTCAAATATGTCAATTTCAACATGATAATGATGTCATAGTGATATCACAACTACATTTTCGAACAGAAGTGTCAAGATTTTATTACCTATTCATTTTTACTATTTTTGCAAATTCAAGTGCCAAATAAGGGCTCATATCATACCCTCTCCTTTTAATTGCCAATCTGCCTAAGAAACTCTTGACAAACAAAAACCCACTCAAGTCACAATGAATAATGGTGCACGAATATAACATTTGTTTCCTTTTCCTGTTCTATTATTTTAAGATTAATTTGGTTGAAACGCACTAGAAATTATTAAAGGGGAGCTAACTCCTTTATGTGCTATCATTTTAACCAAAAGTTTTCTCAAGATTTCTCAATTACCAGACACACAGAAACGAAAGACCTACCATTTCTAACTCAGGACGAGGGTAACAAAATCGGATGGTTAGGTCGGCAAGTTTTGTTTGGCAAAGATTTGAAATTCTTCTAAATTGCCTAATTCTTAAAAAGACTGGCATTTAAACAGATAAAATTTATATTTCTTTACCAAGCTACCCTTACATTAAAGTACAATCTCTTTATTTGTAGAAAGGGAAGCTGTGATATGTTTTGGCATCAACACTTCTTTGTAACAAAATGCCTGTACTTTTTTCTAATGGTTTAAACCTATTTCCTATAAGATATAACACAAAAGCTTTACGTTAAGCTATAAATTAACAACAATGGTTATTTATCTACATAACAACATGTAATGCATTTGCATTTTACATAAATATATATCTATCACATCAATGCATAATATAAGTACATAGTTAAATAATTTAAGTCAAATATCATCAGCAGGAAAACTTCTTGTGAAAGCTTTTATCAGTCAATTCTTTCCAGTTTTTAATCATTTTACTTTAGACTTTAGAAAGTGCTTAAAAGCATCTACTTAAATATTAGATATAAAAAAAGCCATCACGAGAACCTGCCTATGATATTTTCCTTTGCCATCTATCAATTCTTAGGCCACCACAATCTTTTTACAGATTGTATTTCCTTTAACTTAAAAAAGACTTTTGCATTGTACTACATATATATTACTGAAAAAAGCAAGCTTTTAATAAAATGTATCAATTTAGGTACACTTATAAATTGGAATTTATCTGTATATCAAATTGCAGTGTCCTAAGCAAGGATAACTGTGTTACACATTATAAGCATGATTACACTGATTATACTGATTGTACTGATTATATTGATTACAATAATTAAACTTTCCCTTATTAGTGTGATTATACTGATTATACTGATTATATTGATTACAATAATTAAACTTTCCCTTATTAGTGTGATTATACTGATTAAACTTACCCTTATAAGTGTGATTATTATGATTCTTGGTGTTACTTGGACTATGAGACTGGTGCATTGGTGTAGTCCTAGGGGTACGTATAACTAGTAACTCAGGCACACATGGTAATTTCTTACTACATTCACTATTTAGCGAGGGAGTTCTACTAATGCTGCCATGCGGCGGTGCTAAATGATTTGGCGATGATATACGAGGTTTGAGCAATGGAGGTGATAGCGTGTCAGTGGCAGTAAAAGCTAGCGTGTTAATAGATTCAGACGAGGGATTCATGCTGTTAAAGCCTGGCACTGTTAGAAAGTTAGTACAACGCGGTGATGATATAGAGTCAAGGTCACTCATCTCAGGTGATGCGCGGGGAGCTATAGGACTACTGTTGCGACGACTTATATGTGGGTCTGTCTGATTGTTAACAAACTGATAAAAATAGTTAAATCTGTGTGAACAACTATTACAAGCATGACTCTGTGCAGTATCACTACCTTTGCTTTGTTTTCGTTTCCCTAATGCTAACTGAGGTTTTATTTTATGTCGTGGATGAGTCTTTCCTCTTGCATCGTAATACATTTTTAAGATTTTCCGTTTCGCTCTTCGCCCTAAATGTGCAACATATTTTAATATTTCTGCATAACAACCACCAGGTTCCGAATTACTGGCCAAAGTACTTGAGGACTGAAAACGTTTTCGCTCCTGCATCATTCGTTCAGTTTCTCGTTTCTTAGTCTCTGAGAATTGGGTCGCTATCACAACTAGGCATAAATTAATCATAAAAAAAGAACCAATCTGAAATGAAAGAAAAGAGATTTTACAACATTTCAATCTTAAAACATATGTTAACAGTCAATAAAGTAGATACAGACTTTTATCGATTGGAATTAAAATGGCTTTAATGAAGCCTATAATTTATATAACTCAACAGGAAAACTGAATGTTTAATTGTGTATAGATCACACTCTTTTTCAATCAGACTTCTAACTATTTTTTTCAAAATTAATTCTGCTATTATTGAATTTTTAATATTTACATGTTTTCATTGTAACTCTTTTGTTTGATGGTTGTTTTGACTATTTTAAACTCTAACAGTACAAGTCGATTCAAGAGTTTCACCTCATTACCCAAACGTAATAGATTCACTTGTTCTTTACAAAAACTTGCTTTTTTCTGATTTTATTAATAAATTAATACTTGAGTTCAGGTTTCTGCATCTAGTTGATGATGCAAATTCTTGGTAACTGACATTTGTTTTTAAAACACTTCAAAAAGACAGAACAGAGTCAAAAAACCAATTTGATTTATGATATGATATTATTGAATGTCATTAATCATTTGTGTCTTTCTATTTGATCTTTTAGGAGATTTTTGTTAGTCTTTGAAAAAAATGTCACAATTTCCAATCCCCATCACTTATTTGTTTTTACAATGGTTGTTTGTCAATGACTTGTACATTTGCTTCAAAGCACAAAACACACTTGACATGCAATCTGATATTTATTTACTTATTTTTCTGTCTTTTTATTAATAGGCTCAAACTCCTTAAATGGTGACTAATGTTTTGCAACAGTTCCATTCAATTTGAACTTAACTAAGAACTATAAATTGTTTAATTATTTAAATATCTATAGAAAGCATGTTTAGCAGGTGAAATAGCTATAGCTTCAAGTGATTTTACCTATTAATTCAATTAACTAAGTCAAACCTGAACAATTTTGGTTTCACCATCAGATCTGATAATTTATAAAACAGCTTTTTCATACAATTAAAGTATAATTGATCATTTCTTTCTATGTTTTTGTTTGTAAAACTTGTAGTAATTATATTTCAACACAAATATGACAATACTGAGAAAAACTTATTTGTTTTGAAATGTATACCTTGAGCTAGGGGAAGGGTTAAGGACATGTTTAAACTCGCCACATTCTCTATGTGCCTGTCCCAAGTCAGGAGCCTGTAATTCTGTGGTCGTCGTTGGTTCATGTTGCCATATTTGTTTTATGTAATAATTTTTTTTTTTAAATTTATACCGGTATTGGAAAAATTAGGCCGTTATTTTTCTCGTTTTAATTGTTTCACATTTTTCATGTTAGGGCCTTTTACAGCTAACTATATGGTATGGGTTTTTCTCATTGTTGAAGGACATAAAGTGTACAGTAACCTGTAATTGCTTTTATCCACATCATTTGGTTTCTGGTGGAGTATAAGTTGTCTCATATGCAATCATACCACTTCTCCTTATTTTTATTCTGGTAAATCTAATCTGAAACAATCATGTGACCTCACTTCTTTTTTTTTAAATATTGTTTTGATAAACAAAGCTATACCCATACCATTTTCAAGAATTGTTTTTACCACAAAACCCCAACAAGTTTCTGTGAATGGCATAATGCAATATTCTCCTCATCAATTTTAACAAGACCAGAGAGAACTGGAATAATTTCATAAACATTGGAAAGATAAATGAAATAAAGAAAGTTATACTCCCCAAGTGTTAAGTACTTAAAATGATATTCCATTCATTTAAATGTCATTCCTACCATTCAATACATACACCTCCACAAAATAGGTTTGGAAATAATACGATTTATAGAAAATGTAGTCATAATAACGCTATTTTGGAGGAAAAGCATTAGAGGCTTGGGAATTAAGACGTGTAATGACTGACTGTATCTAATTACCTATACTTTTGGTACTTTACAGAATAAAGTTAAACCATACATTTTTTGTTCTAGAAAAATTGGAATTCTTAAGTTAAATATAATCAGGAAAGTGTTAAAACAGAAAAGTACAATGGGTCTATTTTTTACTGTTCCAAATCAAATTTATGTAAAACCTGAAATTTGGCATATATTTATAAATTATAATAAAACTTGACACTGCAAGGTCTACTAATATTCTATTACACCTTAAATTGAACTTTCTATGGCTGTTTTTTGAAAATTTCTACTATGGATCATTTTAGCAAGATACATCTTTGAAACAATGCAATTTCCTGATGAATTTGAAAAAAAAACTCTATAATAATGATCCTCTTTTATTAAGGATAAAAAAAAAAAAGAAAGGTCGAAAATACAGGAAAAGTTGTTTTTAATATTATACTCTAAATAGCATATTAATTTTTTAAAAGTGATTATAAAATACTTACCACAATTAAAGCTACAAAATAAGACCAGTCCCAAAAAGAATGAGCATCCTGTACATAATACATAATATTCACCCAACTTTCTAAACTAATTACCTGAAAAATAAAACAAAATCTTCAGCAAAATGGAAATAATGTCATTGTTTTATAAATATTTACAACATAACCTATTCTTGTGTTGACCTATTTTTTCAGCAACTTGTCAGTTGAATTCAAATTTTATCAAGAGCTATTCCAAACAAAGGAATTCCAATATTGCCCTCAAGTAAAAAATATTGACTTCAGCAAATTCTTCATAGATTTACCAGAATTCCCTATTGAACAATTTTGGTTGTACACCTAAAAATCTTTTCAATAGTTCCGCATAAATCAAAATAAAACTGACTACTAGTGAAAACACTGTAAACATATGAATAGCTTCTGTGTAAAGACTGCAGTTTTCACATAGTGAGCAACCCTGATTCTCATTTACACCTTCCCTGTCATTATATATTACGGAGTTACTGAGTATGATACCAGTGATTTTATATAAACTAATGTAAAAACAAAACAATCTTTTCACTAGTCATACAGCCGATTGCATTGAATGTGTAGGCAAAGGTAATATCTATGGTTAGCTTGCTTGCTAGCTGAACCGTGAAGTCATTATTAGGTTAGGTAAACTACCCTCCTTTTGAAGTAGCCTAGTCCTACAGATAGATAGATCGGTTATCTGTCGGACTAGTCTACTCTTAAAGGAGGGTAGTTTACCTAACCTAATAATGACTTCACGGTTCAGCTAGCAAGCAAGCTAACCAAAGATATTACCGTTGCCTACACACTCAATGAAATCGGCTGTAACACCTTGTAAGGGTTTGTCTTAGTGTTTTAACACTTGAGAATCTAATGCTTTTGGTAGATCTTTGGTAGTCTTAAATGTTAATTCTGTTCAAACTTTTATCATGTTTATATATTATTTATAGCGTGACATCTGGTAGAAACTCTATTGTTCAAAGCAGTTTATTGACTTCTTGATGTCTTTTCCAGTTTTATTGTTGATGGCTTGCTGTTTCATTGTTATATAACCCATCTCTCATTTCATTCATAATTATGTATAGCATACATAAAATTTCAACTGTAAGTGTAATGTTGTTTGCTCTTTTTCTTTCATGATTTAACTGTGTGAAAATTAGATGGAATTTCTTGTACAGCGTGATGTGCTAATCCTTCCATTGCCCCTATTTCCTGACGATAACACTAGCTATTTGGTGAATTGCCCAAACCTATAACTTCTAGTATTCATTTTATTGTTTGCTTGAAAGTTTTAATTTGTTCAGTTCTGTTTCCTTTAGCTGAGACTTGTCTTCTGGATATATGACCTTCAAGCATATTTTGGATTTATGCGACCTTCAAGTGCATTATGGATAAGGTTTCTGTTTATGCATTTTTTTAAGGATTTATTGTGAAAAGTTGATCTGCGTTTCATAATGAAGTTCAGTTGATACTATTGAAACCAATCCCGTTAAAATTAATAGCCAATCAAAATGAAATATATCTGTGATGGGGGATAACAAAAGAGTTTATAATCAAATTAAAGACCATGGTGTTTAACCTTAGTGTTAAAATTCTTAGTTTAAGCAGGTTACGTAATAAAATTTATTGAACGCTCGCTTTAATTTTTCTCTCTCGTTAATTCAAATTCAAGTTTCAAAAAGTGCATTTAAAGTTAAAAATTTTTTAAAAAATATCACGTTTGCTAATGCAGACTTCAGAAAGTCTTTACAATCAAATTAGCAACAAATCTTCTATAGACTACTGAAATGAAATCTCTAGCATATGAAAGTTTACATGGTAAAATTCAAAAAGCTTAAAATTCTAATACTAGTATGGAACTGAGTCTCTCCAAAGAATGACATTAGTCTATAAGAGTAATTCTTAATGCTATAATGACAAACATGTAGCAAACTTTATTTTAGAATGCTCAAATATAAGACAAGACTTTCTGTAACATTCTAAACTGTCTCTTGCAAATACCAAAGTTCAGGAACTGTAACAGTTGAAATCATTTTCTGATATCTGCTATATGTAAAGTCATAAAGTCAAAACCTGGTAGTGCATCATAAGCCTATTTGGCTGCCTGAATCATTATGCTAATACAAATGTACTTTACAGTTAACATTGTATATATGCAGGTTGCACTCTAATAAACTATTTTTTCATTAATTTTTTTTTTCATTAATTCATAAATTAACGATTGGGAGAAGATCTACCACAAGACTTAGTGTAAAATATTCAGACATTTTCCCATGTGAAAGTGCAGCAGACTGACAGCAAAAGACTTGAAATTTCTTAAATGATAAAAAAAAGATATCAATCTCCAGTTTTTGAACAAGTATTAAGATGTTTGGTTGGGCAATCATTCTGGTTACAATTCTATTGTAACTTTTGATTGGACAATTAACCCATGGAAAATCATAGCAGAATGCACTCATCTTCCATGGGTTAACTCAAACTGTAAACAAACATTTACAGACAAATCTAACAACACTAAAGTGCACGACAATAAATAATTATGTTTAGTAGTAACCACTTATAGTTCATATTAGCTTTATCAAAGTTTATGACATTCTGTACAGGTTCTTATAATTAAGAACACCAAATAATTTTGAAGCAATCAGTTGTCAGACAACTATCAAGAAGATATTTCTACTACCAATGACAAAGAAAAAAATCCTGTTAGGTTCTAAGAGTACACAAACTGTGAATACAGTACTTTTCTCTCTAAAAAAAATAAAATAAAACAATTCAAACAGCAAGATAGACTGCACATGTTGTTATGCAAGATATAGCACATGTTGTTATGCATAATATGCTAGCTGCCCTTGTCAGACTGTTTTACATATATTCTTGCATTTTACTGACAAAAGTCAAGATGCACTTTTATTTTATGACTGTTTAACATTTCAGTAATTCAATTGAACATTTTACAGAAGTAAATTACTTACTTGGAATATAGCTACCCAAGCTAATCCTATATTGTCAAATGAAATAGCACCCTGAAAGGGGTTTTTATCCCCTGCAGTACAATAGGTGTAATACTGATTCCAATTTACACAAGAATTATTTGTGGGCGTATTATTGCTGTACATTTTAGCAGTTCCATTACACCCTATTCCCTCGTACTGATAGAGCGGAAAATTGTCACACGTCCTCATTCCCGATTCTCCTGGTTTACTGCATATATAGTCATAATGAACATTAAGGAGTTTCTTTGGAATATAATAAGGACTTAAATTTGCTCTGAAAAGAAAAGAAAAAAATCTAAGTTATTCTAACATAAACTTGTTGCTAGCATAGTCATCCTTTATACATATACTTTTGTACTGGTTCTAGCTTTATATGCATCTATGTTAAGCTTCAGCTATTTTTTTTTTAATTTTACAGCAGAAACAATTTCACAGCAGAAACCATTTCTGTGTTAATCAATTATTCTTGAAACCAGTCATTTCAATTCAATGTATAAATAGTTATTCAGGTTAAGGATTTATATAGTGAGACTTATATATGAGAGGAACCGTTGTGAACTTGTAATATTCCACTATACAAAGCCTTGTTCAGGTGTAGAAATTCCAAAAGGAAACAAATTAAACATTATTTAAGCAATTAAATCATTTTAAAGAAGTTTCAGCCACTCCATGGCATTTTCTAATTTCTCTATAATCTTTCTAACCTACATTTACACAGTAGAAAAGTCACTTTTCACAATGCAATTAGATCTGAACAGATATGGGTAAATCAACAGAACTTACAAGACCTTGAATCTAATTGTAAATAATGCAGACAATTTAACCATTTACCTATAATAACAAATTACATAAGATTAATCGTCTATTATTTAAGATGCCTCATGATTAACCTTTCAATGAAGCAAATTATTAACATAGAGGTAACGACTCTTTAGAAATCTTGTTGTATTTTCAGGTGTGAACTTATGTATTCCAAATCAAAACATAAAAAACCTTTTAGACATATTGTATCTGTCTTTCTCCCAGGAATTAAATTTGTTTGTTGTATAATTATTTTATTGCTTGTCCTGTCCTTGACTACTGATTTCGACCTGGGATTTATTATTTTTTATTTGTAAATTATGTGGGTAATGTTTGTTTCAAAGGAAAGAAAAATCTCTTAATGTTTCCTCTAACTTCCGTCTAATGTGGACTTTGAACTGCTAAAACACCTAGGAAACCATTAGGAATCCATTCATTGTTTGGTTTAGGAATTGTACCATCAATCTAATGTTTTTGTGATTGGAATGAACTTATGACATGAAATATTTTCATTTATTATTTTTATTGTATTCATTTGATTAATGATTTAGAAAATGGCAAGTCAGCAAGGGCCTTCTATAACAGCAGATAAGACTAGAAGATTTTATACTCACTACCAAAATAAACAAAGCCCAGTATAACTCTTTAAGCTGAAAAGGGCTATAATTCTGGTAAAACTTAAATAAAAGAAGGATGTGTCTAAGGACATGAATGCACCTGTTCATGCTTCAAACAAACGAAAATGGGACGAATAGATGGACAGAAAAACATGAGGACGGAGAGACGGAAGGACAGAAAGAAAGAAAGATGGAAAGACGGAAGGACAGACAGTCAAGGGTAACACTTAGTGCCCCCGTCGCCTATGGTGGGGGCATAATTACAAAAGTAAAATATGAAAATCTGAATTATTTCAAAGGTCAACAAACTCTATAACTGATGTAATGTTCAAATCATACATGCCAAATGCACATTCACATATAATCACTAAAATATGTTGCCTGGTGCAAAATTTGAATTATTTTAAAGGTCGATGAACTATAAAACTGATGTCATGGTCAAATTATACCCATGTAATTTTACATGAAATATTTTAACCTTAAATTTCAGAAATACACATCAAAGCCAAAATTTTAATTTGATCACTCCGCTGAGAGAATGAAAATGAGGTTAAGCCATATGACATGTGTCAAATTGGATATACACTCCGTTATTAACCTATCATTTAAAGTTTCTAAGGAATAGACTCTATTCTCAAAATTGAGATGGAAAATGAGGTCAAGGCCATACCACATCAATCCACATATTAAATATTGCTGACCCATCATGAATACGTGATGATCAACTAACTCATCCTGAAATTTTAATTTAACCCCAAAATTAGGTCAAGGATAGGTGAAAATGGCTGACAAAAGTTATACCTTTTGGTCCTCATAGTGATAAATTGCCAAAAAAAAAATGAAAAGAATCTTTAATAATCAAAATTTTAGATTTTCAAACCAATCCCTGAATCTGCCACTATAAAATCTGCTTACTCAACACAATGATAATTATACAAAAATAATGATCATGTCTACGTAATATTGAGTTTTAAATTCATGTCTCTTCCTTATTTTGATTAACTTTTATCTCCGAAAAGCAAATGAAAGGAAACACATTCAATTCCGTTCAGGGACAAACATAGTTTATGGAAATTGACCAGTCGAGCCAAGAAGTAAATCACATACTGCTTGCATGACTATCATGAACCAATCATCATGAGTTTGTGTGGATGGTTTAAGTCTGACTAAACTGTGCCAGCCAAAATAGATTTTTCTGATCATCTAATCTCCTGTCAGTTTTTTAATTGTGACAGCATTTCAATTAGTTTATGTATTGATTGCTATCCACGGCAACTGTCATCCCAGCATGGTGTGGTGTGTATGACGGGTAAAGGTTACATGATATGTAAGGCAATAAATTATTCATGGCACATTCATAAAATAAATTTTGTCTCTTTGTTATAAAGCAGCTACGGGGTATAGGTTTTGCTAATTGTTGAAGGTCGTACATTGACCTTTAGTTGCTAACTTCTACGTCATTTGGTCTCTGGTGGAGAGTTGTCACATTGGTAATCATACGGCTTCTTCTCTTATTTTTACATTTCATATGCCGAAATTTAGATAAACCAAGTTTATACTCTACTAAGATAAGGTTCATACAAAAAATCACAACCGTATAATCTTAAAAACTTTTTTCAAGACTACTTCAAACTGTCACAAAGTTTACGAACTTATCAAAGGTATTTATTTGGATTTATTTTCATTGAAAGTAAAAGCTATTTATAAGCAGGATTTCATAATAAATACCCAATCAATTCGATAATATGAGATAAGTACTGTTTAAGTATTCATCTTGACTTTACTTGAGGTGACAGTAATTTTACAGAACATTCAGTATAATAAATTAGATAACACATATCTGAGAGGGTGATAGAGCAGATTGTTACCCCGAGAAAACATTGTCAACTGAGGCGAAGCCAAGGTTGACTATGTCTTTTCGAGGGGTAACAATCTGCTCTATCACCCTCTCAGATATGCGTTATTTAATTCATTATACTGAATGTTCTGTTATTACTGTCTATAAAATTTCAAATTCAAAGTAATAAACTATGTCGATTTGTACATAACAATATGCCGTATTTATTAAAGCGAGCAAGCGTCTCTGTGAAGGGTAATAGACTATTTGCCATGGGATGGAGTAAATTGTCTCCCTCGTATTAACCAATCAAAATCTGGCATTTTGACATGAAGTTTAATAAAAATAGTTATTTCATAGATGTTAAACTTCGTAACTTATCATAAATGTAAACATTACTTACTGTGCATAGGAAATATTTTCACTAAGATTAAGGAAACATCTGTTACGTAGGACACCAGCCCACAATTGTACACCAATAATTCCGAAGATAAAAAAGACAAAAAAACACAACAATAACACATTGCCTAACATTGGTAGTGTGTCCAGTAACAACATCACTAAAATTCTCATACCTGAAAAATAAAAATAAAATACATTATACAGTCTTCATGATAATATTTAGTAGCCACATGCAGACCCAAATGTAGATTTTTTGGAAAATATTGTATAGATTCTATTCGCCTGGAGTAGAAAATCTTATGGGCCTATTAGTAATTTTACACGCGTTGGTTGGTATGCCTGTGACCAAGCATGAAGTCTAAACATATGACCGATCTTTGATGATCTCTCTTAAATCTATTATAAAAAAATATTAAAACACACTGCATCCGCAGTGCTTTTCTGTATTTTACCTTCATCAGGAACAATCAAAACGGAATACTATAAATTCAGAAATTATTGCAAGGTTTTTATTAATGTGAATAATGCTACTGGTTGAGCATCGCAATAATAAAAACGCGCATTCTGATATCTGATCCAATATATCATAATGCACATTTTCCTGAAATCGCAATAATTATTCTCGCATTTTAGTCCATTTTTCAAAAATCGCACTAATAAATGCAGGCAATAATTTCTGAATTTACAGTATTTGAAAGCCAGGGATATATAAGAAGTGGAAGAATTGAAGAGCTAAAACGTTTTAAGACTTTGGCAAATTTAGAGCATGACATATGGTATAATCTCTGGTCTATTGTCAGAGACCACTGTATGTTGACCACTAGATATCTTTTGGTTTGTGTGTTGTTTGGTTGGTGTCTCATTGACATATAGTTCATATATCCTTTAAAATCAAATCAAATGTAATGGTGTTGTATAAGTGTAAATGCTCTTTTGTTCCGACGTTGGAAAGTTCTGGGCGGAAAGAACTTACTAGCCGAAAAGTTCCAGAGGAACTTATTAACTAGTTACTTTGTTCTTCCTCTGGTTTAAAAGTTCCACCGTAACAAAGTGACTAGTTGAAAAGTTCCAACAGAACATATCAACTAGTTAGAAAGTTCCTTTTTGCCAAATTAGTCAAAACAGGAACTAACAAACTAGCCCAAAAGTTCAAACGGAACTTATCAACCAGGCAGAAAGTTCCATTTGGAGAATTGATGCAAAGTAAAAGCGCAACATATTATATTTGAACCTTTCAAAGGGAAACCAAGATACTGAATATACCATATTTCGTCCTTTTTGTAGAAAGAGGGGGAAGAATGAGTATCAGTATATATAAGAGCAAATCATTAATTTACAAGAATACCCAACGCACTGAAAGGGGTTTCTTTGGGGACAAATATGCAAAATTTAAGTTGTATTTCATAGCTCACATAAAACGAAATAAGTTGCATTATCATGCAAATTTAGTATTCATAGTACCCTCAAGAGAGGGAAGAATACCCTCCTCCTCATGTGGTTCTTTGCATCAATTCTCCAAATGGAACTTTGTGACTGGTTGATAAGTTCCGTTGGAACTTTTGGGCTAGTTTGTTAGTTCCGGTTTTGACTTATTTGCCAAAGAGGAACTTTGTGGCTAGTTGATAAGTTCCTTTTTCCGGAACTTTTCGACTGCACTTGGAATAAAACAACTAGTTAGAAAGTTCCTTCGGAACGAAATAACTAGTTGAAAAGTTCCGCCGGAACATAGTAACTGACGGAACATAGTGGCTGTTACATAAGCACCATTTCACTTCAATAATTTCTCTTATACAATGGCTTATATTTCTAAAAGAAAAAGAACAGAACTAGTTATAGGTTATAGGACAAGTCTACATATGTTGGACAATTTGATGCTATAGTTACAAAGTGAAATTCTATATCATTTTTTTTTCGTCTGGTCTTCAGACATATCTCTATGATTTTTGTGTTTGAACAATGATTTTGTTGTGCACTTCCCCTGATTTCATTACGAATTCTGCACCTCAGATTAAATTTAAAATCAAAACTTATTGACTTATGACATTGTATTTTATTCCCTGTTTTATTCTCTCCATAACTACTTTTTTGCGGATTTAAAACAGAAATTTTCATAAAATAAGGGACCAGAGTAATTTGTTTGCGGATCTAATGAGAAAAAATTGGACAGTTTTTCTTTTCTTTTTGTGTCTATGATTGAAATCATGGGTTTTAGACAATTAAATTCAGTGAAACCTGTCACAATCGAACCCTGCTTGAACTGTGGTTTCTGAACTCTTACACCAGGAAATATTCTACTATAACTTAATCTGCGAATACTTTAGTCAAACCAGACTTGTCAAAAAAAGATGCTTAATCCAGGAAAGGTATCTGTTAAGACTGACTCACTGTATGGAAACATACACATACCAAAAATGAGCATCAAAACATTTTTTTCCAGGATGAATTTTTGAAGAAAAATGAGATCTGAATACAAATCTATACCAGATGTATAGAACATCTACTCAAATGGGATATATGTTAGATTATATGTGACATGAATCAATCAAATGGTCTCACTTCTCACACATAAATAGTTTTAACTTGTATGAAATCTTCTTCAGTTCTAAGTATGATGCCAAATTGCCTAAAACCTTCTTATGACGAAAAAATTCATTCATAAGGAAAACCTCCTTTTCATCCAAACAGCAGTGTCACAGTGACCTCACCCACTTGGCACTATCAAGTGTCAATGTTTACAATTGGCAAATACAATATTTTTTTAACCAATAGAAAACCTTTATTACAATAAACGAAGTTAAATGTCTTTGCCATTTTAAAGAATTTGGTTAAATTACATAACTTTACCAATTTTTTTATCAATGTCTGGCACAAATTGATTCTATAGCAAATTCTAACTTGTACCAATCACTCTTTACATACTAGATAACAAAAACATTACATACAAAGTCATATAAAACCTTAAAGCTTACTCAATCCTCTTTGTTATAAATATCAACCTTTCACAAGTCTATTTATCTCCGTAAGCGATCTCTTAACTTGCTTAATACCAACGATTGATTAGATTCAGATAAAACTTGATTTATATGTTTCTATAAGGACTGATGAATATTGACATTTCCCGCAATGGATAGAGACTAGAATAAAATAATCTGTAGGCTCAGAGAATGTCAAACACTACGTCTTTTTGTAAAGCATGCTTATTTTTTTGTAAAAGTGCAGAAAAATCTCTGCAATTAACTCAGGAGTTACAAAAATCTGTGCAACAAATGTTATTAAAAATGATATAATTTCTGATTTGTGCAACAAATGTTATTAAAAATGATATAATTTCTGATTTGTGCAACAAATGTTATTAAAAATGATATCATTTCTGATTATTTAATAATATCTGTAAACTGATTTTTATCTTTTTAATGAATGGATTTTCCAATGCATTTATGAACTGAACACAATATGAAACAAAAAATTGCAGCCATACTGAAATGACTGTTTGTTTTTGTCTTTGGTTCCTAATTATCTTCAATATTGATCATTTTACATTTTCCGAATGAGAAATAATAAAGATTCCTTCATAATTCATTCATTTTTTCAACAAGTCAAAATCTGTTCACAAAATGCTCAGGAAGTTGCAAATTTTGATAAGCAATAATAAAAATACTACTCCTCTCACTTTCTAATAAATGAATAAAAAAAATCTCCCCAATGGAGTATAATGCTATTAATCTGATTTAAGAAATCTTATTGATGACTGTAAATAGTTAGTGGCACTGTAAGTAGTTAGTGGCACTGTAAGTAGTTAGTGGCACTGTTATAGTTCACTAACAAATTTTCTTTAAATTTAGTGTCGAATCTGAATTCCTGAAAAAATGTCATCATCGACATTGGGGACACTTAATTCCTTTATCGTGATATGTCTTCATATCTTCTAGTGGGTGTTTCAACCCACACCAACTTTTCCACACAAACAAAATATGACCAAACAAGCATTTAATATCTTATAAAATTAAAATAAAGCACCTGAGAAATTTGGTATTTCCTTTCCAGATTGATTTATAAATAATAAATGCTTGTTTTCAACACTGTTTTTATGTTTTCTTAGCCTGTAATGGGCTGTAATATTATATTTTAGTGACGGAGGAATTAAAAAAAAAAGGATAAATAAGAGCGTGTTTGCTTTTAACCATTATTTTTTCGAGCGGTGATAGTTGTTCAGTAATTTATCTCATAACAACAGCAAAATACCATATAATTTATTAGCAGTACCAGACATAAAAAAAAAACGTTTATCGTTATGATTCAAAAATAATCAGTTAAAAATTTCACAACTAAATTGTGAGAGCATCATTCAACTAAACAATAACATTGTCCAAACACAACAGAATGTTACGAAATATATATTAATTCAGACTATGCCCATACACCATGTATACTTTCACATTGAAACAAATGAGCCCTCATAATGCTATCCACACAAAATATATCTTAGAAATGATTTAGACTATAACAAAAAAAACAGTTGTTTCAGATTTAAACCTGTTATATTGTAAATTGTAAATTCCACTCTATAGGAATTATTTTGTAAGCTATGTTCCTCCCAATTTAATTAAATACAGATCCCGTGTCCACGCTTTGCTTATAAGGATCTGACATCACTCTGTTTTACTTTTGAGTTCTGTTAACTATTATATCAGCAAATGAACTTTCAGCCTTCACATTTTGATGGTATATATATGTTTCATTACAAAAAATCCAGAGGAACCAAAAAAGTCTTCCAAAAACAGAAGTTAGAATGAAGCATTGTCAGATTATTGTAAGCATAGTGTGGACACATGATCTGAATTTCGATCAGACTTCCTCCAACTGACTATTAGGGGTTGGGAATTATGCAGGAGGTTTCTAGTATCATTGTTTCAGCATAATAGCCTTCAGTATTTGAAACAAGTTTTGTGATATTCTAATGCATTGAGAATTTATCAGTCGCAAAAAAAGGCATATGGCATGCCAATGAGGCCCCTCATGGGGGTGTCCAAGTAATCACATAATCACAAATTTTTGCCAATATAATCACATAATCATTTATTATTTTTTTAAACAAGATAATCAAATAATCAAAAATACAGTCCTAGATAATCAAATAATCATGAAATGTTTGGTTCTGGTAATCAAATAATCACTATGAAAACGGCCAAGTAATCACATAATCAAAAACCCCATGAGGAGGCTCGCCAATCCAATGAAAGCTATATAACTGTCTAGATCAACAGCTTTCAAAAGAGCAATTGTTTTTTTCTAACTTCCCAATACTTATGCATTCTGCAATGTTTAACTTACTTGGAATTCTATTTATAGCCCTTAGAGGCCGTAACACTCTGATAGTTCGTATTGCTGAAAGACTGAGGTTTTCACTATCAACACCATACTCAACAGCACTGAAAAAAAAGACAAATTGATTAGACAAAAAATCTCTTATTTGCACAAGTACAGTGACATACCTAACATCAACTATCTGCACTAAAATCACAAAAATCACTAATAAATTATTAAAAGATTAAAAAAAATGAGCTGATCTTAAGTAGTTCTATTAAAACAAAGTTTCTACTTCAAAATAATCATGCAGGATATTATCATGCACACTCACAAATACAATTAGAAATTGAAATATTCAAAAGTGCTTTCTGGAGGCCTACTTGACCTCACCTCCGAAAAAGCAATTTTCCAAAGGTCAACAACCTCTATAGCAATTTTTTTTTTAAATGCTGAAGTAATTCTTTGTTGAATCAGAAATTATATAACATTTCTAATACTATATATAAGCCATTTTGAATACTATAAGTATAATTGGTTGTAAATATGTAAATACAAACTGCCTTCAGCTGCTAATTCTATGTTGGTTTTTAAATCGGCAAAATGTTGCCTAACTGAATAATTAATACTTTCAAAAAGAGTGAAGTCAGCACAAGTTGCCTACAATTTCAAATTAAAGAGTGTATAAAGGTTCCTAACAATGGAAAATCTATTCATAAGCATAACAAATGAATAAATCTGATTCAGGGCTATGTAAAGTTTAGACTCATTAGTCAACATTACTGACATTACAATAGTAAATAACCTTATAGAACTTCATTTCAGTCATAAAGGTTTAAAACATGCTTGTTATTTCTTCATAAGTGGGGAATCCAGGCTATTGAAAAAGATCATGGTAACCAGGAACTAAATTTGTATTTTTTTCGATTTTAATTGGTCTCTAAAAGAGGGACAGGTGTACTCCTCTGTCTACAATTAGGAGATAACTGTATTGTATTTTAAGCGCTGATGGCATTAAACCACAATTGATGCCGTCGGAGCTTAAAATACAATATATGTATCTCCATTCTAATGAAACTGACAGAAAACAACGTCAAATCATACATTTAAAATCTGGCATATGTCATCTGCGCTTGCACGTACACTTTTATAGTATCAATTGTGAATTGATGCCATGAAAATTGGTGCATTATCCGATCAAAATGAACGTAACAAACAATATGTTGCATAGAATTTGAAAAGCCAACTACTTTGAAATCTTTTAGCTATCCTATATATTTGCTGGAAGCATCTATAGTATACAATATCATATGTAATTTAAATAGCAAATATATAATTTTGTTTGTGAAAAAGATAACATAAAATTTCCCCATGATGTAAAATATACCGGTATTTAAAGCAGTCCATTACAGTATCAAAGGAAAAAGTATTGTACACTTTAGATACTATATTGGATTGCATCAAATAATTCAGCGTTCAATCAAATAATTTTGCTTCGACACTATTCATTTGCAATGTTTACTTGTGAATTTTGACACAAATTAAACAAAAATTATGTCATTCTTAACACTTCATTGTTTCTAAATGCCGTTTTGAGTGGTTAAAGCTGATCGCACATCAAATAGAAATGGTTTACATACAGCAAACAGATGTAGAATGTAATTTCTATGGTAAGTGGTTTATCTTTATTAACCAGTATATCAGGACAATAAAAGAACCCAAGCACCGTCTGATGATAGGATAATGGGAATAAATAGAGCATTGTGGGTATTATAACAATTTTCCAGTATTATCACGGTGGTTTCAGAAGATTTAGCACTTCAGAGAAGATTTCAATGATTTTTGTCCATGATTAAAGAATTATAATGGGGAGAGTAAATTACTATTGTTCGACATCTGGACCAAGTTTACAAAACAAAGGAATAAATTGAAAATAACAGAGTACATAAGGACATTTATGATCTTAGTGCTAAGGTCCAATTACCTTTTTAGTCCTTTTTAAGTGATAAAAATATATTTATATATTTTAGTCTGTCTGTTTTCAAATTATGTATGACGTCGATGAACTTAAATTTAAAGCATATTGTAGTAACTGGTCAAACATATTTTAATGGAAACTAGATTTAGACCATCTAGTGATCTCATATACCCCTGCCTGAATCATACTCTCAAAACAGAAAATGTCAATTTCTGTTAAAATCAAACTTGTATATTTTGGTCAATAATATGGTGTTTAAATAACAGAATATTTTGTCAAGTGCAACATTTACCATCCAGAACCAAAAGAGAAACAAAAATACATGGAAAAAGTTCTTTCCGAGAAGAATGTTCATATATCATTTCATACCATACCATGAAACTAAATGTGAACAAAAACAACAATCTAACAAAATTCGTGAAACTTTGTGATAAAAAAATTATCAAGTGTAAAAAAGCTTTCAAAAAATTGTAAATCCCTAAAGAATGAAGTGAATTATGATGGAAATCATTCATGTGTGAACCAATTTCCATGCAGCTAGACAGTTTATTTTGAATTTTGTCAAGATTCATTAAAAATGTGGTTAGGGTACTTAGACCAAAACAGCTTGATTCTATCATTCAGATGGGGTTAACTTCAGGTGTACTCAGAAGAGTTTACCTTGATTTATCTGAGTTTTGCCTCAGCAGTTTTTGTTTCAACATCTTAAACTTTTTAGAAAGCTTGTGATATAATTAAAGTAGATCTGAGAAATTGCAAAATAATTGGTGAATGATTACAAGTATACATGAATTCTTTACTTACTTAGAGTTTCTGGAATATATAGAATTAAAGGACAATATATACTTTTATACTAAATATGATATATAAAAAGTAAAATTTTAAGGTGGAATCTAATACCTTTTTGGTTAAGGATAATCATATTGAAAGAAATTTTTGGTAAAATATTTCCATAGATGTTGTAAAAATAAACTGATAAAGGTTGAAAAACAATGAACCAATAGCACAATGATATATTATTGGCATTAATTCTGTTCTTACCATAGTTTTTGCACATAAATTTCAAACCTGCATTTAGAGATAAAGTTCCGTCTTGTGCAAGCATATAATGACTGGATTGTGCATTTGTTTATAATAAAACTTATAACTTTCTATCTGATTTGTACAATACATAAATCACTGAAATATTACAATAAATCATTATTTAATAACTAAATAAAAGTTGCAATTTATCATCTTAGCTTAAAAATTTATTACATCATAATCTTTTCTTAATAGCACATAGTAAAACACTGATAATATAAAATGACAAACCCAATATTAATATCATTTATAAATAAATATTTATTTTTTATAAATAAAAACAAAAATATAGAGAAAATATGTAAGCTTAGATGTATTGCCTATATCCAAGTAATAACAAATGACTGAAGCTCACAGATGAAGTCTGCTTGATTAATATATATATGATGGATTTGATATAGAATATTTTATTGTTTTATTAACAACTTATTACTAATATTTCATGCAATATAACTGTAAATTGCATGTACACAGTATTACTTCCACTCGCAATGAAATAGTATTTGCCTATTGTTATTGCATGAGACTACATTTTGTCATAGCTTATTGTAGTTAGCAACTATTAAAAATTGAAAACAACACGTTTAATAATTTCATGCGTCCGAAGCGCTTTTCTGGATTTACCTTCATCAGGAACACTCAAAGCCTACATTTGAAATCCGAGGGATGTATAAGTACCGAAACAGTTGAAGAGCTATATGACAAAAATACATAAAACAAATAGCCAAATCCATCTAAGGTCAACTTTGACTGAGGGAGTTGAAACCTTAATTTCTTATATATATAACTTAGGGCCATAATGACAACCAAAACCAGTCATAGTTTAAAAATTTCTTGCAAATGGAAATCTGTATCAATTCATGAAGAGCTTCTTTAAAAAAAACAATTCTGTTTTAAAAGCAAAATTATTCAGTTGGAACTCAAGGTAAATTTTAAGTATTACAAATAGCCACCTTGAGCAAACTGTTTCATCTAAGTAAAATTCATTTCAAAATGACTGACCACTTACACAAGACTATATTAACACATGTACATTTGTACGTGTATCAGGTTCTGGCGGTAGAAGGACTGATTGGGGCATATTCATTAAACAAGGTACCAGTATTCATTGAGACATTCTTTCCTATATATCTATTCCATGTAAAAGTTTAATGAACAACCTAAAAAAAAATGTTTTCTTAAAAAACCTAATAAATTGTTCGAAACAAATTTCTGTCTTCGTAAATAAATTATCATTAAACTGCCCATTGTTTTATCTATTTCCCCCAACAACTGTACTTAAGTCTGTCTTTAGAAAGATAATGAGACAGGAAGTGAAGAAGGCCAGTGTCCGAAGGGTCTTAAAAATGATTTATATACTACAAGAATATAAACTTTATATCAAAACTGACACTTCTTATCCCAAGCTTTAAGATTTGATGCAAAGCCCATTTAGCAAAAGCCGTTAGGACATAATTCTATTAGTGTGAGGTATTATGGGTATCAAACACGATCTTGAGATATCAATAAAGTAATTCCGGTGATTCTCCAGAGAAACACTTGTTAGCATCTTTGTCAATGATGTTGTAAGAATCTCTGTAGGGAAAATTTCCTTATCCAGATTTAAGACTTTCATAGGTATAGTAAAAGCATTAAACAAATTCCAAGGGTTCAACCTAGCATACTTTACATCAACTTTAGACTTATGTTACAACAAATAACAACTATATATAAGAATAAGAAGATGTGGTATGATTGCCATTGTGACAACTCTCCACCAGAGACCAAATAACGTAGAAGTTAACAACTATATAATAGAAAAACAAAGGATATGGGGGCATCCATCCATGACACAAAATCAGTAAATGCACAACAGAAAAAAAAAATAAAAAGCAAAGGAACAGCGCTTTTATTGCTGTTCTTCATCTCAAAAGTCACAGTGAGACCTCAACACAGAGCAAAAAAACTCATATATGTCACAATACAACCCTCAACAATAACCCATACCACACAGCAAGCTATTAAAGGCTCAGAAATTACAAATTTAAAATATTTCAAATGAGAAAACTAATGGCCTGATTTATG